ACATTTAGATCAACTTCACTGTAGAGCAACATATATGAGAACAAGATAGATGTATGTTTATGGCTATAAGATATAAAAATACAGTACTGAGTAGGTCATTACAAGAAAATGCCCAAATCAGAAACCTGGATTGGGCAGGTCTCTTCCAAATTTCAGTCATGTCTATCACCTTCAAATTTTTGCTAATTTTGCATACCTGATGTCTGTTTTTTTTTTAATTGACTTAAAAACTTAAATAGAATGGACCATTAAAATAAATGGTGAATTAAAATGTTTAAAAATTTTTAGCTATATAATGTTTCCAGCAAAAGACTTAGTGTTTGAGGGCTACCCTTTCTCTGTCAAGGAAGTTTAGCAAGTGTTGAGAGGCATGAAAGACTTGCTTCAAACAGGAAGTTTCTCCATGATACAATCAGCATTAAGATATTATTAGAAAGAGCTACATAAAGAACTAGTGTGTTCCAAGCCCCGAATCAGTCATGGCTGGATTAGCTGGTTTCTGAATTATGTCGTCCTCTGCTTTCCTCTATTAAAATATTACCGCATACTCTTCACATCTTGTTCCTTTCTTAAAAACTCTGAACTCAATCTATCAGATAAGTATAAACTAGTTAATTGGTGTTTAATTCCTTCATTATTAAGCCTTGTTGAGTATAGGTTCAATAAAAATTTGTGAATGAATGGATGCTTTCGTAAAAAATTTCCATGAATGCCTAATACTGCTTCATCTCCTGTTTATGTCTTTTCCTGTAGAGCATACATGTTAAAAGATGGTGCTGGGTATGTTACGGTGACATGAAGCAAGCAACTTGTGAATACAGACAACAGAAAATCATTTTATCAAAGGCAAAAGAATGAAGCTCACCTGGACTGACGTTTTGGGAGAACTGCTGAGCAGCTGCAAACATGTTGGCTACAGACTCTAGAAACTAAACCAGAACCGGGAATAGACAATTAAAAAACTATTTAAAGTCTGTTCCCATTGTCAAAGAGCCTGAAGTTACATCTGACACATAAGTGATTATAAGATAACCATCTCAGATCTGTAGGCAATCCTGCAGTAAAGACCCACTGTGTGGTCTTTACCCTGGGTACTGGCATTCTCAAACACAGAACGTGGATCTCTGGCATACACCCCACTATTGTTCTGCAAGACACCCCTAAGGAAAAAAAATACTTTTTTTTTTCTTATCCTGGGGGATAAGAAGTCAATAATTCCCCAAATGAACTAAACAGCTGTAGTTTTTCAAGAAAAGAAAGCTCAGCATAAAAAGAAGGCAAGAAAACAAGTGTCCAGTGTGACATGACAAGGCTAAATGAGGACAGGAATCAGGACAGCAGGATTACTATCCCATGCACTGTTTCAAACTTAAGTCATCCTGACCAAGTCACTGGCTTCACTTCTTCTCTAGGTTACATGGGGAAGAGAAATTGGCCTTGACCCACCTGATAAGGGTACTGGGAGATGGTTTATTTTTCGTATGTTCTAAACCTCAGAAAAACAGACAGCCAGAAAATCAATGGCACAAAGTCAAAAATGATCTTTCAGAGATTGAGAAAAAAAGGCTATATACCATGTTTAATAATGAGGGCCAAGGAAGTTTGTATTCCAGTGGTACAGAGGCTGGAGTTTAAGACTATTATGTATTGTAAATTTTACCTGCCCTGATACCATATGGGGAGGACGGGCAGCCTAAAAATTATGTCCCCTGAACCAGAACAGTAACTGCAGAAGACATCTAATGTTATCAGCATACCTGAGCAATTCTGGTTTTCTTCTGTTGGAATTTGCAGAGCCGCAGAATCTGGGACCCTGAGTAATCACTGAACTGTTCATGAAATGGGTGTAACAGCTTCACGGATTCTCCAAAACTTAGGGGAGAAAAACCAAATACCAAGGGGGTTATTTTTTGTCATGTGAACAAAATAACAAAGGAAGGTTGGTTTTCCCAATGGGACTAAAAGGCACCCTTACCTGCAGACTGCAATCTGACCCACTTCTAGAAGGGTTAGAGCATTACCAATCACAGCCAAAGATTCATATGCGAGCTGTGAAATAGAAAGGTTAGGATTGAAGAAATCAGAATATCCTCTAGACCAGTGCCTTTCCACCTTTTTTATACCAAGATTCCCACAGAAAACTTTTTTTTTTTGTATGGAACATAAGGGAACACCACAATATGGTTATTCACAACCAATCCAGAGGCTTTGACGGCCTTAGGCGCTGGCTAATACCACAACTGCTGAAATCCAGAATCCATTACACTCGTAGGAAAGGTCTGTTCTAGACATCATCCAATAAAAGTGATCTTGAGAGATTTGGTCCATACATTTAAAAAACAAAATTTTTTTTTTGACTACATAAAAAGTAATCTCTTATGTGTAAAGATTTAAGAAACCAATTCTAATCTATGCATAAATGATAGCATGGTTTTAAATTTTAAATTCAATTAAAAAGACAATGACGATACTTATAGCGACTAACATCTGTCTACTGAGCACATGTCAGGTGCTACACATTAAATCAAGAGCTCCACATAGTTATTTTCATTTAGCCTTCATAACAACTCTGTGTTTGAGGTAGGTATTGTTATACTCCTCATTTTTCAGACTGACTCGTAAGAAGTAAATAAACTGCCCGAAGTCATGTACTAGTAAGTCAGTCATGCGGTAGTGGGGGGCTGGGATCTGAACCCAGATTCAGAGGTTACACTTTTCCAAGAGCATATGTGTAGATTTTAGGTTGCTCATTGGCTAGTGGATCACTGCAAAAAAACAGCACACACCTCAGTGTCCATATTACTCATGGCATCATAAATAATTCTATGCAGCCTCCTAAGCCTTGTTAACACTGAGAGAACACTAATTCCAGATATTTCAGACTTAAGGAAATGTGTACTGAATATATTAAAAAAAAAAAAGATATTCAGATATTTGGTTGTGATGGTCTGAAGAATAGTTTAACAGTATATGGCATTTTATGGAAAATACACATTGTCAGATTTCCTTATTTTGCAGCTAGACAATAGCACAGCAAGGCTACGAAACAAAAAAAATTAAAAGACCTATAAGTAAGGAACCAAAATATTTAAGTCATCTTGAAATTGCTGTTTTGAACTCTTTACATTTTAGGTCTTCTCAAACATGGTATTCATAGTCTCAGAACAGACTAGCTGGTATTTCAAAGTGCTTTTTGCCAGATAATATTTAAAACATCTAGTGGCCTACGGAACATGATTTGGTGTTAATTTCTCATCAAACTGCCACTGCTTCTCTTTCTTACCTGTTTGGTGTGGTTGTCTACCATGCTGGAAGAGTCATCAATAGCCAAACAAATCTGATACTGGCGTTTACTGGGCTTGGTCCTTCGAAGCCAAATCTTGTCTTTTCGAAACTGACTAGCAATGTATGGAATGACCTTCCGCATGTTCAGTCGCTTCCCAGTTCGATAGTCTCCTCTATTAAATGCACCCAAACAGGACAAAGATTAGTTCACTGCGCATCCCTTCCAAATTTTTTTAAAGAATGAAATCACATTAATGATACCTTATAAGCAATTATACCACATAACTAGTAACCTGGCACAATGAAGTATTACTGCAGCTAAGGTTAAAGGGCCAGGATCATACTGATCAGCAGCCAGAAAACCCGGGTCTATCTGTGGCAACAACAATTAGGTCTACAAAAATTGAAACATTTTTAAAAATTAGGAAAAAAATGTTTGCTCTCAACAGTAAGTCTTGGATTCTCTTTTCTGTTCTAAGGCTACGATTTTAGTCACATCTTTGAAAAGATGTAGGTGAGTAACACATGCAGCAAGGGAATAACCCAACATGTAGCAAGGTGAGCGGCACAGACACACCAAGGCTCAGCCAATTTCCCCATCACATGATAAAAATGCAAAGAAACTACACGCATACCGAACTTCACATTAACTTGTGGCAGAGATAACATGAAATGAGGGGGAGGGACACCATACCGGTGCCTGGGCAGCAGAAATGGCAACCTGGAAGACCGCACCAGAAGCGGCGAGGTGCTGAGTTCAGCGGAAAAGGCGACACTGCATCTTTTTAGGGCACTGAGTGCGTCAATGGAGAAGACTTACTTCAGCTTGGCTGCCTGGGTAGGCTCTAATATGAGACGGAGCTGTTCACACAACTGTTGTGAAAGCGGCGCAGTTAAGACCAGGTAACTCTGCCACATCTCTGCTGCAGCCTTCTCCTATGACAACAGCAACAACATGTAAGTGACCCTTGGAATGCCAGGGCCAAAGCCATCACAGCAAGATGAAGGCTTGAAGCTAAGTAGTATTGGGTTGTTGGAAAAGTCATGGTGTATTTTTGCAATGAAAAACATAGAAAAAATACGTCATGATTTTTCTGACAACCCAATAAAAAATGACAGTGCATGAACTTTCTCGACAGAAGCACTTTAAAGCTTCTCTTAGTAAGCTGCACTCTAATTCACTTGATGAAAAATGTCTCCCCTTCCACCAAACCCATGATCCAGAGGTCCAACTGAGGAGGAATGAAACAAGGCAGTAAAATATTGGAATTCATGACCAAATCAAAGCCGGAGCCACATCACCTACATAGAGTGTAACCTGCACCCTTCTCGTGGAGAGGGAGCTCTGAATGGTCATGCTGGAGCCAGCAGATCCAGCCACTTAATCATGGGCTCCAGAGTTATGTTTCAAAAAAAAAGTGACAAGTGCAAATCAAGTAACACAATCAGTGTGCTTATTTCCTGGGCACAAGATTTTTTGCCATCTATGACAGAGCAGTCAGTACACATCATGTGGTGGGGATGATCATAAATATAAAACTAAAATATCTTTATGTACAGTAAATTTAGGATGCAGTCATTAAAAAAGAAACTTCTGGCTGAGCCATGTTATGCCAGCTGGCAATGTTCCAAGTGGCCTATTCTCGGGATGACATAGTATCTTTTGCCTCGTTTTTCAACCACTGTCACATCTATTACATCCATTACAGAGTGAGCAACAGAAGTTTTAAGATTTAAACAAGTCAGTTTCTCTGTTTAAGTTAAGGTCTAGTGGCAAAGCAGGCAGATATCAATGGACAGACTGAGGCTTTGGGATTGTACTTTTATTCTCTACATACTCAGTCCCTTTTACAAAGGTTACTGGAGCTAAGAGCCTATTAAGTTTGCTGTATCTTAATAAAAGTCAAGATATTTTATGAAAACACCAGTGACTTACTTCTTCTGGACTTCCAGATTCGTGTGGCTGCCACGTTTCCAGCTGTCTCTCCAGCTCCTGTCTTAGCTCACAGACATCTTTTAAAAAGGGCTAAGACAAAAAAAACAAAACAAAAAACCACAGATGAGAGACAGCAGGTTGGAACTGCCGACTCTGTCACTGGCTGCCTTCTTCCCGGCAGTATGAACTTACTACGTATCCCTAAGACATTAAGTAAAACATAAGCAAATGTAATTAATGGCACAGAAAGATGCCAGACAATCATTCTTATTGTTTCTCATTTGTAGAGACAAGCTGGATAAAGGAAATTTTAACATTTATAATCCACCCCAGCAAAACAAATTCCCAGGAAGATGTCAATAATTAAGGTATTCTTTGGTTAACCCAGACAGCCATTAAGTCATATGATTAGGGAAAACAACTCAGTTAACTGGCTCTTCCTAAATGCAGGCATTGAGTCAAAGATTCTTTTTTTATTTTTTTCACTCTCTGAATAGTCATTTTCTTTCTTTTTTTAATTTTTCAATGACAGCTGACATACAATATTATATTAGTTTCAGGTGTACAACATAGTGATTATAGACAGTTATATAACTTATGAAATGATTACTCTGTAGTACCCATCTGACACCATACATAGTTAGTACAATATTATTGACTATATTCCCTATGCTGTACTTTACATCCCTGGTCTGTTTTTATAACTAGCAATTTGTACATCTTAATCCCTTCCCCTTTGTCATCCATTCCCCAACCCCCTCCCATCAAAATGTTTTCTGAATCTATGAGATTGTTTCTGTTTTGTTTGTTTTTTTAGATTCCACATTCTTGCTACTTAACCAACATAAACTGTAACTTGTGAATGTTTTAGTACCTGGAAAATCGTGTCCACAAGGAATTGATGGGCTGTATGAATGGTGGAATCTCGGCTTCTCTCTGGTTTCTCATTCTCTGTCTCCTTGTGGGATTTGTCTCTCCTGGGGTCTTGGTCCTCCTCTGTTTTAACAGTTTGGATCTCCATCTCATCAAAACCTATTTTCATACAAAGACAGAATTTTTCTTACCATAATATTAACATAAAGACTGAGCTTTCATGGTTGCCTGTCAATCCTAGCAATTACTCAAACTTCATTCATTCACTCCCTGAGACATTTCCACACCTTGGTTCCACATGTTCTTTCTCTTTGAGAGTCGTTGCCAATTCTTATTCCCCTAACTTCTTCTCCCCACCAATGTTAAAGGTGGGAGGTGGGAATATGGGAGGCTATGGTTTGCGCTGACAAGCCTCATAAACTGTGTGATTGTTTAAAGTATGTGTAGGTAGAACTGTGATAAAAATAAAAAAATCCACAGTTCCATTTCACAGATGAGGAAACTGAGGCAAAGAAAAGATGAATAATTTGCCTCAACCTATGAAGTAAACAAAGAGGCAAAGTGTGGGTTCGAATCTAAGAAAGTATAATCACAGAGTTGTGCCTTTCCCACTGTCATATAATGGCCACTTAATCGTTCTAATGCCCCTGAGAGGACAGGGAGGAAGCAGAAGAAAAAAACTTTTCAATCTGTTAAGTTCTTCTGAATTTGCATTCATTCTATTGCTGATGGTAATTTTTTACATTAAAGTTATTTTTTCATATGTTGAATGCTTTTTTTATAAACTGCCTAGTAATAGCACTTGGTCAACTATGAAATGGAACTGTATGTAAGGAGTTTTGTGACATTCTCACGTGCTATTATATATTTTCATACAATTGAAAACATTATTTTTCTAATCATCAAGAATATATTGTGGCCGGCCAAGTGGCTCGTTGGTTAAGAGTTGGCTTGGGAGCACGAGCTCTGAGCAGCAGGGCTGCCGGTTTGGTTCCCACATGGGCCAGTGACGCTGTGCCCTCTACAGCTAAGATGGTGAACAACAGCTCGACCTGGAGCTGGGCTGCTGTGAGTGTCCGGCAGCCAGTATGAGCGGCCGGCAGCCAGCGTGAGCTGCTGTGAGCCGCCATCCAATGGCCAGTGACCGAACTGCCTCACCCGGGAAAAGCACAATGATAATATCAACATGGGCCAGTGAACCGACGTCCTCCACAACTAGACTGAAGAACAAAAGGACAGCAACGTGTCTGTTCCCCTTCCCCGATTCCCCAATGCTGTTCCCCTACCCCAACTGCCCAATAAAATCTTGGAAAAAAAAATATATATCTTCTTGTCACAATTGGAGTAAGTGATCTATCCTGTTTTCTTTTTTATATTTTAAAAAGACTGATGGGATTTTGTCTGAAGCTCAAGTTTCAGAGGTCTCCTTGAGGGACTGTCCTGCAGCACCATCCTCCACCTTTCCGCTCCCAAACGAAGGGTAGTTAAATTATTAGAGGCGAATGAATGTCTAAAGTCATGGGACTGGATGTGGAAATAACAGACCAGACTAGACTACAGCACAAGAGAAGCAACTTCTCTGAGAGAGCTTAGGCGGGGCCTGCTGCCCTTGTAGGGCTCACCGGAGCTTGCTGTGGCCCTGGACTTGACCTCCTCTGGCTTCAGTTGCTCCGTGTCGACTGCTTTGAGCTCTTCCTGCTCCTCCATGTCCATGAAAGCATCCTCCATCTCCTCCTGCTCCTGCTCCTTGCTGGAGTCTTTTGCAGATTGTTGCTGCTCCATGCTGGCTACATCTACCAACAAAGCGCGCACACACACACAGAGGCTAGGTCTTTGCAGAACAAAGTAATCATGAACAGGTGTGGTTCTGTCCTTTCTAGCTTTCAAGATTCTACTGATGCTGCTTCTCCCACTGTGGCTTGGACAGTGCTGGCCTGTCTGTGCCCAAGATGTCCTAGTGACTTATTGATGCAATTGCCTATTCTGTATCCCCCACAGAAACTACAAGGCTACAGTGTAACTATACATGTGACCACAGAAGTAGGATGCTGAGCTGGGTTTTTACTGCTATGATCAGAGACTGAACCAGAATAAACAGGCAGGGCACATGATTCAGAGCAGCTAACGGAATTACCCCCATTACTAAGTTATGGGTGGAGAAACGGTAGTGATTACGAGTATCACACAGAGCATAGAAAGACCAACGTGGGAATCCAGCATCCTGAACTTGGACAAGTTCTTAAACTTCTTTGGCCTTAGTGTGCTCATGTATAAAATAGAGATAGCCTTGCTCATGGGATGACTGGAGGAATTCCATGACCATGCAGCAAAGGCTCAGAACAGTGTTTGGCACAAAGTAAAAGCTCAAAACATGGTAGCTATTATTATTATTATTATTACTGCTTTATTTTTCTAACAAGTAGGGACAGAAGAGAAAAAAAAGTAATCTACAGCATAGCAGTTGTTTTTGTACTATCCTCATAGGTAGACATTATTGTTACTTTACATATTAGGAATGAAACAGTGAAAAGCTACCAAGAACCAGAAGCAGACACTGATGGACGACTGGCTACTCCCTTCTTGTGTTGTGATTTTTTTCTCTCTCACTTTTTCACTTATAAAGAAAACATGTATTTCAAGTCCACCGCTCCTGCTATGGCAAAGAGCCACCTCAAGGTGACGATGAAGAAATGTCCATTACTCAGAAATGAAGCACTGGTTTCAGATGTGGCCAATGGTTACCCAGTATATTTAATGGGCTTAATGAAGGCCCAGAAACCCTGAGCATTTGCACTTGGCTACAGATACCTTTAAGCCAAAAACAATTTGTATTTGTGCACCGTTATTAGAGAGAAAGTAGTTTTAAAAATCCATTCCCCTCCCTCCTAAAATGAATTTGTAATAGTATCTGGAGGGCACAGTCATATAGCATAAGCTCTCAGAGCTCAGTGAGCAAAGGAAAAGCCTTCCCTGCACCTACCGTAGGTCTGTGCATCGTAAGGCTCACTCCCTTGTTTAATGTGCTCAAATGCATCTGCGTCCTCCAGCTGGGCCTGGGGCTGGGGGGACCCCTGCTCAGCGGGGCTGTCCGTATCCACCGTCCTCAGCCTTTTATGTACACGCTCGTTGTGATCACCCATGGAACGCTCATTGTCGGCCTGTCCAGGCTTCCTTTTAAAACTCTGTGGGAAATACGAAGAAATTCATCAGAACCTTGTCTGTAATAGCAAAAAGATACAAAATAACCATAATGTCCATCCACAGGGGACTGGGTAATTAAGTAAATTAGGTACAGCCATACAAAAATGGAATTCAGTGCAGCCGTTAAAAGAATGGGAAGGTCTGATATACATACAGAGAATAATCTTTGATATACTTTTATACCTGAATAAAGGTGAGGAAGAAACACACACACACACACACACACACACACACACATGTACATCCACACATACATCTACATGCTGCATATGCAAAAAAGGTGTCTGAAAGAGGACAAAACTAGTAGCACCAATTTGCTCTGGGGAAGGTTCCTTGGATGGCTTGAGGACATGGATAGGATGGAAGCTTTTTAGGGGGTTGGTTTTTATATACTAATTTTGTATCATGTGCATGAATTACACCCTATTAAAAAAACTGGTATTTTAAACACAAAAGACTATGGACAGTGAAAAGAGGAATATCGGCTGGTGCTGGGCAGCACACAGCATCCGGCTCCTCGGCTCCCTAACAGGAAGGAGGCTGGCTGGGCTGGGCTGGGCTGGGTGCTGTGTGTCTCTGCATCCCTGCATAGTGAAGAAGCCCCAGTGACAGCTTCCACCTGAAGAGCCCCAAGGCCCTGGTCTGCTCATCAGGGCTGCCATCATGTCTGGAAGAACAGGGACAGCAAAGGCAGGGAATGTGGTTTGGTTTTTTTTAAATCACTACATTTACAGCATCTTTTTCCATGGGCTGCTTTCACTTCAGTTTAGTTGAAGAGTCACAGAGACCTGTGTGTTTTTCCTGGTCTGTTTCTGGGAGGCCAGCCGGGCGATGAAGTTAGATTCATGGCCTTCTGCCTGGTTTGCATCTGCAGCTCCACTCCCGTGCTCCTATAAAACCCAAGCCAGAAAAGAATGAGGGTGGAGAAAGCTACTGAGCACCTGGTTCCTGACTGCATTGTGCACAGCGGCTCTCACTATATTCTGACCTCCAATAACCCCACCTGCCCGTCTGCTCTAGATCTTGCCCACGACTAAAGCCTGGCCTGTGGGCGGACAGAAAAGCATTTAGACCCAGGTCTGTTACCCTTCTGGGCGACTTCGCCTTGCAAGGCTGATTTGTTCTCTGTTTACAGGAAAGCAATGGCAGGACAGACCCTGAATAGAAACCAGGCTTCCTCAGCAACTAGTTGTGTACCCTTGAGGTTGCCATTTAACTTTACTGAGGATTATTTAACTTAAATATAAAATGGAGAAAATAGCAAGAACAATAGTATCAGCTATCTTACAGAGCTCTCCTGATGACTTGCTGATGTAATGAAAATGCTTCGCGCCTTATGGGTGCTTAATACATGGAGTACAGGGGGCGTAAGAATATAAACAGTTGTTCCTGGTGAGAAAACGGGCTTAGAGAGACTCACCTCCTTCCCCTGCTCCTTCTCGGGTGCGGCCCCGGCCAGCTCCACAGCCTGCGAGCTCTGCACATTCTCCAGCCCCGTCTGCCCACAGGAATCATGCTCTTTCCTCTCCGTAGCCTCTGGCACCTGCTCTTCTGTATCCGACTTCTCCCCTTCTTCTTCTTCTTCTTCTTCTTCTTCTTCTTCTTTTTCCTCCTTCTGCAGGGAAATCAAACACAGCATTAAATGTTCTGGGGGAAGAACATGAGGTGGGGAACACCTACAGCTAGCAGACACCCCACTCCTCACCAAGGGGGAGTCTGCAGCTAGGGGATCAGCCACAGAGGGTCTTAAAGAGACACTGAAAGCTGCTTGGCAGCGCCACCTGGTGATGGAGAAGTAACCTAATGGAGATTCTAGTGGGAATAAGATAATTTCTCCTCCTCATTATTATTTCTAATACAAGACAAACTAGACACTTCACAATACCTGAGGCTGGAGACCTTGGTCGACAGAGACGCCGCTGTCTGCACTTTCGTCACTGGCTTCCGCATCCCTATCCTTGTCCTCCAGAGATGGCTGCTCCTCGTCCTCTGAACTGTCTTCAGGATGTTCACCTGTTTCTTCGTTTTGGTCACCAGCTCCTGTGTCCATCTCTTCCTCCCCCTCCTCCTTGTCGGCTTCATTGGCGCCTTCCTCAGGCTCATGTTGACCCTGACTTTCATTCTGATCAGACTCGGTCTCTTCGCTTATGTCCTCAGCTTCATGGTCTGCTTCTTCAGTGTCCAGGGGTTTTTCTTTAATGTCCAAAGGATTCTCTTCTGGGTAGATTAAAAAAAAAAAAGAACACAGAATTTAAGAAACCAACAATATAATTTCTTAAAATGGGGCGTAGTTACCTAAGTGTTTTGTTATTATTCTTGAACCAGGAGTTGGCAAACTCTGGCCCATGGGCCTAATCTGACCATTTACAAGTTTCCGTAAATCAAGTTTTATTGGAACACAGCCACATCCATTCATTTACTTAAGTGTTTACGCCATCCACTCTGTATTGCCTATGACTGCTTTCACACTATAATAGCAGAATTGAGTATGTGTGACCTCTGTCACAGCTTATGGCCTGCAAAGCCTAATTTATTTATTACCTGACCCTTCACAGAAAAATTTTGCCTACCCCTGTTGTAAACTACTTAATACTATTTACAATTGATTGGTATGTTTCTTTAAATAATAATGAGTAATCCACTAAAAAAATCCTAAAAGCCACAACAGGAAATGACAGTCTAATTTTCAAATATCAGTGGGAATAAATGGTGGTCATCATTCTTTAATCATACACAGAAAATACAACACATATTCAAAAGGAAACAATCCTATTTGAAAAAGTTTTATTTAAAAAGCTTTTCAGTACATTGGCCACGTCAGAAGTCAGTTACTTTGTTAGCAAACAATTCTTTAAAATAACTGCTCCTTAGTTTATACACACAATAGCTTAAAAGGAGCCTGGATGTTTTTCTAGGGCAAATGGCTTGTTACACTCTCAGCGGATTTTAATTTTCTTCATTTTATGCTTGCTTACTGGTGGGATTTAAGTGGAAATCAAATTCCAAAATTTTAAATTAATGAAATAGCCTCAGAAGCAACAACTTATACTATGCTTAAAAAGTAAACTAGATGGGCCGGCCGAGTGGTGCGATGGTTAAGAACTGGCTTGGGATGCCAGAGGACCCTGGTTCGGATCCCACATATGAGGGCCAGTGACACTGCCCTCCACAAGCTGAGATGCTGAACAACAGCTCAACCTGGAGCTGGGCTGCCATGAGTCGCCGGCGACGGGCATAGGCTGCAGCCTCTGCTGCAGTGGGTTGCCATGGGCTACCATATGTAGTCAGCAGCCAGTGTGAGTGGCCAGCAGTCGCAGTGAGCGGCCATCCAGAAGCCAGTGACTGATCTGCCTCACCCGGGAAGAGCGCAACGATGGTGCCCACTTGGGCCAGTGAAGCAACGTCCTCCGCAACTAGACTGAAGAACAAAACAACAGCAACTTGTCTGTTCCCCTTCCCCCAATTCCCCAGTGCTGTTCCCATCCCCCCAATTCCCCAATAAAAATCTTAAAAAAAAAAAAAAAAGTAAACTAGAAATTCACAGAGCGAAGAATGTTCTGAGCATCAGGAAAGTCGGTACCAATTCCTTAACCAAATGGTTCTAATTAAGTAGCAAGTTCACAAATTTATTTCTAATACCAAAACTTTGAACATGGAGAATAGATTTTAAATTTATAAGAACTATATACTCACTTCCTAGATTTAACAGATGTTAACATTTTGCCATATTTATATCAAATGTCAGTCACTTGTTTTTAAGAAATAAATGGTTCTGGATACAACTATCTTCCTACTTCCTTAGATGTCATCAAAACCTAAAGTTCTGTATTATTCCTTTCCATGTTTTCGTACATTTGATATACCCATAAATAATACATGGTATTATTTCTTGTATTAAATTTTTACATAAATGATACCTTTTCTTTTGCAATTTGCTATTTTTGTTCTGATATGGTATTTTCAAATTTTTATAAGCTTTACTAAATAGTAACTGATTCATTAAGAAGCAGAGTGAGGTTAGCTTACATCTTTCTGTCTGGTTACCCACCATGGTGGAGGCCCACTATTACAGCAACACCTTCTCCACAATGCTTCCAACTGAAACCAGATGACACTCTCTAGGGGAGTCCCCAGGTTGATCAATGGATGACAAAAGCATTAGATTAGCGCCATGTGCCATGTGATTGATTTGAGATGATCCAATTCCATTCCCTATTATAATGACTTTGTATTTGAGGCTAAATACATAAGCAAAACAATCATTTCCCGAAAAAAGCTATAACTGGGCTACATGAGAAGCCTGGGTATACCCTACCAGGCAGTATTTACATCAACCCATGATTGGGGCACACAGTGATGGATGGCTGTGGGGAGATGGAGCTGTATGCAGTGAAGCACCACCCATGCACAGCAGAGTTAAACACAGAACGAGAAATGACAGTAGTGGGAGAGACCTGCTGGTTTACAAGCTTTAAGTCTACTCAGATGAGAAACACTACAAAGAAAATGCAAATAATTTTTGCAAACTGGAGTTCAGCTGACCAGACATGATTAAGGACCTGGCCATGACATTGGCCTGAAGGGAAATGAGTTAGTGCTCGTTTTCAATGAGTTCCAACTGGTCTTCTTTAGGCTTTAAAAGACACACCTTCTCCTTCTTCGTGGTCTGTGTCTTCATCACCATTCTTGTCTTCACTGTCCAGGTTCAAATCATCTGGAAGGTCCAAGGCCTCGGGTTCTGGCAGCATTTCCTGATTGCCATGGTAAGGGTCTACCTCATTCTCATCATATTCCCTCTGAACAGTGGAGAGAACAGGAAAATAAAAAAAATTTAGAACTTTTTTTTAAAAAGTAGCATTCACATGCAAGTAGCTCTTAGTAGTTAAGCTGAAAGAATACAACATCTCTGCCCTAAAATTACCAGCACACATTAGAATTTTACTAATATTTTAAAGATTTTCATGGTGGAATTTAAAACTTCACCTTCTGTGTAGCTTCTCCTACTTGTGATAAGAGGTCCCGACATGTTACTATCAAAGAAGGAACTGAAGTTTACGAGAAGTTTGGCTTCCTAACTTTAGCATGAGCCCAAACAGCATGAAGACTGCCTCACTGGTAACTAGCAGTGAGCTATTTTATGTCTTATTAAGAGGTTCTACTACACATTTTTTTATGAGACAATGGGAAAACAACTAAATAGAAAAAAGTGCCTGAGACACCCTAAGAGCTGTGTAGTACAGTGCCCTGGCCCTGAATCAGGAGAGGGATCAATTTTGAATCCTCATTACCTCATCTATTTGTTCATTAATTTTGTCTTGGCCTTGTCCATCGTCATTAGCTTCTGCTTCTTCCTTTTCTTCCTTTTTATCTTGCTGGTTTTTATCTTTGTTTGACTTCCCAGAATCCAAGTTGTCCTCTTTAGCAACAAGTCCACAGTCTTCCTAAATGTCACAGGCAGAACAAATACGAAATCACCACACCCAATCTAAGAAACTGCCTTCACACAGGTTGACTCTACAGAGCACGGTCCTTAGACATGTATAATTCTGCCTGCTGGGCCAGGCCTATCCCACGGGAATATCCATGGGCATTGCCCATGACCTGGAGAGAACAGCCTGGGTCTGTCCAGACAGCAGTAGTAACAGCAGGTGGGTCACGCTGTGCTGCTGCAGTGTCACCCCCAGCCTGTGAGTCCTCCTATGCAGGGAGCTGAAGTTCAGTGGCCACTAGCAGTATCAGGGCCTCTGTAATGCCCCTCCTCCATAGCAAATAGGATGGCTCATGTCTATCTACCCTCTTAGCTCTGAATCAGTCCGTAAGATATGCAGGGGAGACAAAAGAAAAAAGAGAGATGGAAGAAACAGAGGAAGAAAAAGACAGAAAAGGAAGTAGTGGCTGGTGGGACAACTGCGCGCTCGCAACCTAGGGACCATGAGATGGGGGGAATCTTTTAAATTACCTCATCCATTCCTGATCCGGTTTCTTCAGTTGCACTGTCTTCTTCCTCCTCATCTTCCTCCTCGTCATCACCCCATAGCCTCTCATCTAGTTTGTCAGCTTCCTCACCGTTCAGATCGCCCATCTGTTTGTCCAGGTCTGCGCTCTCACTATCTGATTTCTCATCATCCTCTTCTGAAAGGGAAGGTACTGAGCTTAGCTAGGCAGATCCCCGATGACCTCGTCTTGCGTGTATAGGAGACATGGGCCCACCACCAGGGGCATGCGGCCCATTCCTATAGAACACCCTACTGGCTGGCAAGTGCCTTTGGATCTGCTGAAGTAGTCCTACTGTGTTTTGCAAACTCTTTGAAAGAACAAGGAAGTCAGTAATGTGTTCTATGAACAGGGCATTAGAATGGTGCTGGCACAGCTATCAGGAAGGGACTGGGCAACCACACGGGTTGTTTCCTACCTGTGAAATGTCAGAGTTGGACGTGATTTCCAAGGTCCCATCCCCATCTCCAACATACATTTCTATAACTATCCAACATCTACAATCCTGTGTACAGCGCAACTAGAATCTCCCTGCCACTGTCTTTGCTCAAGGTCTACTGTGCCCAAGGATCTACCTTTATGCTCCTTAGGCAAGTGGACATACTTCTACTCTGAGGCCAGCTCTCATTTCTGCAACAATTTTGCTTAGAATAAGATACTATCTCAAATTAAGCTTTGCACAGAAATTTAGAGCAAAACTTAATTGTGGTACATTTAAATATATGACAGATGATGTGCTGTAAAAAATCATATTCTCAATCATTTTTAATGACAAGGGGAACGCTCATAATATGTTAAACAAAAAAAGCAGACTACAGAACTGTTTATGGTCTATGAATATACGAGTCTATATACAGAGGGTGCCAAAAAAATGTATACACATTTTAAGAAAGGAAAAAACTGTATTAAAATTGTAATACTCAATATATACCAATAACAAAAGATGAATACAAGTCATGTGTATACATTTTTTTGGCACCCCCAGTATACATATGCAATAAATGGAAAGAAATAAACCAGAATTTATTAAGTGGTTTGGGTGGCAGGCCTTAGGGGTATCTATTTCGTTCCTGCGTTTTTGTTCCAAATTGTCTACAACAAATGTCTACTATTTTTGTAATTAGGAAAAAAAAACAGTTAGTTTTTTAAAAGCACCCCGAACAATTTACTTTTGAGCTGAGGCCCAGCTCTGCCTGTAACCACGTCCTTGCACCTCCCTGAAGGGCACCGCCCACTCATGGCATCTAGCACACGAGGCAGCGGAGCATCAGTCAGTGCCTCAGTTTACTCACAGAAGAATCTCCAAACCTGACTACAGACTTCTGCCTCAGTGGAGGTGGTGATGGCAAATGCATAATGCTGATGTTGATAACAGGCTCCTAATTGGGAACATGTAATTTCCTAGATAAAATATTTATTTTTCAAAAACAAGAATGCAGTGATAATCTCAAACCTTGTTCTTCAAGCTCCCCATCATGCATTTTCCCGTCAAAGTCTTCTGACATCTCAATAGCATTCTCCTCTCCCTTAATGTCTGGTTTTGAGTCAGGATCCTCTGTATCCTTTTCTTGACCCTTCTGAAATGTATCTTCTGCCTAAACAAAAACAAACAAACAAACAAACAAAGAAGTAGCTTAACTAATGTTTACTCAGCTCTAAATAGAATATAAATGTATAAATGCCAAGGTTAATGCTATAAAGTTATCACTGGGGAGAGAAAAAGGAGAACCAACCAAGATAACGACACATGATAATTTCTGGTTTGCTTTAACATTTCTGTAGTTAATTTCCTGTTTTAATGCATTTGTGATTAGAGAATATAGAATTTTGCTGAGGTTTCCTTGGTGAATTAATAAAAAATCCATATTTAAAAAGAATATGTATTCTCTGTAGGATAAAAAAAAGTCAATATTACTATACTGTCCACTATCTTTAATATCTATTTTTGTCACTTTGATGTCTCATAGATATTAACCTACTGTGAATGTAATTTTGTTCACTTTTCCTTAACTACATATTCTTATATATTCTATGTGATATTTGGGGCAAAAGATTCATGATTGTTATGTCTTTCATTGTGGCTGAATTTTAAAAGTCATTTTTTAGTATACAAAAGTAATTAAGTCTTATTAAAAGAATTCCAAACTCAACAGAAAGAGTAAATTTCTCATGGCACCACCATCTTCCAAAACTCCCACAGAATTACCACCAGTGCCATTCTGGTGTATCTCTATCGACAAATACACCATGATCACTAACATAGGTGTTATGTATCAATACCTGCCTCCCAACATCATTTTAAACAAAAAAAAAAGGAATCGCACTTTACCAACTATTTTGCAATTTACTTTTTCTTTTTTAAGTTAAAAAAATGTCTCTTAGATATATTTCCATGTTGATACATATAAATCGACCTCATTCTGTTTATTTATAGTATTGCTCTGTGTGCTATCTTTGACCCTTATTAGCATTTGTATACACATAATTTAATAGTGCCATATTGTTCTGATAGCTTTTTATTCCTCTTAATGTTTTTTGCATTGGATTGTAATTTTTTTATAAGGTTTACCTTTTGTTTTAACTTTGATTTTTTTTCCCATTAGAAAAGTAATGCATGCTGATTAAGTTAAATTTGAGAAATTACAGAAAAGCCAAATAGATATACTAACTACTATATATTAGTAAGCACTCCACCATATAAACACTAGCAGTGCTCTTTTGGTTTTTTAATTTCTTTCCAGTTTTCCTTTCAGAGAGAAGGGAGGTTTGAATTGGCTTGTGCCTTAATTTTTAATAGCTTTAACCATACCTTAAATAGAAATTCATGGTCTGCTTTAGACTTATAAGTGATTAAAAGAAATTCCATTACTTCTTATTTCTTCAAGTTAAGTTGATTAATATAAATGACTAACAGTAGTATGTATAAAAAAAAAATCATTCCTAAATGAGAGGCATTTTAAAAAGCTACACAACAATCTTAGTCCCAAGTATCTGAATATTTCAAAGCATTCCTGATTCCAATAAAAAAGAAAATAGATTAAAATTTTCAACATGCCTTAAAGACACACTGCAATAAAACCTATTAATAACAAACAATGGCATTATTTAATGCAATTATGACTTAAACAGCCAAGCTTTTTACCTTAAATCAATCACTACCAAAAATACTCTCTAGAAAATCATCAGCAAAAATCTCCTTATTTAAAATAAAAAATTTTTAAATCATTTCCCTCTCAAATTATAGCCATAACCAATGGCTGTGTTGCCAAGTTCCTTTCCGTGGTCTCTAAGTGTTTTATTTATACCCACTCCTCCCACTCCAGTATTCTTGGGTTCCACAATCAGTTTGAAAACCATTGACATTTATGTGTGTAATTTAAACACTGATAAGAAAGGGGAAATGGCACGAGCTTCTGTACACCGTACACATACTTCAGGTGTGTGAAAACGTACCTGTTCTTCATTTTCTATCTGGTCACTCACATCCTTCATGCCCTCGCCTTCTCCAATCCCACCTCCTTCATAGTCATGGAACTCAGTCGCTCCCTCTCCTGCAGAATCTTCCATGAATTCTTTGGGTAGGCAAAATCCCTTGAAAATAGAGAGTGAATAGTTAGGCACAAAAACAATAAAAAAGGGATTTCCAGTTCTGCCACGGAAAAAAATTTTTAACAAATGCTTAATTATTTTTCTAGTGCAGCATTTTAAATCTGATGGAAGTACAAGAAGGCCTTTGACAGTCTTCTCTTTCTTAGTGATAACAGTCATTATGCAGTTTCCAAGCTTGACATCAGATCTAACATGTGAAGTTTTGACTTTGTAGAGGCCTCTGGTGTGTGGTAATTCGTCATTTTGCCAAGACAAAGCTTTTAATGAAATATACTAAGGTACTGTATTTAGGAGCAAGTCCTAAGGAGAGTAGAACCTCTCAGTGTCTACATCCCAAAGGGGTTTGTTCTGCTTTACTTTTTATTTACTTCTCAAATTAGCCTGAGAGGAGAGAGAAAAGACAAGTAACCCTGGAGGTACAGCAACTTGAAGCAGATATTAAAGTGGGAGATTTCACTTTTACTTTCAAAATTAAAGAAAATTTTGTGTGATGCTCCTCAAATAAAATTTTAATTTTATCATATATAAAAAATATGCCTTCCCCCAACTCTTGAAGTAAGCCTGTCACTCTAAGGGAACATGCCACTTCTGGTCTCAACTGTTTGCTGCCAAAACACCTGGCAACCGGCACCTGGTACAGGCATGGGGCCTCGAGTGGAGAATAAGGTCAGACAGTCATGTCCAGGAAGTGTTAACAAAACTGTGTCATTTTGGAAAATAGCTGAAAAGCAAAATCAACTACTAGTGTATAGGACAAAAATGAATAAAAAAAGTAGAAGAAAACAGTAACTCTCAATCATAAATTTTAACTTTATCAGAGAATATACAAATTATCAAGATATCTGTCATTCTGAAAATAAAAACATACTAAAAATAAGGTAAAAATAAGCTGTCAACCAACAAGAAATAAAGATCCAAGACCCGCAAACGCTGGTTGTGACTTAGCTTTCTGTGGATTAAGTGCTGTAATTACAACCTAGATCTACTATCTTAGCACCATGTGTAACCTACTTTCAAGCTCCCTCAACACTACTCAGAAATGATATGAATATAATTTGGATACTTACAAAATAAAGGAAAGGCAAATTTACTTTCAGGACATATATTCCTATAAAGTTGATTAAAAATCACATTTTGGTTAACTTATCTAATTTTACCATTGAGCTACATTATTTTAAAAGAAATATGCTTAGTATAGACAGAATAAGGCCACAGGAAGAAGATTCAGATGTCCCACAGGGCACTTCACTACAATGGCTGCAGCTGGAGCAGCCGCTGGGCTCTCAGCACTTTGCTTGTATCAGAACCACTTCCACCCCCACACCTCACCTGAAAACACACACAAGGCAGACAGGCCCAAATCGTTCCAGAACCTGTCAGACCAGAGCAATGATGCATGTGGACAAAGAGTTGACTCAAATCTCGGTGCACCCTCACCACACTGTCCTGTCACTGCCTTGCATGCAATGTTTCAACTAGGAAGTGATGGGGTGTAAGGCTGGTTCAGTGCGCATTAGATAGAGGGGGTAAATCTGAGATGTACTCATTTACTTATTACTCAACAAATATACGTATTTATCCTCTAGATACAAGGCATGGGCTTGCCTCCCACTTTTTAACCCTTTCCAGTATTCCAGATACTTAGAACTAAGAACTCTTTTACAAGAAGCCTAGACCCCACCTTTAGTTTGTAAATTCCTATCTTTTGCAAGTGAATCTTATCTGCATTGTGCCTAGATTTGGAGAAAATCTTGGAGTACTAAGGAAATACAACAAAACAAAAAACTTCAATTGGAGGGTCTCACAAAAATGCTAAGGAGTGTAGGCAGATCTCATTTTACAACTGAGGAAACTGAGGCTCAGAGAGGTTAAGTGACAAACTCAAGAGTCCAAGAACTGGATACCTCATGACTGACTGGACTTACCACACAATGTTGGGTCTGTTAGATTTGACGGTCTCCTGCTCCTGAACTTCAAGGGTCGGGTTTACAACCTCTACAAATTCAGTGCTTTTCACAGTACTGAGTACATGGGCTGAATGAATGAATAACTTCCTTACTGAAGAAAAATGCTCCACTTAACACTAACAGCCCCATTACCATTTCATCACAATTACATTAAATAATTTGAAGAAAACTTAATAGCCTTAAGGAGTCATCTATCCCAGAAGTCTAGCTCAAATTGGGGGCCTGGAAAGAAGAGTGTGAAGGGACAGGGGCCACCTTTCGACAGCCTCTAGAGTCTAGGGAGCTCGTCAGTGGGGGGCCTGCAGGTTCTAAGGCTTTGGTAGAAACAGGCTTATAAAAGGGTGCCAGACAAAGCCCTAAAAAGTCCACAGGGAGAGCACATCACCTCCTGCTATTTGGGAAGGTCCAAAATTAAAGCCCATCACACCAAACACTAATGGGCACAGGCTGGCCCAGCTGCCCCACGGTGTACCACGTGCGCAGTCCTTACCTTCTGGGCGAGCTCCGTGAAGAGCTGGGTAAGCACAGAGAGCAGCTTCGCAGAGCTACGGTGAGTTGCCAAAGACATGGTCAGGAAGAAGAGGACGAGGTCCGAGTACCTGGAAAGCATGGGCACCAGGCGCACCAACAGGCAGCAGGACTGGCTGAAGAACTGGGGGCAAAGCACATCAGAAGGCCTGCTCACATTGCTGAGTGGGTACCAACGGGTTTCCTTTGGGGTGATAAAATGGTGATGAAAATGTTCTAGAACTAGGCAGCAATGATGGCTGTATGACACTGAATGTACTAAATGCAACTACTGGGGTTTTATGTATATTTTCATACATACACAAACACACACACACCCCTGCTCACTGAGATTTCTTCCTTAGTCACACAAACCCTCACAAAAGTACACTTTAAGTTCTCAACCACTGAGGTCTCATTTAGTTAACAAGGTTGTGGTTTTAGTTAAAAGAAAATGTTTATAAACAATTTTTTTTTGGAATCAAAGTTGGCACTGGATGCAATGCTACATAATGACATACAATGTGCTACAAAATAAGTTGCTTCTCAGGGCTTATTATGGAGACTACAGCTTATTCTGCTGGCTTATTGTAAAAGAGGTGGTATTTGCAGAGTGCGGCCATTAAGCCTTAGCTGATGGCAGTGACATCCACCACTGACACCAAATGCCCAGTAGTGTGTAAGGCAGGAGATGAAAGAACTCCTAAATAATGGATTTTCTGAATTGCTAGCATTTTTTGTTGTTGCTGTTGTTGTTTTTTTTTTTTTAGCTGAGCCATCCTGCCGCCTGTTGGCAGGTCAGTGGCAGCTCAGCTCGGGCCGTGAATCGAACTGGTGATCCTGTTGCTCTGAGCTCACATTCTTGAGTGAGCTCTTAACCAACTGAGCCACTCGGCCGGCCTATAGAATTGCTAGCATTTTTCCCCCTGTGCATCTTACGACTGTAACCCTTAGCTAACAAGCCATAACTAAGGTTTTCAAAGTTTGTCAATAACATGTACATGTATAAAGAGATCAAATTCTTAAGTGATTCTGCCACATGGAGCGATGTGCAACCCACTCTCTTTGCTCAGCCCACTCCCAACAGCAAGAAGCTTGTAAAGAGCCGTTAGTTACCATGTGCTTCGCAGCTGTGCTGTCCTCACCGTACGATTTCAGCCTCTCCAACAGCTCAGAGACAGCAGAAATTATTTTCTGCACATGCAAAGTGCTCACATCGGCCCAGAAGTCTTCCTCTAAGAGTTTTGTTAGATGTCCTGATTGCAGTCTCTCAAAGCCTGCTGCTGCGTCTTTCATTCACAGAAAAGAACAACATGATGAATAACAGAAAATAAGCCCTTTTCATCTGCATTCATCCAGCCACCATTTCTAACATCTGTCCTTAAACATTTAGTCACAAAAATAAATCATCAAATAAAAACATTAAGTCAAGCATGACACTAATTTGTGCCTGATTTCAGACATACCATCATCTTCCTGTGGCCTGGTCTGGTCAGGGTTCTCCTCTGTCTTTTTACTGTTTCTTTCTGCTAAGTTCTGGATGGCAAAAAGGACGGCCCGGATGGCAGTTTCCATTTGCTCTGCAAAATCTTCCACAAACCCTTCATCCAACATTTGGTTTCCTAGAAAGTCACATGGTACAAAACAAACAAACAAAACCCCTGACTATTGGCTTCCGTGCCTCTAGAAATCACTAGCCCCTCTCATTTGTTATAAATGGTCACCTGTAAGTGCCCACTGTGGGTGAGACACTGTGCCCAGCTGAGCTGGATACAAAGATGAATGAGACACAGGCCTTACCTAGATAAACCTGTAAGTTTACTGTCTTATATTAGAACAATTTTGCTATAAGAATGCCAAAAATATGAAAATAATAGTTACTGTGTTGTGTATAAACACCAGCTTCGTTTAAATATCGCCCTCAGCTTTCCAGTTTAAGGGAGAACTGGCTATAATAGCTGAGGCGGCCATGGTGTCTCCCTTCATGTTTCACAAAAAAAGTGACATGACAATCCAAAGGCAAGAGACTCAAACAAATAAGGTAAAAAAGTTAAGAGCTGTGGGTTCCAACCACACCTGTCTGCCTTAGAACACTGGATAGATAGGTCTACAACAAAAGATGATGTGTCTTTAGGATTATCTGGACTTCATCTACAGGCCATCATTCCTACTCTGGGCTTTTACTCCCTTACTGAACAACAGTCCTTACCTCCTTGGCTGCCTGAAGTGAGTAGGTGTGTTTTCCAGGTAGCAAAGTCATCTGTGGCTTTATTAATTTCTCCTCTGACATATTCCAGGCTCTCAACTAATGCCATTTGTTGGTCTGTTTGCTCAACCTCCATCCCTGGAAGAATGAACAAGGACTCTAGGCCTTGCAAATGAGCTGAGAGCTGGGACAGACAACTCAGCCCCGAAGAGCAAACTTCAAAATCTTTCCTGCAACAACAGAAATGCCACAATGTTGAAAGAAGAGGTCACCACACACACACCCCCAACCACTAAAATGTTAAGCAGGGTAAAACTCGCTGTATCTGAAGATTTACAGCTAGACATAAACCACAAAGCACTATGCAGATCCACTGAGAAAACAGAGGACTGAAATGAAGCACAACCCTTTCATAATTTTACCCCATTACTTAACTCTGAACAAGTACTCAGGCACCCCGAGAAGAGTAAAGGCACAGGCATACTCACCAAGAATGAAAGAGAGTTTCACAAGACTGCTGCCTAATCCTGTCCACATCAGCTTTCACTGTTCTAATGGTTTTCAGCATCTCTGTTAATCTCGAAGTTGACTGTTGCCAAAGCGGGTCCTGTTTCCGCATCCGGCAACCAGAGGGCAGCTGACTTCCAGGTACTGGAGACGGGTAGCTCAGATTTGATGGGATGAGATCTGGCACTGCTCCGAAAAGCTGTCCGTTGCTGAGCTCTGGTCCTTTCGGGTAGGGGACAGAAGGCTGACCCTGCACCTGGGCATCACTGTGGCCTGGAGCTGTCCCTGCACTGGGGCAGCACTGGAGGAACCAGGAGAGCTGCTCCAGTAGGATCTGGCTCTGCATGGCCAGGTGCTGCAGCCTCTCTGTCCACTGCTGCACCCCCTCCTGAGGGGGGAAAGCCACGGGGTAGAGCAGTGGCTCCAATAGCCTGCCGTGAATCTCCTGCACACAGCTGAGGAGGTTCCTGGGTAGAGAAAGCCATGGGGGAAAACACACAGCACCTTAACCTGTGTCACCATGTTGTTTTTAACAGTAAACTCATCCATTTCTGAACCAAGTATACGCTTTTTCACAGAATCAAGGAGACAGGTAAGAAGTCTATTAAAATGCCTCCCAAAGTATTTAAACACATCCTTCAGTCCTTTAAAGAGAAGTATCAAAACTTGCTGCTTATCACCTACCCCCTTACAGCCCTCTCACATTCAACATACGCAGTGATTCTAACCATTACTAAAAAAATAAAAATCTAGTAAATGTAGTATATTTGCTAGATAAACCCTTGAGTGCAGCGGAAAATAGCTGAAGTTGAAGTGATTAGTCTGGAAATACCACCTCTTAACACTTAACCCACGATAATGGGCTTCCTAACTGTTCTCATCTCTTAAATATCTATTTCCGTTGAGGATCACCCATGTATGGCTCAGCAAATCGCAACTCGGTGGCCCACAAAAGCCTAACAAACTGAAGCAGACTCAAACCTGACCTGTGACCAGAGACTGGAACACTCCAATACTATGAACAGAATGCTCTCAGCCCACATGGACTGTCAACCACATATGCCCTCATTCTAGATCCAGGTGTCATTCAGCCATGGCAACATTTACTGTCTTACTCAGCCCTGGACTCTATCCTCAGGCCCCATTCTCCTAAGAGGTGTTATCAGAACTAGGGGGCACAGGCCCATTACTAAAAACCAAGAGAAACCCCACTGACCTCTCTGAGCCTCAAATTTCATTTCACAATTGAGAGCAGCACATGCACCAACTCTGAGCTGACCACTGCAATCCTTCCTAATTCCTGCCACAAACCCAACAGGTCATCTGGTACCTGAGGAGGATCCATTGCTCAGTCAGTGTGGTCAGGGAGCGCCGCTGTCGGATAAGCATCTTCATCAAATGTGCCGAGAACCCTTTACACCGTTCAATGTTGCCCACGCCCATCTCCTGGCAGGGGGCGTTGGCGGGGGGGGGAAGAAGAGCATGTTGAGGTGCTGCTGGCAAACACCACCACCCTGATACATGCCACCAGAAAGCTATTTCCTCCAGTGTTTTCTGGGGGAAGAGTCCCTTGCTTAGATAAGGTTTTGGCTGTGCTGCACTCTAGAGGCACCACACTGATCTTTTTGAGCAGTGCTTCTCAAATGATACTTCTACAGATCACTGATATTCCATGAATAGGAACTAGGCTTAACACCAAAATTCGACATTAGTGGCTTTTTTCCCCAAAAAGAGGAGAAAAAGATCTGAAGATGGCATTCTCAATTTGAGGTTTGTCTCCCATAATTTTTCTTATTTGCCTGCTGGCAAAGGTGAGTAACAATTTATTACAAGATGCTGTCTAATGGTTAAGCACAAAATTATACTGATTTGCCTTGTAAGTTTAATGATGTTCTATAAAAATCTAGTCCCTTCCAGTAACAAACTGCTATTACTTGACAAGGTCTGACAACACCACCCTGGGATGAACAGAACCAGAACTTCCGCTGTGCCTTTGCAATTCTGAGGTTCTATCATTCTACCTTGGCAGGAGCTGCTAGGGCTGCAGTAAGTCTGGCGTGTCGTGCAACACAGCAGTAAAAATACTTCTGGCACCCATCCCACGAAGATGAAATTTCTGTAAGCAGCCTGAAAAAGAAATCAATCATGATTTACTTAATTAAAACAATTGTCTCCTACCTCAAATCCTAAAGACTCAGAGATTGGTACAACCAAAAGCTAAGAGTCTGAACAGATTTATCTCTGTGAGGACTCATTCAGTCAGGCACTCATCAGTCTTTTATGCAAAGGATGTATTACATACTTAGCACCAGAAGTACAGTGGGGAAATAAATGATGATGACAATATGGTTTCCTTAACGAGAACTTCATAACTGTCTTGGCAGTAGAAGCTAGTGGTCATAAATTTTGACGCCTATAGTGGCCAAGGAGATAACAAATGATTAAGGACAGCCAAGCACAAAATCATACATGGTAATGACAGCAAATGTGGGAGAACAGGGATTGTTATGGATCATAGTGAACTGGAGAGCAAGTCACAAGGAGGGACCTATAGCCAACTTTTGACCACATGGGAAAGCAAGCCCACCTGGTCAAATTTTCCTAAAAAACTGAAAATCCAAAATGTTTATGTAAAATTTCTACTTTTTACAATGTTGTGTTGAATTCAAACTTAAAGCACTGAGAAGGCTACTGAACAAACAAAACACAAATGTCTGTCATACCCACTTCATGCAAATCATCATCTACAACAACCTCTGCTATAGTTAACCCCGAGGTATCTCTGTCTCAAAGTTTACAGGCTCTCAAATTCGAGAATATATTAGAACTTACAAGAGGTTTATGTACGTGAAACAGCTAAACATGTGGCTATTCTCTTGCAGATTTTCATTTGTACATTCAAATAAAATGAGAAGACCTCAGAAAAATCAAAGGAAAAAAAACCCCCAAAAAAACAATGGAAGAGGGGAATACAAGAAAGAAAGAGAAAAGAAAAGAAGGAAATTAACACTTACTGCAGCTCACCATGTGCCAGATCACAAGCCAGGCACTTTTCTAAATGTTATCTTTATAGCAACGCTAGGAGAATGGTATTGCTCTTCCCATTTTGGCAATTAAGGACATGGAGGTTTCAATGACTGGTTCCATTTATAATTAAAAAAACAAACCTAGAATCAGCCTCCTGAGTGCTGCTGACTATAGACAACGCGCTCCGGAGATCTAACGGGCGAAGATGAAGCATCTCCTGATGGTTTTTTGAACGGGCCCAGGCAAGACCTTTGCGATACGACAAACCTACAAAGTAAATAGCATGTTTAAGTAAAGGAACTCAGGAGAGAATGGATGTGCCATTCCCCCACCCCCCACACGCCCACCTCTACGCCACTGATGCTCCAAGTCCTCAGAGCAGCACCACCCAGGAGCTTGTTAGAAAGCAGATGCTCAGGACCTGCACCTCACCCACCGAATTCTACTTCTGCACTATCACAAGATTCCCCAGTGATTCATACATACATCAAAGTTTGAGGAGTGCTGCACTCCAAGCTATGTTTGAAAGGGTGAGTGTTGTACAGCATACGGTGATGAAAATAAAATACATAAAATCTGACAAACTTCATTACAAAAGTGTGAAAACATTTGGGACTCACAAAAGGTTCATCACGGGATTTCGTATGTATAACTAGCATCTCAAAGCTGCACTTGCCACCGTTTGTTTCCCACCATCTCAACGTGACTCTACAAACTACCTCCAATTCACCCATGTTGCTTCTCTCCCTAAAAGCAGCTGATTATACCTCATTGGGCTTCAAGCTTCAAGTGAGAACCTTACCAGTTTTTGCAAGGTATTTAAAGAGGTCTGCTAAGGCTCGCTGCTTCCGCATGAGAATGTGCTTGGCTTCTGACTGCTGCTTCTCCTTCTCTGCAGAAGGCTCCACCTTTAAGCTCTGCAGCTCGCTCACAGAGGAAATTACTTCACCTGAGGGGAAAACAAAGAGCTTATTAATATGTTAAAATTACCCAAGACCACGGACATTTTGGGAAATGAGGACCAGGTATCATTCATTTTTATATCCTGGATAACTAGCATTGTCCCTAGTGTTTGGTAAATTCTCAATTAAAGTGATCAAGATGCATGGAAATTAGAAAATAAAAACATACGGGATTTCATATCCCTTGACGACTCAAATAAAAGTAGTTACTTTTTTTAATTTAGGGGATTTATAGTCAAGCAAACAAAGCACTTACTAAGCGCCAATTATGTGCAGTGATTTATACTAGGAATTTTAAATACCTGAGGTAAATTTCCTATAAATATGATACATATTGAACTCCTACCCTGTACCTGGTACTTGGTAGATGTTCTTTTAATCTGCACAAATCCAGAAGCACTTATTTGTAGCTGCTCAGAGGGGCTCAGAGAGGTCTGTCACTTTCTAAAGTCCATTCAGCTAAAGCGTGGACTTGCAGACAGGACTTGAACTCTGGCCTAACCAACTCCAAAGCCCAAGTTCTTTCTCCAACAACATGCTGCCTTCCTAAATACCCAGAGGTACCTACAATACAAAGGTGCTGCCAGCCTGCCACAGGCAGTGCCATGGGCTGACTGTGTACCCCCAAATTCATACTGCAGTCCTAACCCCCAGGACCCAAATGTGATTATCTTTGGAGATAGGGCCTTTAAAGAGGAATTAAGGTAAATTGAGGCTATGTGGGTGGGCCCTAATCTAATCTGACTGGTGTCCTTAAAAGAAGAGATTAAGACACAGATACACACAGGGGAAGACCATGTGAAGACACAGAGAGAAGACAGCCATCTACAAGCCAAGGAGAGAGGGAGGACTCAGAAAAAAACAAATCTGGCTGTCAGAGTGGCTCAGTTGGTTAAGAGCTCGCTCAAGAGTGCAAGTTCTGAGCAACAGCGGTTCGATGCCCGGCCCGGCCCGAGCTGAGCTGAGCTGCCAACAGGTGGTAGGATGTCTCAGCCAAAACAAAAAAAAAAACCAAAAAAAAAAACCCCAATTCTGTTGACACTTTGAACTTGGACTTTTAGTCTCCAGAAATGTGAGAAAATTAATTTTTGTTGTTTAATCCACCCAATATGTGGTACTTTGTTAAGGCAGCCCTAGCAAACTATTGGGGTGTCGGAAAATCATGACGTATTTTTTCTATATTTTTCATTGCAAAAATGCGTCATGACTTTTCTGACAACCCATAATTATAGCAATCTTGTCTTCCAGATGACAGCAAGCATACCACACCCATTACACTGACAGCGTAGGGGAGTTAAGAGGAGAGAATGCTTTGAGTCATACAGAGTGGGTGCCCTTTCCAGAAGATGCATTGGACTTGTATTCCATTCATCACCAGGCTCAGGAGAAAGGTCACCTTGAGCAATGGACAGTAGGCTATCATTCTAACAAGAATTAAAAGAGCTCCTGGGCCGGCCGAGTGGCCCGTTGGTTGGGAGTTGGCTTGGGACGCCGGCTCTGGGCAGCAGGGCCCTGGTTTGGATCCCGCATGTGGGCTGGTGACACTGCGCCCTCAACAGCTAAGATGGTGAACAACAGTTCGACCTGGAGCTCGGCTACCGTGAGTCACCGTGACCGGCAGTCCAAAAAAAAAAGCATTAAAAGTAAAGAGCTCTCTGAGACCAGACTGTAACCTAAAAGCACCAGACTCACTCTGACACCACACACACTGGGGGAGGTGGTGGGAGGAGTGGTGAAAAGAAAGGCTGCCAAGAGCCCAAACTATTTATTAGGCTCTGGGTTCCGACCCCAGCGGTTGCTGCTATACTACAGAGCAAATCTTGGCTCTCCATTTCCCTGAAGAGGGATGGCCAGGGAGATGAAACTGTCATACCTCTTTGAAATAAAGAAAGCAAAAAGACTGCTTAAATCTTCCTTTTCCTTTAACTCAAGAGAGACAACATTTGGACAGGTGGGGGCAGGTGAGTGATTCCGGGTAATCCATCTCCATCCCCTTTACCCTTGCCCCAACCAACAAGAGCTGATACAGACAAGCTTGTAGTAGAAAACGGTCTAACACAGCACTAGTTTACATGCGAGGAGGACAAGATGAAAACTGTGATCAAAGTTTGTATAATCTCAAGTTGGCTCCTATGTCTGGGTTCTGCTGGTTTTTAGCCCACTTGTTCATTCAATTAACTGCTCAACACTATTCAAGATGACAAAAAGAGGACATAGGTGACAAACTGGCAGCCCTCCTGGGCCACTGGGGAAAAGAAAGAGAGCAAAGCCCCGCTTTGCCCCTGGCAGCTGGCACCCACCGGTGAACTGATCAAGGCCCTCCACCAGGTGAGGGAGGCGACTTTCCTTCATGAGCGCCAGGCACACCCTCCTCATTCGCTTCATGAGCTTCGGCAAGCGATACAGAAGCTCCCCCTCCGAGGGGAAAGGAGCGCTGTGACACTGTTCTGGAATTGTGGCCTACGAGACAGAGCACAGGGTAGTTTTCCTGACGAGAACAACAGTAAAAGCACAAGCGTGCACAAGTGCTAAATTAAAATGCGGCACCCCTCCACACACGCCCAGCTCAGCAAATATTAAGTTCTCTTCTCACCACCTCTGAAATCTCACAAGCACAAGAGTAGCATCACCAATATTAAAATAGGAATGTACCATGGATATTTAGGAAACTGCATTGTTGCTCCATATGAGATAGTGGAAGTAAAGGACCGCCACCCCCACCTCTGGCAATGCTTTCTGTGCTAGCCATAAGGAGACTCCAGTTCTGCTCTCTGAACACAGCAGAATGAGTGACTGCTGCCTTTGAGGTGCTTGCCGCACTGTTTCTCAGGCACACAGCAAGGCTAAACTGACCCACCAAATCCCCCTTCTATTACCATCCCCACCCTCCACTTCCTGTTCAAATATCAAGAACCCCGATATTAGATGAAGGGGCAAGCTTTTGTCCATAGGGGCATATTTTCATTCTTTTTTTCTCCTGAAGAATCCCTGAAAATTCCTATGCTGTCATGGATAGCAAACCAAAATTTTTGATCAGCATGACAGAAGCAGTGAGTTGACATATAATCAAAAGAAAATAAACTTGGTAGCCATCTTATCTGTAGTGCCATATCACGGCTATATGTTCAATTTCCATTATGCTTTCTGTAGTGTTAAAACACTAAAAATAGCTTGAGGAGCTCTACTGCTAACTCTACGGACCCAGGGTGGGAAGTACAATAAGAATGCAAAAGTAATTACTCTATAGGGGTGCCCCTGAACCCCAGAGCTCCCCACACCAAAGGACATAAAACAGGAACACCCATCCTGTAAGAGACCTGCTCACCTAAGATCTCTACGACTGTTAAATTGTCAGGAATTTTGCAAGCCAGCTCTTAACCATTGGTGCTTGAAATTGGCTATGAAGAGACTATTTACACCATAGTCATCAGTAACCACTACACACCAGCATAGCAAATAACTGCATACATTCATGCCCCGTGTTGCAGCTTCATCATGTGGTAGCGCCAAAGGAGCTTCAAAGGCATAATTCCTACAGTGATGCTTCAAATCTTTTGTCACAGGTAAATGACACGTTCATAGGTAAGGACAGCACCTATTTCCCATAGGCTAACATTAAACTTTCAGTGCCAGGATCCATTCTTTTGTCTTATTCTGCAGCAGGGTCAGGCAGACACGCAAATGCTATACACGTCCAAAGAGCCAGATTTCAAAGGCATTTCCTTTCCTAGTTACAACAACACTCCTTATGCACACAGCACAGATCCCATCTGATTGGCCCAGGAATAAGCAAACACTGTTCAACGAGTCAGTACCTGCGCAGCAGCCGGCCGGGCTAGCAGGGTCTCCCTCAGCGCCCTGTTCAGACTTTGAATGGGGGAAACCTCACTTGTGGCTGCTTCTGTTGGCTGCAGCAAAAAGTCAGGCTGTTCCTCGTCACTCTCCACTAGGGATGACAGGCAGGGTTCACTCAGGACAGCTTCAAATTTCTTCATGAATTTAAAGAGGGTCCTGGTAATGACAGAGATGAGGAAGGAAAAAAATGGGTGGAAGTGACGAAATGTAAACATGACATCAAATGTGTACACACGTAACTTAATAGCCTGTACCTTATGTATACAATGAGCTCCTTAGATACTCATAATCATCTTTTTTAAGTATGGAGGGTATTGTCATCTACCTTTTCCAGAAGAAAAAACTAAAGTCATGAATGGTGGGATCACTTTACTCAAGTTAAAACACCTAGTAGGTGGCAGAAAAACTCGAGCCTTCTATAGCACAGAGCCTGCTTTGCCTCAAGGCACACCAATGTTGCCTGCATCTAGACTCTGCTTTGGGTGGTGTTGAAAAGCAACGCCAACACACTCTAGTGTTTCAGAGTAAGTTCAAGGCAGCACTAAGTCAGCCATTGTAACAATGTGGTCTTGCTGCCTACCATTTGGCAACTCTGAGCTTTGGTCACCCCTAGTTTCAAAGGAGGAATTACCTGTGTGTCTTTTCCACAGATTGTTTAATGGACCAGAAGCTGACATCATTCCACTTGGATATCTTAACAAATTCCTGTAAGATAAATGAAGTTCAAGGAATGGCTGTATAAACCCGGGGTCATTCTGTTTCTTTCCAGATCATCTGTTTGCCAAAGACCAGAGCCCTCTCCATCACAAACACAGGACTGTGTGTGTCAAGGGACAAGTAAAGCAAGTCTATAAAAGGAACCATGTGTTTGTCTCAAAGGATTGAAAACCAGAGTGCTGCTACAATCAACAGGCACTTGGGATATATTCCGGCTGATACCTGGGTTGGTTCCACAACCACTGGAAATTCCAACAAGAGAGGGTCCTCCTTACCCCGTGGCGTCTCAATGGCACATGGATGCTGCTCCTCTGAGGGGAAGATCAGCCCGGGCAAAACCGGGGAGGAAGTACCACCCGAAGTCTGTGGCCACCCTCTCAAGGAGCCCTGATAGGGGCCACTCCACCAACACCTCACACACTTGGCCAGCTCCGCGATGGAGCCAATGCCACAAACGTAAATCTTGCCATCCTACTTGGAAGTTGCAGTGCTTTCCTCCATTCCCCAGAGCCCCCTGCCTCAGGTAAATGGATAAAAGAACAGAACTGAAAAGGAATTTGTGATTTTGTTCTCCCAAGAGTGATCATAACAGCTGTTTATCTTACTTTAAGTTCTTTTTCTAGGGGGGAACGAAGTTCCACAATTTTGGCCTGGACCCGGTCAAAGAACTGCTTGTAATAATGGTACAAATTCCATAGCACACTGCAAAGTGAATCTGAAAGAAATGAAAAGGAAACAAAAAACACCACACTTGCTGCATGTGCTCCTGGCTCCACCTGAGGGCTTCGTATTTCATAGATGTTCCTTCCTCAGCCCTCTTTAGGCCACGAGATTACAGCACAATGTTTTACAGGCTCATCAGGGAGCCTGTCTGAACTTAGCAGTTCCCAGACATGCTGGCTGTTAATGCTATCCTGTTTTTTAATTTCAGCTTGCAGTGAAAATTTTTTTTTTTGCACTTCTGTTCTTAAAGATGGTGTATTCAGATGTTCTGCCAGACTCACAATTTCAAAACCCTTTCTCTGAGTCTTATACTGAAGTCAGCAGAAACTGAGCCTGCTTTGAGAGAGGCTCCCCTTGATTACTCATTCACATAACAGTCTGTACTCATTTTATACCGACAGTGTCATCCAAATTGCTGTGGACAGGGATAGTAATTGACGGGAGGGCTTTAGGTGCTGTTATTTGACATGTGGCAGTGTTCTCACTATATCAAAGGACCTGATAACAGCCTGGAAGGAGCAGCTTAGCAGGACCTGTGTGCTGTCTAGACAGAAAGATGTGCTGCCTCAACACGCCAGTTCCCCAGACCTGCCCCTGGCAGTTTACCTCTGCCAGTTCACTGTCATTGCTTCATGATAACCAGTTTGAATTGTTCTTTGAATGTTTTTCTCTGCATCTAACGTGAATCACATTAAAGTAAAAGACGATGACAAGTGTCTTGTTCAAAACCCGGTATGTAACAAGATACCTGTGTCATGTGGAGAATTCGTAGTCTAACCCATTTTACCAGTGCAGTATAAAAGTAAAGAAACCCATATAAAAAAATATGTGTATATATATAAAATCTCCACTTACCCTTTCCTTCAACTTGTGGCATCAGTAAGACATGACAATGGAAAACCAGTAACATCTGGAGTCGTACATGGAATTCTCCCAGTGAGGATCCTTCAATAAACGCTTTCAATGTGTTGACCAGCAACACCAGGGTCATCTGTTTGTCATCTTTAGAGAGTGAAAGAGGAAAACATATGTGCCTGCAACCATCACTTATTCATAACATGCATGCTATATACTACGGGATACACTGAGGGGTGGCAGTCCAGTAGAGACTACAATTAAAGGGACATTTTGAAGCAAGGACCATGGCTAAATTCTAAGCTGATTTAAGAACAACAGCTGCACTCAGGATGTGTGTTAAATGCACTCACAGCAAATTATGAACTTGAATTATGAGGTGCTTGTTTTACGTATGAAATGAAACTCTTTTAACTCAAGCACATTTACTGCTACGTACCAACCGAGACGACAACTTTCATTTTGACTTGTCTCATGGATATAGAGAATAAGGAAATCTTATCTTATGACTGTCTAGACTTCGGACAAGTCACTTAAACCTCTCTGGCTTTTCGTTATTAGAGAACTACATGGCTTTCCTGGCTACCTCTCAGGGATACCATGAAGTCAAATGATGCAACCTGTGTGAAAGCAGGTGGGAGTGGACATGGGTGCAGGTCAATCCTTTGTAGCACTCCAAGTTTAGCTCGGAACCTCGAAATAAGCAGGGGATGTACTGACAGGTGTTACCTTCTTGCTCTTCTGTCTGTTCCTGCATGTGCTTCTCAAGCATCTGATAGATGGAGAACCAGTGCTTGGTGGATTTCTCAGTGTGGCGCTTCATGGTATTATCCAAACTCATACACCAGCAGCTGAAACATGAGAAGAGGCCAAGGAAGCATTTAAGGAAATCCATTTGAAATATCTGAAACCACAGAAGCAGAAACTAAATGGAGATGGAGAAGCCTCCCAGGTTGTTGCCTCAGGAAAGTATGCTGTTATCTGGTCTCTACCAAGGTAATTTTAATGCCCAGCTTTTAACTCTGTGATTAATGACTGAAAAGCACATTCTCTAACTGCCATACTACATAAATTCTGAAGAAACAAACTATCAAAAGACGAATGTCCCTGCAACATAAGGTCAGGAGGGGAAGGAAAGTGATAAATGTGTCCCTTACTTCAGTTCCAGTTTACGCCAACGAATGATCATCTGACTGACCAAATCGAGGTGTTTCCGCAGAGACAGAGCTCGGCTTGCATTCTCCTCCCAGTCCTAAAGAAACAAAACTAGAATTTACTATGGCCATTAATCAATTCCTTAATCACCTCCTCCCTCAGGAACATCCTGGACTTTTCTTGCGTGAAGACTTTTATGGTAATCTACCAAGAGCAACAATGGGTTTACATATTGTGTATCTAGATTCAAGTTCTTTCTGGTCACTTGACAGCACTCCAGCAGAAACAAGTAGAGAGGCAGGCAAAATGTACAGGATTTGGAGACCTGAGTGTGAATTCCATTAGTCATGTGACCTCTTCAAAGTTCAGAACCCTCATCTGATAACCAGGGGCACGCCAGCTAATTGGCTGAGAGGGCGGAGGAGGACAGCATGTGTAGGCACTCTGCCAGTCTGAAGGCCCACCTGAAAGTCCTGGCAGGGAGCCGTCAGCACCAGTGGACACTGTGTCCCATCCCTGAGAACGGGTGAGGCAGGTAGGTCCCTTACATGCCCCACAGAGGTGGTGGTTCCACTTGCAATGATCTGACCCCATGCCAGAAAGTCCAAGGAGATTAATCCTTCTCTAATCCAAACTATAACTTTCTGTCCCTCTAACAACAAAGGTGCCAAAAGATAATTTTTTCAACTGACTACAAACTAAACTGAGGAAGAAAGGGGAGGTCATCATACCTGAGCCTTTGCCAGAAGGATCTCCAAGCCATTCAGGAACTTTGAGATGGGGCTGGAAAGTGGGAAACTACGGATTCTGCCGATTACCACCAGCAACTGCAGGGGAAAAAAAAAAGATCTGGGTATTTCTGTGGGAACACAAATCACTCAAAGTCACAAAGCACTTCACAAGCTGTGTGAAAGCTGTGGATGAAACTTCCAGGGCTCTAGATCTGAGATAAACATTTTATCTGTTACACTACTCTGGGAAAAAGATGAAGTTTGATAAGATAATTACTCTTATTACTCTATTATGAGATATTACAAAATTGGCTGAAGATCATAGAGCAAGGTCTGAATTAAAACTGCTAATCTTGAAAAAGTCAGGCCTTTGCAAGTATGCTTATGTGTCTGAATTCACAGAACAACAGAGCAGCATTCTGATATGTAGACAGCAATCCCCGACCAACCAATCAAATTAGTGGAATCCCAAACATCATGTATCCAAGAGCAACACAAGCTGGTATGTTCATCCTGTAGTGGGTGAGTAGTGTCTCACTGAACTGGGGCTCTTGCTGCAAACCTTTGTTTATATGTACAAATGTACAAATGAACGCCCCCCAGGCACGGCGAGAGGCCACATCCTCAGTGCCCCCTCCTCACCAGCTGCCCTACCTGCTCGAGTGCTGGGTGTTCTGGCCAATCCTGCAGCAGCTGACTGATAGCCTCTGAGAAACTCTGAAGCACAGGTTGACAATGCCGTGCTTCTGGGACATTGGGGTGCTGATAGAAGTCATAGGGCCCATCAGGCTTCACTATCAGGTCTGAGGTCGCCTCCCCAAACAGAGTGTTGTGGGAGAGGGTGCAGGCCAAAAGTTGGCTGCCCAAGAGTTGGTCATTCAGCTCGACTCCTGTGGAGTTACCAACATCACAGTAAAGTCAGGGGACTCAGTAAGCTGGTCTACCAAGTTTAAAAAGATGTTAGAAACATGCTCAAAAATAATGAACTGCTAGAACGAATGAAGCAGCTATTTCAATGCCATTCACCCGCAAAGCAACATAAGCCTAGAGGACTGTGACCCTGACACTGCGGCAGTCATGAAAATCTGCTAAGTTTCTAGGATATACAGAGCAACTTGGATACTATCTAGGTGTAACCAAGAGGGTACAGAGTTTGATTTAAAGGATTCAAATTCCTAGTTTTTGTAGCTATTCTTGGTAGGCAGAAATAAAACCTAAAGCTTCCTTCCTACTTACATGGAACAACTCATGAGGTCACAGAGAAAACTGCATCAAACCATATACTGTGAGATTAATTTCCAAGTTCCCAGGAATACGTGATTTCATTTGAGAAACACTGAAACTATCAGAGGCAAACTGGAAATAATGCTGAAGAACAAGACCATTTTAACTAAGTCCACATTCTTATTTTCTTAATCCCTTTATCACAAAATATTCAAATGATGAAAATCCATCTTTATTGCAAAATTTTAAATCAATTTTTTTGAATTAGCTTAAGTCCTTTAAACTAAGAAAATTCCACCAATCAGAAAACTAGCAAAAACAGGGAGGTGATGGTTTTCATTGTTCTAGAAGTAGCAAGTACATCTATTCACTTCCATTTCCCAAGAGTATAATAGAAGTAAACTGCCGTACCCATCAGGGGGTAGAAGTGTGTCACAAGAGATGCCCCCGTCTGATAGCAGGATAGAAAGAGGCTGAAGTAATGCTTTGCCTCGTGTGGCGGCAGAGTCTGTTGATACCACAGGGACCGGGCAAAGCTGAGACACAGCTGCTGGTGAACCAGCATCACAGCCTGCATGGAGCTCGGGGAGAGGAGGGCAGGGTCAGTGGGCGCTGCTTCTTCATGCCCGTCGGAAGCTCCCTTCTTCTCCTCTAGTGTAGGTTCTACCAAAATATCCGCAAAGTCCTGTACATAACATTAGAGCAATGAAACTTTTGAAAATCAAAATTCGGTCCTAATCGGACTAAAAGGAAGGGGAAAAGATGGAGTGTGAACAATCAAGAAATCGAGGCAGTGACATATGTATTAAGCTATAGTAAAAAGGTTATGAAACCACTGGAAGGGAATATGTGTGTTATCAAGGGAATGCATTCCAAGACTAACCCTGACCTTTTCGTGCAGTGGGAACTGCTTTCTGAACTCCCGCTCTTCCTCCTCCTCCTCGCTCAGGGCTGTCCTGGAGTTCCTGCTCCTGTATCTGTACAGGCTGCTCTCCTGCTTGGCCTTCTCTTGGGCTATGCGTTCCTGTTCATCCCACTCATTGATGATTTCCTGAAAAGTCACACATCCAGAAGGAAGCTTATTTGCCTTTCCTGGGGCACTTACAATGAAAAAAGGGAAGGCTTGTTATCTCTTAATTTCTCATGAAAACAAAAGTACCATGGTTCAGAAACAAACATATGCCAACAGCCAAGAAACTAAATTCCAGGTAATAGAGATCAAGTGGGCTTTGTTTTCAAACTGTATCTGTAAGCAACCCACGTTTCCTAAATTACCCCTTGCTGTAGCATTACCTTTTCACAGGTATAAAATCTTGCTACAGCAGCACTAAGGGGAACTTCCTGTCAGGAGTTAATGGTGTTGTGCACTACGGATAGGCTGGGGTCGGCACGATGGGGTGATTCAGACTGCCCCTGGCTGGCACCTCAAGGAACTGGCCAAGCGGCCAGGGTGTTTGAGGGGCACCAATCAGGAGAAACTGGGCTATGCCTTATCAGACACTTCTTAAATTCCCTCCTAACTCTTAAGATTTTAGGTCCTTAAATTGGGAAAAGGTATAAATTAAAGAAACCACAGAGTACTGATAAAGGTTGAGCAATGAGCATCCACCCATCAGTAAGATAATTTGTATTAAAAACCTAAGCAGTTAATCTTTGTCCCCACAATTCTGCTTTTTAGAATCTATATCCAAAACCTTAGTTATAAGACTATTAATGGTGGTGGTGTTGGTTTCCCCCCCCCAAAACAGCAAAAAAAAGTACATACAGATGTAAGTGCTCAACAATAGGAAACTAATTAAATTACCTACATCATGCCCACACAATAGAAAACTAGGCAGCCACTAAATATGATGCAAGTGAAGAACACCATAATTATGCAAAGTATAATTACCAAATAATCACCAAATGCAAGGTATAAAGCAGAACAGACTTTATCATTGGTTTGTAGGACTCTAGTAATTTAAGGGCCAGTCTCTGGGACCATGGAGGGGACAGAATTGTTCTCAACCAGAGAAGCTCTTTTATCAGTTAAATATTGGGTCACTATCCTATGATTTTTATTTGTAAAAGGGCTCTACTAAAAAAAATTGTAAATCACTGGGACAAATGACTTAAAATCAATTTAGAATGGCATAGACATACATTTACAGATACATTTACACAGATTAGCAAGCCTAACAATGGATACACCAGTATGTGAACAGTTTGATAAAATCTAATACTTTTGCTTATATTTATTCTTTTAATTATCTAAAATGAGAACAAGCTGCTTTTGTTGGTAAATGAAAATACAAGTTATTTTCTTTATATTAATAAAAGTTGATACAATTACATGGCAAAAACCACCATAAACAAAGTCGAAAGACAACCAACAAACTATTGGCAGTGTGTAACACAGATAATGGTCTAAAAGCACTAATTTTCTAAAATCTCTTAAACATGGAGGGAAAAGGCTTGAAATCTGACAGTTAAATAAGAAAAACAGAAAGAGACACTAGAAGCCCACTCACTAACCACACTGTCTCAGCACCCTGGGCCCCGCTAATGTCCTGCTTATGCTGCCAGCTCCCTTCAGGTGGAGGGGTCAGGCAGCCCTCCCTCACGCCTTGTCGCTGTGATGACTTGGGCTTGAGCTGGAATCCGGCTTGGTCAGGGACAAGCTGAGTAATCCTGCAGGTGGTGCTTAGCCTCTCTAACACTCGGTTTCCTGTGTTAAGTGGGAACGATGAAAACTACCACAAGGCAGGTAGGTATTAGAAAAAACCTCCTTTTCTTCCACCCCACCCAGGCTTACCTGGCACACATGTCTGAAGAGCTGCAGGGCCCTCTGGTCCAGCTCTCCCTTGCACAGAACATGGGAGCGCAGGTACAGGAGGGCATTCACAAGCAGCTGCTCTCGGGTGGGGCAGGGTCTGACGCCCTTGCCTTCCAGTTCCTTTCCTCCTGAGCGCTTAAGGATCAACTTCCCAAGGCCTCGCACCACCTCTTCTGACTTCACTGAGCACAAAGCATCTGCATGAGCATAGTAGGTGGGGAAGGTAGGGTTCACTGATGGGAAAGCCAACAGGGATGTGGCCAGGGCGTCCAGCCTGTCTGCACAGACCACGCTGCTATGGAGTGAGGCGTGGACCTCGGACGCCACCAGCCTCATTCCATGCTGCAGCTGCAAGATGGATGCCTGCAGCGGGGCCACAGAGTCTGGGTACAGGGTGTACTCCTCGGCCAGCCGTTTCCTGAACTGGTGGTGCGACTGCTGCCAGGAGGCCTCCTCCTTCAGAAGGTTCTGGGCCGCCTGGGCAGACCGAGGCCTATCTGCGCGGAGGGCCTGCAGGAGCCGCGCAAGCAGATCCTGAACGGCAGGGGCCTTGGCAATGCTGGTGACGTAGTGGTGAATCTCCTGTGCCAGCGACTCATACACAGGCTGCTGGGGTCTGAAGGCCTGCTTCTTGGACAGGCTGAGGATTAAATTCTCCAGGTGATCGATTCTTTGGTGAAGCAACCTAGAGGCAATTTAACACAATATGCAAATTCTGTCAAAAGAGCAAAAAATCTAGACTAAGCCCTCAGGAAAATAGAATGAAGACATTTTAGCTACTGAGGAATAATATGATGATAATAACCGACAACTATAATGTAAATGGATAATATGTAGCATTTACCATGTGCCACACATAATGTTAAGCAATTTAAATGAATGTCTCATCAGAGCCCCTCACAACTCACGGAGGTAGGCACTGTTATCCTTCTTTTACAGATATGGACACTGAGGCTTAAAAGCATTAAGTGGCCTCCTAAAAGTCTAAACCCACAAGGCAGGGACAGAACTGAACTGAGAACCCACGACGCTATACAGCATTTCCTAAGGAACAGGCCCACATAGTGTATATCATCACATACACTGAGAGTAAGCTCTGCTTTCAACCCTCCTGGCCCCCATGGGAATCCTTCCCCTCCTTTCACAGAGTATATCTTTTTCCTGACTCTAACCATGGCTTTGGCTTTGGGATTGAGTTGCTAATGTAGTTCAGATGTGCAGCATCACTTCTAACACTGTAATTATATTATAAAGGTCGACCTCAAAATATCTTTTTTTAAAAGGAGTGTCTATAACCCCCAATACAAATAATCGCTCTGCTGTGTTACCTGATGTGAGGATGAGAGTAACTGATAATGACCTCATCTTCCAAGTCTCTTCCAGTCTGTAGCTGGGACAGGAGGTTTCGGGTCTTCCACTCGCACTGCAGCTGGTGTAACTAATGCAAAGAGGAGAAGCTAGGACCATGCCAGAGCAGACAATGCCCTGGGGGAGGGGAAAGCAACTAGATAGAAAGAATTTGAGTTCCTGAATGACCCAAGGGCAAGGGGTTCTGCTCCATTAACCTGGACCACTCAACTCAGAGTGGTTAGGTGAAAGAAACTATCTTATTTATGCCACTGAACTTCTGAGACTCTGCTATAGCAGCTTAGCCTTCACCCCAACCAATATAATTTTCCTTCTTCAAAATACAGAACCAGTATATCACTATCTTTATGTATTCAGTTCCTGGGTTTGGTTGGAAGTTCAAATAGCAAGGAATGTCCAAAGGATCTGAACTACCTGATTCCTGAATTTTAGATAATGAACACCAAAAGTTCAAAACCTGAGGAATAGTATACCCTGTCTAAAGAAGTTATCCAAATCCAAACACCCAAAAACATAGTTCAGGGAGAGGGAGTCTGGACAGTGAGGGATATCACTATTTCTCTGGCAGTGCCTTAGGTGTTCTTCTGCCATGCCCTCTGCCCTCTGCCCTATTGGCAGATCCATCAGAACCTTAGGAAGGGCCCCTCCCTCAGAGGAACTCTTATAGAGGAAAACAGTCTTTAGAACACATTCCTGGGAAGTCACAAGGCAGCTTCTGCAAAATCGCCCCTTTGACGCTCTGCACATCCCAGAGAAAGTAAAAGGATCAATATATTGTACTAAGCAAACCCAGCCAGCCAGGGATGGAGCCCACGCTCCCAGCTCTCATCTCCATACCTCTTCCTTGGCATACTTGAGCTTGTACTCCCTCTTCACTGCAGGGTCAAAGCGTGCTTGGGGAAGCCACGTCTGAATCTGGAGCAGGCCAAGGCTCACCCACAGGCTCCCGCGCCTAGCCGGCTCAGGCAGGTCCTGCTTACCCTCCCCTTCCCCAAACAAGTGGCGCAGGGAGGTGAGCAAAAGGCACAGCAGCTCTTTGGGCAGCGCCACCTGTCCAGCCATGTCCCCAAGAGTCTGGCCCACGTGCTGGAAGGCCTGGCTGTCCCCACATAGCAGCTGCTCACAGTTCTGTATGTACTCTCGCCGTCGGGTCTCAGGGAGCAGCTCTGCCAGGCCTGCCAGGTGCCGGCACAGCACCAGCCCCTGGAGCTGGGAATCCGTGCGTCTGTGGGGACAATGAAACATTTAAAGGCTTGCACTGCATTTAACAGCATTCCTTTCTCAAACTGTCGTTCCTTCAAAAAATGACATATCAGACTGCACTGTCAATACTTAGAGGTGAATGTCTATTCTCATGTAATCTTATATGGTTTTCCAAGCATTACCCTCTTGGTCAAGATATGCTTAAAATTGACAAAGGAGCTGGCCAACTCATGGTAGTCTCTGTCATGGGCTGAAAACCTGCTGATCCAGCCAGAAGTCAGCCTTGCCTTCACCCACCAGAACCAGCCACTATAGAAGCAAGTTCTGACTGAGGTTCCTGTGTGTGCCCTGGAGAAACAAGAGGAGCTTTAGAGTCCACCCAGGGGGAGGGAGTACCTGAACTCTGCTACTGAAGGGACAGCCATGTTGGTCCAAAGCACCGAACGAATGTCCTGGAGCTGCTGGGCTCTCTCAACCCACTCTCCCAGGGTGACATGGGAGGAGGACAGGATGGGGAGGCCGCTCACATCCCAGGGACTTTCTTTGCAGCTGCTGGTCAAGACTTCAAAGCAGCACTTGGAGAACATGGCTCGACTGAGACATCCGGGGCCCTGATGGAGAGGAATCAATCAACTTTTAGAAATTAACTATAAGGATTTCAACAAGCAGCACTAGGCACCTTAGAGGGAAGAAAGAGAATAAGAAAAGGAGACTCAGGTTGCTAGGTCCGGGTGATACATCAACCAGAGACAGGACCAGGAGGACAGAATGGGGTCAGGTGTTAGCAGGCCTTGAAGGAATGTGGACCGCCTTCTCCAGGAACGAGGAGCAATGGGTACTTTAGTAATGTGAAGAGAAGCCCTCAAAGCTGGGTACCAGGAAGACCACTGCAGTAGAGCGAGGGACACACTACAGGAAGGTGATACTTGGGAGGCAGGAAAAGGAATCAGAAGGCCAAGGGAAGAGCCAGGGACAAAGTCAGCCAAGCCTGGGGCCGGCTGAGTGGCTCGTTGGTTAAGAGGTGGCTTGGGAGCGCGAGCTCTGAACAGCAGGACTGCGGTTTGGATCCCACATGGGCCAGTGACGCTGCGCCCTCTACAGCTAAGATGGTGAACAACAGCTTGACCAGGAACTGGGCTGCCGTGAGTTGCCGACGATGGCGTAGGCTGTAGTGGGGCTGCAGTGGGCTGCCGTAAGCTACCATGAGTGGCCGGCAGCCAGTGTGAGTGATCGGCAGCTGGTGTGAGCGGCCATCCAATGGCCGGCGACCGATCTGCCTCAGCCAGGAAGAGTGCAATGATAATACCAACGTGGGCCAGTGAAGCGACCATCTCCACAACTAGACTGAAGAACAAAAGGACAGCAACTTGTCTGTTCCCCTTCCCCGATTCCCTAATAAAATCTTAAAAAAAAAAAAGAAAAAAAAAAGAAAAGTTGGCCAAGCCCGTGCTTCTTGGTCTGTTCATTTGGTCCACAGCCATAGCTTTCCACAGCAAAGAGTAGGGTGGTCACATACATATGACAGACAGCACTGGACACTCTATGCAACTCTTGGGGACCCATATGGTTTATCATTAAGAGCTTTAAGAGATGTTTTTCAATAAAGAAATTAATTTTGACAGGGGAATGGAACAGAAAAGAACTCCAAAAATAAATCCATGAACATCTGTGGGAGTAAGGTTTATGACTAAGGTGGCATTTCAAACGACAGTGGAAAGGATGAATTAGTAAAAAATGGTGTTGTTACACTGCCTTCAGATATACTAGTTGCATAAAACAAAAAATTTGCAAGCCTACCTCACACAACAAGGTATCTAGATGAAATAGATTTAAATATAAAACAAAAATATAGAAGAAAATATGGGCAAATGATTTTTACCCTAGAGACAGTGAAGAAAGACTTTTTAAAAAAGTATGACACCAAAGGCAGGAAGTAGAAAGGGACTGGCATATTTAAAAAGAAAACATTATAAAACTTGAGCGAGAACAAAACACTAGAAACACATTTCCAACCACGTTGGGTAAAGGTTTAACAAATATATAAAGAGATCACCATTAATAAAATGATGATGAACCACCCAATTATTTTATTGCCAAAAATGGGCAATGAACATGACTGGAAAATTCAGAGAAGAAATGAAAATGATCAATATACTCGTACACATGTAATGATGTTCGATCTCAAAAATAATTAAAGGGATATGAATTAAAATAAAATTTCAAAAACTGTATGATTTGCAATAATTTAAAATGTCGATAACACCTAGTGTGGTATGGTTATGGAGCAATAGGTCCATATATATATATATATATATATATATATATATATATATATATATATATATATATATATATATATATAATAAGTGAAACTGTGCTCTAGTTCCAAGTCTTCCTGAGGTCACCCAGGACTCTGTGACACCCACCCCCCCACCCTCCTGCTCCGCTTATAAGCTCCTAGCCTGTTTTAGAAAGTAAAACAAAAACCATCTTCCTAGACATTCTGGCAACAGCTATAAATTTCTTTAACTGCAGACACTTTGATCAAGGGTTAAATTCCAGTTCTAGTGACATGGCCACAGAAATACTCAAATGCACAAAGATTTGTAAAAGGTTAGTTGATACAGGTATGCTTATTTATAGGAAAAAGGGGGAAATAAAGGCAGAGACCTTAAAACTTATGAGTAAGAAAAGTGATTAAGTTCCAGCACATTAGAATGATGGAATACCTTAAAAGAATAAGGTGGAATGATAGGTATAGGTTTCAATGACGTACTATGCGAACAAAAACAGTGATCTTATTTTTGTTTACATATATATTTAATATAAAAACACATGTAAACAAGATACAGAGCAAAGAAAGAGTGGTTATTTCTACTGAATTCTATTATATATGTATATGCATATACACATACATGTATACATTTGTGTACTATTTAAATGTTTTAATTAGAAAAAAACAAAAGACTTTTAAAGGAAACTTTTTTCACTTTAATTCAGTTTCCCAAATCATTTAAGACAGAATACCTCTTTTGAAACTATACTTATTAACATCCTACAGAAAATAAAGTATTACAATTACTTACTTAGTCACTGCTTTACCCTAGGAATACATGTTTATTGCTAGATCTTTTGTGAAATCTTTCCCACTAACATTTTTAGGACTTCAGGTCAACAAACCTTCAACGTGGAGTCCAAAAGGGACTTGGGCCTCTCCCTCTGCTGCGCACCAGGGAGGGAGCTCCATGTGAGCCAGTACTCTGGATCTGTGGTCACAGTACTGCTCCAGAAAGACGTAAATGTGGAATTAAGGAAGTCGGCCCACAAAGAGATCATTTCTTCAGTAGACACCTAGAGATAAAGGAATAATTAGGTAAGACACTATCTGAGAGAGATTCTATAAATCAATTTATGAGGTCTCTGTGTTGTAAGGCCCATCTATAACTAACATGGGTTTAAAGATCTTAATTCTAACATTCCTGATTTTCTGCCATCCTGGTCATCTTGGTAAAGTCACTTATCCTGATTAAAATTTCATAAAACAAAGAAGAGATCAGCTTTTATAAGGTTGTATGAGAAAATATAAGCAAAATAAGTTATACAATTATAATGTCAGCAAGATAGATAAATGAATATTATAAAAAAATTAAAGTTGTAACTAATGAAGTTGTATTAACTACAGTTTACCAGTATTCACATTCAACAGTTATTGTTGAGGGTAAAGTAAAATAAAAACACTCACACAATATATTTTTGAGCAAACAAAATAAAAATAAGCAAATATTTTAGCCTAATTTAACTGGAAACCGAATAGAATGATTCTGTGATAAAGAACTGAAAAATATCCAGGTAATTACTGCAAAAGAACATTTAAAATTCTCCCTTTTGAAAGTTAATTCAGGTAACACTGAAGTTTACAACATGTAATTTTGAGATTAAATAAATATAATGTTCCACAACCAGTCTGCCATAGGAAATCTAACTGGCTGTCATGTAAAGGAGGTTTGTTTCACTTTTTGATTGTGGTTTTTACCTTCTGATGGTGCAGCAAAGACCAAAGGCCTTGAAATTCCTGAGGAGCAACTGGTGTATGCTTAAGACAAAATGTGATGTGATGGCTTATTTCCTCTTCTATCTGGAGTTGCCAATTTTTGCTGGACCTGTTCCAAAAATAAAGAGGGAGAGAGGGTGGACTAGAAACAAACGGCTAGAAAACTGCTATGTACAAGAATACGAAACACAGACCTAGAGTACATTTATTTAAAAATGAGCAATCAATTCTACTGGAAAAAATACCCAGTAATTATTAAAGGTGGAGTCACACAAAGAATCTTCAAGAAGTTCTTGGCTTTTCAAAGTGGCAACTGACCTCTCTTTGCTTCAGCAACTGTTTCCCCTCAAGACAGGTCTGTGCTTTGTTTCATGTGTAGAACACACAGAGTAATCTAACAAGAAATTACGTTCCCCCGAGGAAAGTGGCTCACCTTCTCAGACAAGCCAGCGTCATAAAATCAGCTGTCACTTTGTATTGCCAAAGCACAGCCAGGTACTCCATTGCAGGCCATAACTGAACACTCCTGGTGAGTTGGATTAAGGAGGTGAAGTCTGGCTGGGACAGGGAGGAAGCTTCATTGGACTTTTGCTCCAGAAAACCAAGTGAAATTCCTTTGGCTTTTAATTTTAAACACTGAGCATTCACAAGATTCTTCAATTCATCTGGACAAAAAGACACAGGTGGTATTATAGCATAGTGGTCAACAGTATGGGCTCAGATTCCCAACAGCCAGTTATGTGATTGTGAGCTTAACCTAAGTTCAGTTTACCCTGAGCTTGAGTTTTGGATCTATGAAATGATGTTATTAATACCTGCACAATTATAACAACAGTATTAAACAATATATATATAAAGTTTAACTCTATGTCTGACACTTAAGTAATGGTAGTCATAGTGTACTGAGAGAGTGAGTGAGAGAGTGAGAGAGTGAGAGAGTGAGAGAGAGAGAGAGAGAGAGAGAGAGAGAGAGAGAGAAAAGAAAATCTAAGGGAAAATTTAAAACTTCTTAAGAGCATCTGTCAGCAATCCAAACTCCAGAGTATATTACCTGTCTTGACATCTTCCAGAATATTAGCTCTGAGGACTAACCCCCCGGCCTGAAGGAGGCTTTTCTTTAATGACCATTCAGAAGCGACCATTTGGAGTCGTCTAATGTCTTCCTGCCATCCACTCTCCTGAAGGGTAGGCATCTGCTCTCTGATGGCTAGGGCTTTGTTAAGGATTTTCAGTTGTGAAAAACACTCCACCACCAGCTTGTCCTGAAACAACAAAACCCAGGAAAGCCTACTACAGAGGAGAAATGTGGTTCTTTTTAACAGCCTGTTCATGTCTGAGAAAAAATTTAAAATATTTCCGTGATGCTTCTAGAAAACATTTATTACTATTGTTCTCAGATTTTACAGTAATAAAGTCAAAACTCTACACAGACTTATAGTAAAATGATAACATATAACAAATCAGCAATAGTATTTATTGAACATTTAAAAGTTAAGCTTTGCAGGCAAGAATGAATCCAGTTGAATGGCAGTCCCCACTTTCCAGAACTTAAGAGGTCAAATCTTTGTGTTTAAGCCATGATTCCAAGGTGTACCTTAAAAGGAAATGGTCGTCCCAGGAACTTCTGCAACTTCTTTATCCCAGTGAAGCCACCGGTCGGGCTCCCCAAGCAATTCTGAACATGTTCTGAGACGGTCTGAACCTCTTTGTAGTATCTTTAAAAAAGGAAAAAAGGGGCAGAGGGGAAGTAAGAAAGGGGGAAATGTTGGATAATAAGACATCATTTACATTTTCTATCTGATTTACATTCAGCAATACGCCAAGGGAATAAACCAAAGTAAAGCAAGAAGAAGCAAATTCAATTCTAAACCCTCTTCTCTTTACATCATCTATACTGCAGACATTGACATTATTATTCTGAGTCTTACTTGTCTTCATGGTTCATTAGGAGTCGAGGGATCTGACGGACCAAATGTTTTAAAACCCAGTGCCAGTGAAGGGCAAGCAGGGCCAGGCCTGGGGCATCCAGTTTTACTGTGTCAGCCACAGTCCAAAACCGGTCCCGCCACTGCAGAGAATCCAAGATCTAAAAACAAAGTAAACCAAAATGGCTCACAGACATCTCCCAGTAAAAGACAGAGAACACAGACTTCAATTGTTAACCAATATTAAACATACACACATGAAAGGTCTAGCATTCGGCTGGAATATTTTTGGGGACATTAAGGCAGTCAAGTTCAGAGGTATTACCTTAAGAGAAAATGGAGTTATTGAGTCTTATGGTAAGTGTACATGTAATTTTATAAGAAATCACCAACTTGTCTTACAAAGCAGCTGCACTATTCTGTCTTCCATCCAGCAGTGTAGGCAAATTCCAGTTGTTCGATTTCCTTGCCAATACTTACCACTGTTAGTGATTTTAATTTTAGCCATTCTGGTGGGTGGCACCTCACTGTGGTTTTAATTTACATTTCCTTGATAATTAATGATGTTGCAACTTTCAAGTTCTTACTGGGCATTTATATATCTTCTATTCAAACTGTCTTGCTCATTTTTAAAATTGGGCTGTCTTATTAGTTTATATAATTTCTATGATTTGTAAACAGTTGCTCCCAGTGTTTTCATGTTCTTAAAGTCGTCTATTAAGAACAGAAGTTTTTCATTTTGATGAAACTTATCAACTTTTATTTTATTTTATAAAGAATCCTCCAAAATCTTTGCCTATCCTCAGGTGATATTTTCTCCTATGTTGTCTTTTAGCCAGTTCACAGTTTTAGCTTTAATATTTAGGCTATGCTCCCTTTTGAGGTGACTTTTCTCTATAATGTAAGGTAGGGGCAAAGGCTCCTTTTAACTTTATTATATGGACATCTAGCTGTTCCATCACCATTTATGGAATGATTCTTTTCCCTCATTAAATTACCTTTGCTCATCTGGCAATGCAAAAACTATCAGTTGACTATATATATGTGAAGGTCTATTTCTGAATCCTCTTTTTTGTTTCATTGGTCTTTATATCTGTCCTTCAGTCAATATCAACTGTTTTCATGTATGTAGCTTTGTAATGCAAATTAGGTAAGTTGGAGTCTCTAACAGTACTCTTCTAATGTATTTTATAGCAAAGTAGTCTCAAGATTAGTGATTCTTTTCAGAGATCCCACTAAGTGAAAGCTACCTGCATAATAATATCACATTATTTGCCTTTTGCACTGCTGACATTTGCACTGATGGTACCGAAAAAGAAAAAAAGAAAAAAGAAAGGATGATAGACAACCTGTGACTGAGTTTCTGATAAACGTTGTATTGAAAATGAATGAAGTTAATCTGTTGGGTCAATAAAAACAATTCAGAGTATTTGTTGCCAGTGATAAAATTCAAGCTTTTAAGCAAAACCTGGAACTTTGATAAACGAAGACTGTGACAACTTCCCAATACTGAAAGATTTTTCTGATAAGGTTTGTGGTAATGTTTCATGAGTGTGAGTGAAGAATGAAATGTGCCAGCATTTGAAAGATCTGATAACTCAGTGAACTATTCCACATTACCAATACATGAGCTACAAATGCCCACAAGGATAAAAGTCCATCCGAAGTGCAAGCTAGGCCAATGGGTTCTAATGCATGATAAGTTCAGTGACATTTTTTTCACATTCCACATTACTACTAAGCCTTACAAAACTATCACTTGTCAAACTGTGGTATAATATCAAAGAAAAATGTTCACAATTTATATGAAATGACTATTAAGATATCCCTCCTCTTTCCAACCTCATAATGATATGAATAGAGGCCAGTTTTTCTTTACAAACTTCAACCCAAACAACATATTGCAAGGGACTGAATGCAGAAGCAGATGTGAGAATCCAGCTTTCTTCTGTAAAGCCAGAAATTAAAGAGACTTACAGAAATGTAAACAGTACCACTCTTGTCATTAATTTTTGTTTTGGAAAAGTTTTTCATTAAAAATGTTATTCATATTAACACAAAATGAATTTACTATTGTTTTTAAACAGACTAATAACTATTTTTCCTATTTTTTTCAGATTTACGCCCTAATTTAATAAATACTAATACATGTAACCACATAAACAAAAGTTCTTTAGGGTCTTTAGGAACTTTTGAGACATTGAAAGTGTCTTAAGACCAAAGAGTTTAAGACCTGCTACTCTAGTTTACTAGAATTACTAGGATAATCTGGATTCAAAATTCAATTAAATCCATGTAACAATGATGTCAGAGAAGGCTTATGTGAATTAAAATAAATCTGTTAAAATTCCAATGTTGATTAACATGTAGATAAATTGTAGTACATATATTTGATGGAATATTATCTGACAATAAAAGGATGAACTCTGGATACACAAAACAATATGGGCGCATCTCAAAATAACTATTTTGATTGAAAGAAGCCATTTGACAAAAAAAAAGTATACTGCATAATTCTATTTATAGAAAATGCAACTGATCTATAGTAACAGAAAGCAGATCAATGGATATCTGGTTGGGGACAATGGAGGGGAAGGGAACACAAAATAACGTGAGGAAAAGTTTGAGGGTAATGGATATATGTTCACTATCTTGGTTGTGGTAATAGTCTCACAGGTGTATACATATAAAGTTGTACACTTTAAATATATGCCATTTATTATGTCAATTATACCCCATAAAGCTTTAAAATATGTATATAGTTTAAACTGTTAAGAACAATTAAATTTCTCAAGTAATATTGGACATATAATACTGAAATTAGTGTCACCCCTAAGAATCTTGGTGCTACGACAAATGATGTCAATTAAAATAAAAACAGGTACATTTTTCATTACCTCATTGACACTGGCATCAGACACCATTTCCTGGGAAGACTGTACCCACAGCAGGATTAATGCATCACAAAGTTCAAAAAAAGCAGCAAGATTGACCACAATTTCATGGGGCAGGCTATGATAGCTCTCTGGATCTTAGAGTTGACATAAATAAAACAAGAACATTCCATCAGAATTAAATTAATCTCTGGACATTTTCAAAATCAACTGTAAAATGGAACTTAATATTATCCCCAGGACAAAAGTCTGTTTTGAAAGATCAAATCAAAAGTGAATTCTTTGCCTATTATTATTAAATTCTGTAGGTCAGGCATGTATACCTATAGATGCTCATAATGTCTTAATGAAAAAAATTAGAGAGTAATTATGCATATTTTAAACAAGTGTTTGTTTAAATACAAAATGAAAACTTAAGTGTATGTATATTTGAATGGATAGAGAGCACAGATATGAGAGGATACAAACAAATGTACTATTAACAGTAGCAGCTGTAAGGTCAAACTTCTATTTTTATGTTTATATGTAGCTTGAATTTTTTCCAACAAGCATCATTCCAATTAAAGAAAACATAGGAGGGAGAATCTATAACTAAATGCTTATGAGTATGTATTTTTCCAGCCAACAAGCCTACATTTTGAGCTCTAGCTCTGCTGCTGGCTAGAGATGTGACATTGAGCATCTCTGTGCCTCCCTGTCTTCTTTCCTAACATGGGACTGACATGGCATATGGTTACTCTAAAAAGTATCAGATGCATAGCTGAAGAACATGAAAGGTAGTAGTCTTACCTTTATGGAATTCAAAGGACATTCTCAAAACACTATTTCTTAACTTTTTGCCACCAACAGAAAAAATCATTTTTTCTTCAGTAAAAAATCGTTTGTCACGGTCAAGATATATGATTGTCCTGAAATAAGATTCAGTAACATAAAAAAGTTATTGGTTAAGTAATGTTTTTTAATCACTTCCTCTACCTACTAAATCCTGAGAGCCCTTGGTACATCAATCTCCTTCAACTTGCCCTTTGTCTCCAGCCTCTGCAAATTCTGGACTAGAGAAAGGAAGGTGAAAGTGATAACTAAGTTGGGTGAAGAGGACAGATGGCTGGAAAAAGCTGTGTCTAGGTAGATTGCCAGGCCTCACTCTGAGGCTTTGCCATGATCTGACAAACTTCACTGTGAACTCTTAAAATTGGGCATCATAAAATTAATAGGTGTTGTTAGAAGTTACCTGCAGAGGCAGACGAGGAGTTCCTGGGAGAAGAAACCAGGGGATTTCTGAGGTGCTAGTATGTATCACACATGCATGAGTTCACTTCGTGAAACGCATCAAAGTTAAGTGTACTTTTCTGTAATTATATCTCAATTACAAAACTATGTTTAAAAATTTATGACACTGATGGTCAATTAAGAAGAAAAGTCTGGTCACTACATTAAAAAGTGAGGAAAGGGCTGGCCGAGTGGCGCATTGGTTAAGAGCTGGCTTGTGACGCCAGCTCTGAGTAGCAGGGTCCAGGTTTGGATCCCATGAAGGGCAGTGACGCTGCGTCCCCTACAGCTAAGATGGTGAACAACAGCTTGACCTGGAGCTGGGCTGCCGTGAGTCGCTGGTGACAGCGTAGGCTGCAGTGAGGCTGCCGTAAGCTACCATGAATGGCTGGTCACTGGCGTGAGCGGCTGGCGGCATGAGTTGCCAAGAGCCGCCATGATTGGCCATCCAGTGGCCAGTGACCAATCTGCCTCGCCCGGGAAAAGCGCAATGATAATACCAACATGGGCCAGTGAAGTGACGTCCTCAACAACTAGACTGAAGAACAAAAGGACAGCAACTTGTCTGTTCCCCTTCCCTGATTCCCCAACGCTGTTCCCCTCCCCCAATTCCCCAATAAAATCTTTTTTTTTTTTTTAAAAAGGGTGGAAAGACCAGCTTATATAACAATTAGGTAAATTTACATGTGAGTGTGTACATAAGCATAGAGGTGCTATATATGCTTCTGCCATCTGACGATGGGAAATTATGTGGACAGACAGCTGAGGAAATGACACGTGAGAGACTGAGTAGGTGAAAACAGGAGGAGCTGCAGGGAATCACATCTAGGAAACAGTAGAAACATGACTATCCTATGATAAAGGATTAACTGTAAAGTAAATCCCACCATTAATACTAAGCTAGTGTATTTCTTAAAGCACCCTATTCAATTACTAAGAATTGGCAAAAATTACAGGCATTTTAACATCAGTCAGAATAACAGTATGAAGGAGAGGTGGTGAGAAAGACAATCATGCCAACCAACCCGCCACCTCTTAGTTTCAGAAGATTAAACACACACAAGCTGTATTTGACAGTCTTAGAAAAGGTACACAATCTGTGAAGCCATCGTGTACAATGAGGCAAAGAGTGCCTAAAACAGCAGGCTTCACCTACTTGTTTGCAATAGACTCTAAAAGGGAAAAGAGTTGCTCAGACTGGTCCGTTTGTGGGTCAAAGTCCATTGAATTTCTAATGATGTCCAAAGCCTGCATATTCCATCGAGGGTCCAAAGGGATCACAAACTCATCTGGTTTAAAAACAAGACAAAAAAATAGAATCTGGAGTTAAACTCCTTGCCTGGCAAATTTCTGTTGAGGATTTTCATTGTTTTTTTTTTATCACATTCAGTTCTACGGGGAAGAGGTGGCCCAGAGAAATGCTGGTTTCAGCCCAATACTAGAAAGGTGAGGTTTTATGCTTCTTTCTAAATGCAAAATTTCTACTGGTCCTGAAAAGTCATTCCCCTGGAAGCTATAAAGGTAACCTTTCCTAGAACATAAATATTCCAACCAATGCGTTCACTTGCTCAAATCCCACTATTGGTTGGAAAATGAGCTTAATTATCCAACCTGTTGCCATTAGCCACAAGAAAACTAACTTACGTGGCAGAAAATAAATATATCTCATTATTTATTTTCAATAAGAAAACTCAAGATTATTTTGCTTAAAAGCCATTTCTTTACAATCAGAGGATGTGGCTGCTGCTGACCCCTCACTGAGCTCCTCTGGCTCATACCTGGTACCTCTCCTGTAAAGCAGCAGTGATCAGCCTCTGAGAAGCCCCCGAGATTGTGAGAGCCAGAGGGCAGAAAGACAAAGCGGAGGGAACATTAATTTGAAGGTGGCTGGGTAGGATGGGTCAACGGAGCACTTCAAATTTTAAAGATATCCACCATACAGTAGGGCAACAAATGCCTCCTGTGAACAGCAAGGTACATCAAGGAGGTAACCTATATTACAACATCCAGTAAAACTACACTAAGAAAGATGAAAGTAAGACCTACTATGTTCAGAGGGCAAAGTGGTGTCTGCTAAAAAAGGAAACCTGCTACTCGACTCTAGAACTGTGTTCCCGAAGACCAAAATTCTTTCATGAATGGAAAGCCATGATTTAGTTCGGCCCCAACCTAACTATTATAGTAGTTTTCTCTGCTCTCTGATTTCTTCCCAACCATTCACCTCATTACCTTTTGTATATGTAAGGTAATTGGTTTTGCACAAAAGCATCATGCATATTTTTTTTCTAAAACTAAATGGTTAATAGTATATTTTGATTACTATCAAATGAAGATGGGGATGGGAAATTAAAAACCTGGTTCTGTGAAAATTTTCCTATTTTCCTCTTTAATACTTATGTTCAATCAACTTTATATTTTCTGTTCCAGTAAATGAGTCTGCTATCTCAATCCTTAATTAAAAAGAAATTTTGAATACTTCATTTGATTAGGCAGCTTGGATGGTTATTTCTTTTATCATTATGGTTTTATAACTTTGTATTTAAGGGCTTATAACTTTTATTAGGGTTTTATGTTTTCTGAAGCAATTAATTCTGTATCGTTTCCCAAACAGTTTTACAGTTCAAAGCCCTTTTTGTTAATAGTACTAATAAATAACAGAATGTTATAAGTTGAAGGGATCCCAGAGAAATAAAATCAATTCCCTTATTTTTCAAACACAGGTAGCAAGTACAAATTATGGGCCTCAAATGAACAAGCCCGTTTGCAGCTGAGCTGGGCTAAGAGCCCTGACTTCCAACTCCCATGCTCTCCCACTTCATTACGCATCATCATCTTCCGAAACTGAAGGATAAATGGATAGTTTCGAACAAGGAGGCAGAATCTGCATCTGGACACTCTCAGTCTTCTAAAAAATACTGTTTGTTACAGTGGTAGCTCTGACAGGTGTTTCTCCCATGAATTCAATGGACAAGTTTCTTAAACACTGCTGAGAACAAGAAATCAAATGAGGTGCAGTACCTGTTATATTTGGTTGTAATATTTTGATGACATTACTGACCCCAGCTGAGAGAGAATTTGAGTAAAATTTCCTAAGAGATTCAGCACTGGCTTCTAAATGAATTTGTATTGACTCTGTGGAGGAAAGAGAAACAAATGTTAATATCTAAAGCAAGCTGATCAATCGAACTTTCTGCAATGATGAAATGTTCTATAGCTGTTCTATCAAAAGTAGCCACTGGTCACATATTAGCTAGCACTTCAAATGTGGCCAGGGCAACTAAGGAACTGGGTTTCAGATTTTATTTCATTTTAGATAATTTATATTTACATTTTATAGTGACCTGTGGCTTGTAGCTGTCATAAAGAATAAGGCAGATAAGAATAATTAAACAAATTCTCTCTACATTTTATACAGATCACATGTACCACACAATAAAATACCCATTCACTGGCTTATCAACAAGTTCTCATGGGAGAGAAAGGCTCATGTAAACTCAATTACTTTAGGCAACAAATTCTACCAACAAATTCTATGTACTGCACTTTATAACCCATGTGATGATGCTACTGTTCTTTTTCCTCTTTTAGAATGAAAAAAGTGCAAAGAAATTAAGCATGACAACTTAGAGGTCCCTTACGCACTTTCAGGGGAAAATGAATTTATCAAAAGCAACACCTTTCCCAGATAGAATGGTTGTGCAGCCACAGTAGTGCAAACAGCAGGATGTTAAAAAAAATAAAAAGTAACAATAACAGTACATTTTCCTTTTGAATTTGACAGAAAGGTGGACAGATCCTGAAATACTAATGATTACAAATGGGGAAGGGTTTCTCTTTGGTCACATCTAAGCTATTCGTTTTTTAACAGCTACACAAACAGTAATGCTAGGTCACAAATTTCTAGCTATGAGACCTCCCGTATGCAACTGTAACAGTGTACTCACAGAGTATTACAGCTGCTGAGGCACTAAAACAGGATAAGTGTACGTAAATTCATTCACAACACAAATGAAGCTTTTCTACTCACCAAGCCCCTGTGGTATATTCTTGGCTAAATGATAAAGCCATTTAACTCTGAGCATCCAATCTTGATTGGTTGCTCTTTCTATGAGCAATTTAACAGCCATGGCCAGAACATCTGGTTCATCAATCCACAAAGTATCCACTTCAACTGAACTGAATTTTAAGCTCTCAGGGCTGGAGGACTGCATAATTTTCTCTAGGTCTGGCAAGGTAAGAGGCTGAATCCTGAAATTTATTGGAATAGGTAAAGTCAGTACTAGAATAAACTTTCATTTTATATTTCAAAGAACTGGGAAAATAACTTCAGAAATAATAGATCAGAGAGGTATTGGGGAAAAGGCGACAAAGAGGACAATTAAAACATATACTGAATGACTAACAAGTAGGGAGCAATATCACAATGAACAATACGACAGCTGAGTAACAAATGGCCACATAATATTCTGGTCAAATATGCTGAGTCATGGCCTTTACCCTCAAAAACAAACAACACAGTCAAGATGCTGGAGACACACAAACTCAAGGCTCCACTAACCTTGCCCAGCTGCTGGTTTTCATGCTCATCCTGTTGAGGCAATACGCTAAGATCTGCCCATCACTTCGTACTACAGAGAGGTGAGAATCTTCAGTAGCAAAAAGAGCTGAGGGGAGAGAATCTGGCCACAGCCCCATGGCAAGAATGGCATTACCCCAGGTTTCATGTGCTCGCAGAGAAGAAACATGTTTCTCCAGTAAAGCCTGAACAAGCTGGTAGGAGATAAAAACACATGTTGTACGTGCTATTACCAAAAATATACATGATAAGCTAAATTCCACTTTTTCTGATGATAGATAAGTGTCAAGGATGTAATATTTATATTTAACCTATTTTCCAGAAAGGAAATCTAGATACCAGATCTCTATTAGGGAATAAATGCCATGGTCCACTCTCTTAGGTCATTAAAATTACCATCAATAAAAAAGAAATTCCTTGTGCTAAATAATGTAGTGTTTCAACTTAGAAAGCTTGTGAAACATTTCATGGTACCTTCTGGTTTGCTGGTGAATGCTGGGAGCGGACATATGCTTCGCAGCATGCTTCAGAAAAGGCTCTGTCTAAACCCAGCCCTCGCTGTAGGTACTGCACAATGAGTGAGGCTGTCTGAATTAGAGTTGAAACAGATGATGCTGGAGAACCTATAAAGAAAAAATATTGCCATCTATGAGCAATAGATTCTGCAAAATCTCCTAAATTCTTCCTTCACATCAAACTTTGTTCCACTTAAATCCACCCAGATACTTATATTAGAAGACCTTCTAAGTGGACTCTAGGGTCTCAGTAGCACACAATGGACTTGTGAGAACATTCACATACTTCCCCCTTATGCCACCTCCCTCCCCGGCTCTCTGTGGCAGTATATTGTGGGGGAGTGACCAGGTGACTCATTTGTAAGTGTGATAAAGCCTGTTCATATACGTATATCCTTCATCTAAAGTAGACACACACTGGAGATGGCAAAATGACCATGGCCTCATAAAGGACCATGGGCTTTGAAATCTAACAGGCCTACTTTCAAATTCCAGCTGTCATTACTATTTGGCTTTGATGAGTTATTCAACCTCTCTTAGCCTTACCTTTAAAATGGAAACATATGTCTTGCAGAACTAATGTGAGAACTAAATAAGCAACCAACATTGTACCTAACACATAGTAGTTATTAAATAAATAGTTTCATTTCTTATTATTACTACTGTGATTATTGTAGCTTTGCTGATACAATTGGACATTTAGAAGAAGTATCACCTATCTGTTCTACACAATTCCAAGTTCTCTCTTTATTCTACCTTTAAGAGACTCAATGGTGACCCTGAAGATCTAAGGGACAAACTTCACAAATCTCAGTGGCTAACCCAGTATTCCTCAAAGTATGGGCCTCTGATTGCATGCATCAGAATTATCTGGGGAGCTTCTTTAAACCACTAAATTCCTGGGCCTCACCCAGACCTGCTGAAACCAATCTGTTATGGGGAAGAAGGATACCAGAACATCTACATTTTTGTGGTAATTTCTATTTCCTGGTAATTTCTATTTCTAGGTACACTAAATGTAAGAACTCCTGGAATAACACATGAATTTCTGTAAGAATAAAATTATTCAGAGGCCTAGAAGTCAAGCACCTTACCTACAACAGTGCTTTGGGTCTCTCTATGTAGAGTCAAGAGAGTGTCACATACACTGTCCCCCACCAACCCAAGGCTGTGGAGCAGAACTTTCAGATCCAGCTCATCTGGGATGCTTCTATCCCCTTCTCCTGAGATATAGATTTCAAGTCCACGGTTCCTCATAGCTCGGGATATTTCTCCATGAACAGGATCCATTGAGAGAAAAAGTCTAGTAACATAGCAATTCAAAGGAAAAATAAAGTTTCCAGTGCAATCAATGGTGTAGCTCAGCAACAACAAGTGAGGGCAAATCATACACAGCTCATCTTCAGAGAGCTTCTCAAAGGAGACACCACTAATTCAAAGTCTGCTACTTTCATCTGTATTCTGTCTTCCAGTTCCAAAATGCATTAATACGGCAAAGAGTTCTCTAAACTGACTTTCCGTAGGAACGGAACTGTCTATCCAATGCACGTTTGGTGTTATCTGAGAGCTTTAAAATTCTTACTTTCAGAGAGTCAGGCAGTACTAACTCACCATTCTGACTCACCTACAGAGAGCAGAAAAGGAAGCACTAGGTTCTTCTGAAACAATTAGCTTCATAAATTTGATGTCTAGTAACATATCCATCTAGCTGTGTGACATCTCCAAACCTAAAGTGATTCCCTACTGACCCTCTCTCCACACCAAACCTGTTCCTTTGACATCTTCCCTTTTTCAATGAACGGCACCCCCGTTCACCCCATTATTCTAGCCAAAATCTTAGGTGTCATCCTTGCTTCCTCTTCTACTCAACACACAATTCCGCTGGCAAGTCTCACGCATCTCACCACCGTAGTATAAGCTATCACTGTCTTTTGCCTGAATTATTCCAAAAGGCTTGTAACTGGCCTCCCTGCTTCCACCCTTCATCACCAACCCACAGCAGGAATCTTGCTTCTCTTGTTTACTGCTGTGCCCCCAGAGCCTGGCAAATAGCAGAGCCTCAATATTTGTTAAACTGAATCAATTAATGGGTGAACATACCTACTTATTGAGTGTACGAATATAGAAGTTCCTATTGAATGTCTGCCTCTGCTATTGAGGCTATTAGATTCTTAGGCAGAGACTTAAGAGGCATAAATTACCTGAAATTGGGATGTGGTGTTATGGTGGGTGTGGATCCATCTATCATTCCTCTCTCACTAACAGTGAGGACGCCTCCAGGTTCAAGCAAAGCATTCAAACGATCCAGCACTGAGGGGCTGCACAGACAGAAGTCAAATGGCGGACAGGATGACGTGCTGCCTTGCCAGGCCTCCCAGGTCTCCTGACCCATGTCTTTCAACACAGATCACTCCCCTATATAGAATTGTGATCTCTTTCAAGATCTCTTTTCTCATCAATTCCGCTTTATACTCCCAAGGCACGTAGTCCAGAGATCAGATTACACAGTAAATTAACAAAATAGTTGCTGAATAAATTTTAAAGAAAATGATAGCAAGTTCCTGGAACTGTAACTCTTTTTTTACCCCTCCCCTCCCCTCCTCCTTCCCAACATTATCAAATCCATTTAAAGGTAACTGGATTTTGATTTGAAACATCCTGAAAGATGCTCCAGGTATAAAAACACATCATCTGCCCTGCTCTAGCCTCTATTATGCTGTGTAACTAAAGTAATTTTATACTGGTGCCTTTCTTTACTTTAGAATCGGAAGTGATACACACTGATGCACATTTACTAAATGTATGCCCTGTGTCAGACCTTCCACTTCAAAAATCTGCACATTGAGGATGGGGCATTTAAATATATAGATGCAAATCTACGTCACCAGTCCACAATGTGTTTAAGAAGGACCATCTAGCTGGTCATTAAGGGTTAACCCAAAGACGGCTAGAAATGTAATCCAATTTTGTTAGTCTTCACGTCAGCTCAAACTATCAAAAAGAACTAAAATTTTGCACCTGTCTAATGACCAACTACCATTTCGTCACCAGGAGAAGTCTACAGAAAATGGCTGAGGATGCGTTTCCAGTTAAGAACCGTGGATTAAAAATGCCCAAGCTTCCACCTGGGTTTCTACTCTGACAACAAGCACATCCCAAATTTTAGTCAGGCTCACTCATAATCAGGCAGAAGGTCCTTACTTGCAAAAGTTGACATTGTCCATCAAAAGCCAATCTCCAGACTTCAGGGCCTGAACCAACATGCTGTCAACCCATTCAAATGTGCCATGGCTGCGGCCACTGGATGACTGCATAAGCTTCAACCCAAAGCTTTGGAACTCTTCCACCAATTTGGCAAACTCTGAAATGTTACAGCCAAGGCACTTAATTTCAAACCATGACAATCAAAACAAACCCAAATAAAAACAAAAAACTAAGAGTGTATTAAAAAAAAAGCTGGAAACTTCTGACCTGATTTTTTGAAGTTTCATAGTAAATAGAAAAAAAAGTTTTTGTTTAAACAAGACAGATACAATTTGGTTTGGGGGCAGAAAATGCTTCTTAAGGGCTTTCTGAATTAATGGCTAGATAGAGTTAACTCGAGGGTGATGGAAAAGGTAAATAATCAATCTTTGTTATAATTTCTCAAATGGCAGAAGAATACCTCCCACCTATTACTACATTTATACCAAATGAAAGGGCTATTAGTTGGCACAAAACAATCTGTCATTAAACGGGACTTCCTTTATAATGACCACAGGATTATAGTAACAACTGGTATTTATTTACCTAGTGCTTTATAGTTTATACAGCCCATTCCTAGAAATCCTTCAATTGCTCTTTTTTGTTAGAAATTGTTTTATGACCCTTTTTCACATCACAAGGTAAAATACACTAGATTCCTGCTGTTAGCATGAGGAAATAATAAGGTTTAGGCTTAACCTCCCAATATTAACATTAGAAAGCTAAGCAAAATATATGAATCAACTGCTTTCAGACATTGGACAACACGGCTGATACCTGAGGAAAGCTGCACAACAAAATGAGAGAAATTGAGTTTCCATGTTAACTGAGGAATATCTTCCACTTTCTATACAAAATTAATAATACACACATCCTAACTATCGATTTAAACTTCTTTTTTTAAAATGCCCAATTTCTTGAGAAATTATTAAGTCTTTTTAAAAGGTCAACAAACAATAAGACCAGCTTTACACACAAGTGACTTATCATTACAGCTGGTTATGATGGTTACGGATGTTTTATAAAATAAACGATCAAGCTCAGAAACCCATTTACTCTCTTTGTTTAGGATCACCAATTCTGGATACTTTGAATCAGCTTCAGTTTACTCCTAAGACAAAGACTTTCGAATTCTGATTGTTAATCATTAAATTCATAAAAATTATGGGCACTGCATTTACAAAAAAATTACCTGTAAATGGACACTATATGGACAATGGTAAGTATCTGATACACACATCCAAACACACATACCTGCCTTGGAGTATGAGTTGATTTTATTGTTCAGTCGCTGCAAAAGCAGTAATACTGCTTCCAGCTTACTGACAATCTCTGCCGTGACACCTTTACCCGCTTCTCCAAGGCCCTTGGGTGTATACGTCAGCAGGAAATGACTCCAGGCTCGCAGCACCACTGCTGCATCGTCAGCACTGATAAGGAGGCTGTCTCTTAACAGTGCCTGTACAGTGCTCTCCACCTTCTCTAGAAGCTTCCACCAAGGACGCATAAGGTCAACCTGAAAGGTCCAAAGCACGTGAATTCATCATAGCTGTTAGCCAGAGTCAAACATACTGCTACCTGTCATCACCAACACAGAAGACCATCAGGCAGACCACGCACCTGCTCAAATCCACCCAGGAGCTCCGTGGTATCCATTGCACTGTTCATAGCCATGATCTTTAGTGTGTGGCCAGTAAGCTGCGCCAGGAGTTGGACCAGGCTGGTCTTTCCCACAGAGGCTGGACCCACAAGGATGACCATCCAACTCATCTGCACACACTTCATAACTGACTCCAGAGGCTGTAACGACTGGTGCAGGAGTGACAGGGGACGGCGGGATGGGGCAGGAACATAGTTGCCACGGGAAAGGACTGAGTAGCCCAGCTAAAAAACACATGTCAGTGAGATTTCACAAGTGCGCCTGGTAGAGGGAGCAGAAGAAATCACAGAAGACTGTATGTAGAAGAACAGAAGATTATGCTCGTGTCCTCACCTGGACATCATAGGGCGTGATGTGCAATAGTCTGGTTCCCGTGTATGGGTTGGAATTTGAACTAAACACATCCTTAAATACAGCAAAGACCTAAAGGAAGAAGATGATATAAGCAAAACACAAATCACTTCACCAAGTTGAGTCAAACCTTATAGAATAAACACTTCCAGGAAACATGTACAGCAATATGAATCACAACATTATGAGAACAGAGAACACCAGTCACAATATCCTTATCTTTTTAAATTTTCTCTTACAAAAGGGATAGATTATGTTTATTTAACTCTTCAGAATGAAAGCAATTTGGAGCTCAAGAAAAGAGCAGTCACATAATCTCAAACTATTTGAGATTCCAGAGAGAATGTACCAAAAATTAAAATAACGCCATGGATACTATGGTAAACCTAGAGATGAAAAATGGAATTTGCTTTCATCATTCAAGGTACCACTTAAAAAGAAGGTAGAAGAGGACAGCAAATATAAAGAACAATGACTATTTCTTGAGTACCTATATGTGCCAAACATAGCAGCGCTTTAATAGATTTCTGATCCTTATAGCTTTGCAAAGTAGGCATTACTTCTATTTTATACGTGGATAAAAGGATTCACAAGAGTTATATGATGTGCTCATTGTTAGTAACTGATTATAAATCTAAGAAGGTCTGACTCTGAAAACACTGTGTTATCCTTCTAAATATTTATGTAAAATGAAAATGAAAGTTATTTCTCTAGTTATTTACATTCTGTTATCCCTTCCTTAGCAGGAATACTGTTAGGAAACTTTCCGTTAACCTTATTTCTTTTTTGGATTTCTTTTAAAAATCTAAAAGGAGTTGTTGGGGTGGGTGAAAGACAGGGAGTGTAAAAAAAAATAATTTAGCCCATAGCAACAGGAGAATTCCAGCCAACCAAAATATTTACACCAAGTGGCTTGTTTCTAGCAAAGTGGCACATAATTATACCCTGGACTGAAGTCAGATTGCATATTTGAAAGTTGCTAAAAGAGTAGATCTTAAAAATTCTTATCACAAGAGAAAAAATTTTTTGTACCTATGTAAGGTGACAGATGTTAACTAGACATACCGGGGGATGGTTTCACAATGTATACAAATATCAAATCATTGTGTTGTGCATCTGAAACTAACATGTTACATGCCAATTATACCTCAATATACATACATACATAAGTAAGTTTGGGGAAACCTTAGGAAAAAAATAAAATCATAATCAATGTCAAACATTGACTATGAGTCAAAATGCAGCACAGGAGAAAGTGCTCTTGTCACGTACTCCCGAGTTCAAGAGATTTCTGACTTTATAATCCATTCTAAAGCATATAACCTCCTCTCCCTGAAAGTCTACCACAGTTAAAATTACAAATACTTTTAAAATCTAGCTAGTTTATTTAATTTTATAAAGTCAGATTCAATTTATCCGAACCCTTCTAGCTTTTATAGCCTTTCTCCTTCTATTATTATTTTTCCTAATAAGTTTGCTTCCTCAGATAACACCTAGTTAGTCTATTACAATAACTCTGAATTGGAAGAGTGATGGAAACGTTCCACAGCCTACAATGATGCACCATCTGACTAACAATTACCCAGCAACTGGCCAGGGTCTGGCCATAATTAATACACTATAACTAGTGAGTGGATAAAGAAATTAAAATACTAGCTTATCGTACATAAATTATATATCAATAAAGTTGTAAAATGAATACTGGCTGAACATTCTGTCCTAATATAATGACTGACAGCCACTTGCACATAATAAATGGGTTAACATCTGACTAGATTCTGAAGACCACATAAAAAGGGATATGAGCACTCAGCAGCATAATGCAAGGTGTGCGAAAGCCACATGTGCTATGGGGTGGTCCTATCTTCACATTTCAGCAAGGAACTTACTGCTTCTAATGCACGGATCTGTATATTAATCAATGTGTTTTTAAATAGCTGTGATGGGGTAGAAGGAACAGCAGACAAAATGTAAAGGTATGGGCTGAGGGCTGGCTCTGCCACTTGCTACCTGTGTGACTCCATGACTCTGAGTCTTGGATCCTCATCTAAAAGGTCATGACAGCACCTCCCACCTGCAGCTGCTGTAAGCATTCAGTGAGACCAGGCTTTAAATACCACAAAGCAAAATGCACACATTATTACATTTTATTATGTAATAAAAATAGTGTTATTTTCTATTTACAAAGGGATATTTTTACTTCCATTTAGATTTTCCTCTCCTTATATCTACTTATATTTTCTAGAGCAAATACTTTATAATTTGACACTTAAACTCTCCTCTTCTACCTGTCTCCTGCTTCTCCCTTTTGGGCCTAGGAGGAGGACGGAAATCTAAATCTTTTTTTTTTTTTTAAGATTTTTATTGGGGAATTGGGGGGATGGAACACTGCTGGGGAATTGAGGGGATGGGAACAGTGCTGGGGAATTGGGGGAAGGGGGACAGACAAGTTGCTATCCTTTTGTTCCTCACTCTAGCTGTGGAGGACGTTGCTTCACTGGCCCAAGTTGGCACCATCATTGCGCTCTTCCCGGGAGAGGCAGATCAGTCGCCGGCTTCTGGATGGCCGCTCACTGCGGCTGCTGGCCGCTCACGCTGGCTGCTGGCTACACACTGTATCCCATGGCAGCTCACTGCAGCAGGGGCTGCAGCCTACGCCGTCTCCAGCGACTCACAGCAGCCCAGCTCCAGGTTGAGCTGTTGTTCAGCATCTTAGCTGTAGAGGGCAGTGTCACTGGCCCTCATATGTGGGATCCGAACCGGGGCCCTCAGGCGTCCCAAGCCAGCTCTTAACCAATGTGCCACTTGGCCAGCCCGAAATCTAATTCTTTATTACTGCAGGCAGTATAGCTTTAGCAAAGTTTGCAATCATGGGGATTCAGATAAATAAACAAAGTGCATCCTCCAAAGTAAACTACTCTATACTGTGCGACCCTGGGGTAGGTAAATGTTTAGTCTCTTCCTTTAACTTCTAAATTTCCAAGCAGCTTTACTGGGTTTGGTATTATTAGTGAGTATGCCCCTTCTCTCCCTTAGGAAGAAAGCAACTTTCAGATGGAAAAAAACACAAACAGCAAGTGTGAAACTCACCTTTTCTTTGTCTTCCCTGGTTCTCATTCTTTCACCATAGACCAAAAACACATGCTGACCAGGATCATAACATCCAGGGGACTGGTCAACCAGCATCAACTGACACCAGCGGAAAAGGTCCCGGAGGTTAAATTCCCAGGGTCCTCCTTTTTGCCCCCATTTCTTCTCAACAGTCACTTCATGATCCATCTAAAAAGAAAATACCTTCACTGGGAAACATGTCCCACTGCTAGGCATGCATTAAGTACTATTAATGTACTACAAATGCATAAATAATCTGAAGCAGAAATTAATTAATTCAGATGTTTCCTGTTCCCAACCCAGACTTCTAAATGCCAGGAATACCCTGTAAGCATTAACACAAATACACACAATAGAACTGAATTACTGTAACCCTGAAATCAGTAGCTCCCATTCCACTATAAACTTGTAAAATTCTATGTGATTTATCTGAGAGTGGTAATTTCTTAGTGTTCCATGTTGAGAAAATAATGGTTCTATTATAGCCAGGAAAATAAAGAACAATCAGTACAAGTAAGTACTTACCTGGTTGTTGAAAGCAACCATTTTCTTAAGAATGTTTTTGTCAATGGCTGGAAATAGAGTACTGGCGATGAACTCCATATCAATCACCGTAAGGGGATCCACAAAGACCTAAAAAATCCAAATATAATACGAAGAAACGCTATAGTTTCTCTATGAAACACCCAAAATGCCTACCATTTGTGATGTAAAATTGTCATTTGACATCAAAGTAACAATACCTCAGTTATACACACACAAATTTGCAGTTATAGAAACTTTTCTTACATTTTTAGGATACAGAATCATATAAAATCTTTGACTTATAGAGCAACAAAGGTATTGTTTCTGTTACCACCACTCCACTAAAGAAAATGAAATATATGCAATTTATTTTTTTAAGTGTATTTGTTTTTTTAAAATGTCCTCTGTATTATGTAAAATGCTCTCAAAATTCTCGATGGTAGGCATATGAGCATTCACTATATATTTGTTGAACTTTCCAATATGTTTGAAGTTTTTCATAATAAACTATTGTTAGATACTTTAGCAAATTCTTAATTATCAAGGGACAGGGACATTAAAGAAAACTATCTACAGCCAATTCCTAACCTCTGAATTAGGCAAACTTGGAAAAATAGATGTTAAAACAAGTGCGTACATGTGTTCGCTCTTTCTCTTTCCCCCCGCCTCAACCCCCACCTCAGCAAATGTGAATAAAGCCAGTAAGAAAATACGCCAAAGGTAAATAATGGTTGACTTTGGTATGGAGAATACAAGATTTTCAATTCTTCATGGTAATTTTCTTTTCTTTCTCACTTTTAATTAAAATACATTATTCTAATTATAGAATTTTTTTAACATTTTAATAGATCACATAGACACTTGAAAAGGTCAAATGTTGGCCTTTATCTTGAGCACAGTAATAAAATCCTGCAGTAGGTGGTGACCTTACTGATAATACACCAGGTCCTCTGGGACCTAAGACAAAGGGATTCATGCCAGGAGAAAAGTGATGATGGGCATCAGTTGCATTAACAGTCATCATATAGACATGGAATTGAAAACCAGATCATTAAACTGATTCTCTATCATTCTCATAGAGTGTATCCTGATAGCTACATGTCAGCAGTCTCCTCACCCCCGACAACTCCACCTGCGGTCTCTGTGGCAACAGAAAACCTACCTGAGTGAATCTGTTAAGGAAAGACCTGGGCAAGCCCTTCCTCCCGCCACCTTGTCTAAAAGGATTTTGACACCCAAAAATCTTCGTCTTTTCATGCTGTACTTGAAAGCTCATTCCTAATTCAGGAACATAGATTTCTCCTCGGTGGTCAAAACAAGCATTGAGTCCTTCCAGTACAGACTGAGAAGCCAGGTTGAGCTATTTGGAAGAGAAAATGAATATATTTGTTATGTACACTGTGTAACTATAACAAAAAGCAAAGGAATGATATGCACAAAAGTAAGATAGTGTTATCTTCAGGAGGAACAAACTCAAACAATATTGGTAAAACTCTATTTCTTAAACTGAGTGATGGGTTGATGTGTATTCATCCTATTATTTCATATACGTGCTAGAGGGATTTGGGGCATATAAATTACCAGCAATTTTTCAGTAAACTGAATAAATATTCAGACTGAGGTTTTTTGGGGTTTTTTTTAAAGATTTTATTGGGGAATTGGGGGGAGGGGAACAGACAACTTGTCCTGTTCTTCAGTCTAATTGTGGAGGATGTTGCTTCACTGGCCCATGTTGGTATTATCATTGTGCTCTTCCTGGGTGAGGCAGATCGGTTGCCGGCCTCTGGATGGCCGCTCACACCAGCTGCCGGCCACACATGGTAGCTTATGGCAGCCCACTGCAGCAGGGGCTGCAGCCTACGCCGTCGCTGGCGGCTCACGGCAGCCCAGTTCCAGGTCGAGCTGTTGTTCACCTTATCTGTAGAGGGCAGTGTCAATGGCCCTCATGTGGGATCTGAACTGCAGCCCTGCTGCTCAGAGCTGGTATTCCAAGCCAGCGCCACTCGGCCAGCCCCAGACTGAGTTTTTTAAAAAGCAGTTAAAATCTTCTCTAAAACAAAACCATATCCATTATATGCAACTATACTGACCTACTTTATAAATTATAGCTTACAAAAAAAACTTGCCAATACACAGATATCTCTTTTTCGCACTCTGGGATTTTAAAAGGTAAGGTAAAATAGCACTTCACATACTTAGATAAGTAATTATCTTTCCCAGCTCAAATACTGAATGAAATCTCCAAATGGGCTTAGAAGTCATGATATAACTACATAAAGTGGATCTACATAGCTAACTTTCACCAACAGTTTTTTGAACAAGAACAAATACAAGGTTTTTGTGCCCAAAATAAAGAGCCGAATGGAGGTCTTCAGGTGCTGAGTTCAGAGCTCAGGGATGTAAAGTATGGGTGGTTTTTAGGTAACATGGAAAAATTCAATTGGGTAAATGTGAATCAATAAAATACAAATGGGCAAAAACCAAACTATATTATAATAGGATTTCAAGTGTCATATATACGTAAGTACTACAAAGCACAAACTCTGCTATACTCATATATTCCCAAACAGGTCAAGTTCTAAAAGCTGCTGTGAAGTGTGACTGCAAGTCCACAAGGGTGGTTGGTTTCTGGATGCATTTTCACCCAATAGGAGTATGGTCAGAAGTCTTAAGCTTTAAAACTTGGCAATCTTTTTTCCTGGTTAATTAATATTCTATCAGATATCTTTTTTCCAAAAAAAATTTTGGAGAATAAACTCTCTCCTTAATATCTCCCCAGGATAAGTAGGAAGCAGCTCAGCAGAATGCCATAGCACACCCTCTGACTTCAGACCCAAAAGGGTCTGCATCTCGGGAACATGCTGAGCCTGTGTCAAAGTTTCATCTGTAGTACTTTAATCACTGCAAACATTTAAGATCCATAGTTACTTCCTAGCCTTTTCCAGAATTAATACCACACATCCCAAATTGACCCGACTCCTTTGGCCACAACCTTAAATTTTTTATTTTTGTGCATCACTTTTTCTTATCTCTAGCTGCTTGTCAGTCACTGAGACTCAGCACTTATCACGGGTCTTATAATGTGCTCTGTCCTTCTGATCAATAATATATCCAATATGCACATATAACCCTGATAATTTTCTCACCATTTTTGTCTCCTCTTAAGATAAATTTCCCGGGTCTTTGCTACACTGATAAAACATGAGGTGGTTGACCCTATTTGTAAAATACCCATGAAATAAATAGAAATACAGCAAGCCTGTCAGAGATTACAGAATAAACCAGCGAAGAGGCAGTTTTTATCTGGAGGCTAGCTTACTAAAGTAGGCAAGTATAGGTTATATATAGAGGGGTTTCTGTCTGTGCTTTCTGACAAGTGACTATTCCTACTCTTAGAGGAAACCATGGAAGATTCTTTTCATTAGAGAATTTGTCATTACAGCCAATAGTGTGATCCTCCACTGAGAAACACCCTAGAGCTATGAAAAGCATGACTGCTCTTCACACTTGAGATCCCATTCTTGGCACGAGCAACAGTCTTCTCACCTCATCCAGCACAACCCAATGGCCAGCCTTCAAAGCAGCCAGCAAGGGGCCATCACGCCAGGCAAACTCTCCTCCTTTGCCACCTTCCACAGGTAGATCTGCTCCAAACAGGTCTGTGATGTCCTTTGAGAGGGGACAGAAGTGAGGAAAACCCAAAATTACATAAAAAATTAACTAGGCCTCAAGACCCTAAATCTGAAATAATAAATACCTTGGGCTACTTTTCCTTCTTTCACCCAAGACAGAACTAATCTATCCCAGCACTCTTTACTAGGAGCCCAGGCATGCCCCCCCAAACCTTACCATCACAATACTTCAAGTATCAATTACTGGAGCTGGAGCTGGAGCTCCAAACCAGTAGTTCTTAACTGTGGCTGTACTTAAGATATTAATTGGGGGGTTAAAAAAAAAAAGTTTAAAAACAAAAACCAATAACAATGCCAAGGCCCTGCTCCCAGACCCCATTCCAAGAGATTCTCATTTAATCTGTCATTTGGACCATATTTTCATAAGATTGTTTAAAGGTCATTTTGTTTCCACTCGTTTTCTTTTTTAGAAAGAACAAAAATAAAGAGGTCATATTACAATAAATACTGAAGTGGGTAATTCTCTCTCAAAAGAGAATTAGAATAAAGCACCAGAGAGAATATTATTATAGCTGTCAGCTATTAATGAATCTAGAAGAGTAAGCATAGAAGATCACATGTGGTCTTTATAGCCGTAATATATCTGGGGTATTGAAAATGTCAGAATGATTTTTGATTACAAAGCTGTATTATAAACAAACATGACTCCCTGTACCTGTCCTCACTGGCTGTAGGATAACCAAGCTTACCGTCTGCTCTGACAAGTTGATGCGAACAAGGGTGTTGCCGGAAGCCTTTGCTAACGCACCCACCAAACTTGTCTTGCCCACACCAGGGGAGCCCTCCAGGAGAATGGGTTTGTTCAGTTTCGTAGCTCGTAAGAGCCTCTGGGCATTCATAGCTGTGGTGCCAGCGCTGAGTGCATAGTCGGCAATATTATTCCTGTGCAGGACAGGTCCTTAAGCAGAGGGAGAAAAAAAAGCTGGACATCACCAAATTGTATATACTTGTCAATCCAAGATTATAAGACTCCATCAAGTAGACTATCAGTAAGTGAAATACTATCTGCAGTGAAAATGTTTAGCCCTTTTTCAACATTTCCCCACTTTTGAATTCATAAAATGCTTTGGTGGGACAGCCAGTAGCATATTTTCTTCAATTGTATCTATTGCACAAATCTCTCTACCTGTACATGTACGCGTACCTACATACATAGCCTGACTATAAGCACAACCTAATCCTGGAATTACTATGTGTACTTGTACAATTTACCTTTATAAATAAGTATTTTCCTAAAAGTCAAGTGTAAACTAATTTCATCCAAGGTTTTTAGGCCACCAGGGCAATCTAGGATGCATCCTGAACTGATAATGTAGCTGAAGTGCAGACTAATAAGTTTTATAGGGCTTAACATTTGTGCCACTATGTCTCCTAGGAGAAACTTTTCAGTTTGGAGGGCTAGGAAAGCATGTGCGGTATTACCTCAGCTATGGAAGCAGAAGCAATGACCACCAAGGAGTCCCAGGCCACCAGCATGAAGCTCCTACAAGAGAACTGAATACTGTGATGGTGGGTCAGGGAAGGGACCTAATGGCTAGATCATGGAGGCCCCATCAGAGATGAAGAGTGTACTGTTAATAAGGGAGAGCAAAAGGGCAATGGTCCATTCAGCCAGGAACCTGGGCTGGTTTTGTTCACCACTGAATCCCCCAGTATCTGCCACTGTATCTCAATACATTTCAGGCACTCAACATTTACTAATATAGGAGGAAAGGAGGGACAAGAAACAGATGGCCCTACTAGGGAAGCAACAATCTGAAAAATTAAGAGTGCCTTAGAAGATACCTAATCTAACTGCCTCATTTAAATATCTGGTAGAGGCAACCTACTGAAAGGAGGATTAGAAGGCAAACCCGCCTGCATTTCCCATTTAATCATTCATTTGTGCATCCATTCACTCAATGAACAGACATTTTCTGAATGCCTCTGACTGCTAGGCTACATGTTAGATGCCAGGGACAAGAAGATGAGTAGCATAATTCCTATCCTCATGGATTCACATAACTGCTTTTATAAAACGTGATGAGGTTCTATAGTTGATACGTACAGGCTGAATTATCACTACTGAAAAGCTCTTGTTTTGAGCGCTAAATAATAAACAGATGCATTTTTACAAGATAATTTATTAGATGAAAGGCTATATTTTCCCGTTTTTACATGCCAGTTATATATTTTGAAGCATTCATACACTTATGGTTACACCAAGTCAGAGTCTAACCAGATAACTAGTTCAATAATAATCATGACTGTGATATGCTAAAGCTAAAAGTCACAATAAAAGTCAAGTATCTGTGATCTATGAGAATCTTCATTTATTTAAAATCATTCTTACCTCTTGGTATAAAAAATGGATGAATTCCCCAAAGATTATCTATCCCAGTGAATTCTTTGGCCTTGAGTCTGTCATAAATTTTCAATTCATTTTTCTGACATTCTGTAAGTCGGACTATCTTGGAAAGTCTCTTGATCAGGAATTTTAGACATTCTTTGCGAGCCAAGAGGGCCGTACCAAATCCAGAGGAAGTGACCCCTAAAAGACGGAAGATCAGTCCATCAAACATCAGCACAACACCCAGCTTCACAACCATTAATGCGTTAAAGCATTAATGAGGCTATAGCTGAATTACAGCCGAAATACGACTCCTAGTGTAAGCAGTCCTGAGGAAGAAGTCTGGCTCCCCTCTCCTCACAATATACAGGTCAGCAATTCAGCAGCAGTTTCTTCAGTGAAACATTCCAGTCACTCCTTGAAACACAGCCTGGAGATAAGAGTAACTAATGTGGTACTACTGATCATTTTGGTTTATGTTTCATAAAATTCAGTATTTAAGTTCTGAATGAATGGCTGAAGACACAGAACTTAAATATTAAAAAATAACTTAAAACAAACTAAAGAATTCGGGTCCATTTTCTATAAATAACCATTCACGTTAAGAATTATGCAGACCTTCAGGAAAAAGGGCATGTCCAACAATCTTCTTTCTATTCAGAATCACCAGTTCGTGTTTACCTAGCCCCTGGTCTAAAAGCAATGGAAAGTTTTTGGCGTATCTTTGATAGCAAACACATCTCAAAAAGAGTAAAAAAAAAAAAAGCGAAGCCATTCTGAGTCTTGAAAATGTTAGTTAAGTAATTCCATAAAGTATCTTGGTCAGAGGTCTGCACTTGATCCATTTCATGCTCCCCTCTACCCTAACCCCTTGCCCCCACCAGCTGACAGACAACATACCTGAACCTATTCCATCTATGTACACCAGGCATGCAGCATGGACAAAAGATGTCACAGTGGAGATGGTCTCTGGCCTTTTCAAAGCAGCTTCCTTCCCCATAGTGTTCATGAAGTTAACCCAGGACAGGATATCTCTGATACTGACCACACACCTTCGGCCAAATTCCTGGTGGGTCAGCCAGTCAATGAAATCCAGTATCACCTCAGCTATGTCAGCCCCTAAGACATAAGGAAGCAAAAGTATTTGCTGTTTACTAACACTTCAGAATGAGGGCTTGTAACCTGGGGCCCAAACATGGCCTAAAAAGGCTCTGTGCTCCATGAGATTATAAGCAAATTTTTGTGAATTTACATTAATGTTTTTTTTAAGAAGAGGGGTCCACACCTTTTATTGCATTCCCAAGGGGTTCATGAATTGTATTCCACACATACCAAAAACATACAAACGAAAAGAACCAAACACCAAGCCCCCCAAAACAATCAATCAAACAAACAAACAAAAACTTAAGAATTATAGCCTAAGAAGCTACCCTGAAAACACAAAGAAATATCCATTTGGTTCATCTTCAGATACAATTTTGAAATTAAGACACAATGATTTTAGAAAATACACAAATTTTACATTTTAAAATGATTCACTGGAATGGGTAGTGCCACACTTTCAGTGGCATTTGCTTTAGGTTTTTTGTCTGTTTTCTTAAATTCATATATCAATAAGATGAGAGGAGTCACAAATTTTATTTCATGATTTATGTTAAATGGCTATTCTAATTATTACAACTTCACATTGTAAAATATTTGTAAATAAAATATCCCTAAGTAGTATATATATATATATATATTCAAAGTAATACCAATTAAATTTAGTAGTGCACTTTATATAACTTCTGAAGTCAGTAGTAAACATTTATCTAAACAGTATAAATACCAAAGAAAGTTTTTTTAAAAAAAGAAAATATGAGGAGGAATCAGCCCTGCTGTAAGATAAAATAGACTATTCAGCAACATCCTTCAAGGCTAGACTGAGAATTAGTTTAGAAAAACACTAATTGTTAGAAGAAAATACTAATTATAGAAAAAACCCTCAAATCTTTAAAATGAACTTAAAATGACAACTCAAGGGAAAACGTCCAGTAATAATGAGGAAAGAAATTAAATTGTTTCAATGACCAGATATTAAATACAAGTATTTGGAGTCACATTTCAGAGTGAAATAAATTTGAGGTACATCAAGGACTTAGCGAAAATAGAAAATTTTATCCGTTTTTAGAGAGGAAGTAAACCATGACTATTTGACCAAAGATCATCTAGCATAAAATAATAGATTTCGTTATATTTTTTAAAATGAAAACTCCATGTTGGAAGGACTATGCAAGCAGGGGCATTTACTAAGTTGCTGGTAGCATTGTGAATGAGACCATCTTTCTGGAGAGCAAGCTGGCCATAACCAATGGGAGCTATGAAGTTCCTTGTTTCCACTTTTAGAAATACAACGCAAGAATACAAGCATATACATCATGGTGACAGATGCCAACTAGGTTTCTTACGGTAATCACTTGGCAATATATACAAATATCAAATCATTATGTTGTATATCTGAAACTAATATAATGTTGTATGTCAATTATACCTTAATAAAAAACTAAAACACACACACACACACACACACACACATCTCAAGCAATCTAGGCTCTATAAAAAAAGAATCACACAATGAACTGTTAAATCTAGGTTATAAGTATATGGAAATCTTTCAATACTATCTTCTATTTTCCTTATATTTGAAAGCTTTCATAATAAAAATTTAAATAAAGTGAAATAATGAATTAGTTGACAACTAAAAATATGCAGTTTAAAAGTCTAGAAATATTTTCTAAAGGTGATAATGACTAAAATTTAAACCAAATTTTCATTATCTTTAGCTAATAAATATTCCTATATAAAGATGGCTAACAGGTGAGGCAATAAGGAAGCTAGAATTTAATAAACCTGGTGAAGGAAGCAGTATGAAGAAGGGACACTTTAATGGACAGTAACAGGCTAGTACCATATCTCCTTAGATCTATCTGTGCCCATTTCTCTACCCCCCACCCCCTTCTCCATACACCACATGTACATACTGCTAACGTCATGTACCACATCCCTCACTTTCAACACACAGCCCCCTCCATCCCATGACCACCACTGCCACTCACACCTGAAAACTCTCACCTTTATAATCTATTCTGCCCAGAGACAATCCTGGACGAAGATTACTGCTGATAATCTGTTTTAAATCTTCACGGCTTGTGCTTTGAGGGCACCATATTTCCGTAAACCGGTTCCTCAAGGCAGGAGACAGCTATAAAGAACACAAATTGCAATATAATACTTTGAGGAAAGCTAGAAAACAAATGCTCTGAAAGAATGTTAACTGTGAGTCTGGCAAGTATAAGTTGTTTCTTTTATTACCTCTACTACTAGATACAATTAACTGAAGACCTACTTTGTCCTGGCTCCTTCCATGTCATCTCATTACTCTCCACCACACCCTTCAAGCTGGTATTGCCCTCATGGTCTTGATAGACATGGTACAGAACTTTAAGGTCTCCCAGAGTATAAGGGATATAAGCAGGATTCCAGCCCCATCGGACTCCCAAATCCGAACACTTCCTCTAAGCAAAGGCCTTTCCTTTCCTTTACCTTCAGATACATAACCAGCACTTAAGAGAAAATAAACGCTATCTTCCCATATAGGAGAGCTATCTAGAGTAGAAGGAGAAACTTGATTTTATGTGGCTCAAAAGGAACATCATTATGAGGAAGTGTGTATTTTACCTCTTGTATAACAAAGAAATGTTAGTTCCTCCAGTCTTAGGGACTTTGCCCTTAGTCTGGATTCTTCTTACACCCTTCTTACCCTTCTCCTAGGACAGTTAACTCCCATTCACAAATGTTTGCAATGCCACATGCATATAATTATCAGTTTATCATTGCTTTCCTTTTATTCGACAATAAACTCCACCCTCTATCTGGGTCTATCACAGCAGGACCAGGAACAATGCCTGTACTCAGGAGCAGCTCAGTGAAGACCCAGTGAATACACAAGTGTTCCTCATCCCCATCCTAGACTAGGAATGCCTCTGGTCTTTGGGGCCCTACCTCACTCTGCTTGCCAGGCATGCAAAACCAAAAAAGTAGCTTTCTCTTTTAGGTTAAAAACTGACAATCGTTGGCTAAGAAAAACTTAAGCTAACCTGACAGGCAAGTTAACATTCACAACCTTGAAATCATGTCCTTCTATACTATTTCCACTTGCCAAAGAACCAGTTTTCATATTTTGTTTAAAGGTGTGATGGGTTTTATTTCTTTGCTTCAGAACATTTCTTGAAGCACAGTGATCTTTCTTCTATGGTATTGAGGGAAATTAGGCCCAAAATATCATGTTTGCATTTCATTCACCAACCAAGTTACCAAGAATCTGAACTGCTTTCATTCACGATCAACCCGTGGTTCTTCTCATCATCCCTGGCCTGCTACCACACTACCCTTTTCCTAACTTTAACAGACCAAAATCCACACACATGCAGACTTCTCCACCAAGAGGCTTCATAAGCTTGAAAGCCACAGGGCTTAGGGTGCTGAATCCTGGCTGGATTCTACCACCCTCTGAACAGAAGGAACAGGTCTCCACCCTTTCTTTTACCAACAGTCTGACAATGACCCATGTAACCCCTGAGAGAACAGATATGTTCCTCCTGCAAATCCAAAAGAGGTTCTTGGCTCCAACTTCTTTTTTGGCACTTTACAATCACTCAAAAAGCAAAACTTGTGTTTAAGAGAGTAGACTTTAGAAGCAGAGCATGAGATTAAATTTCAGTTTCAGGGGGTGACCAGTTAGCTCAGTTGGTTAGTGTGTGGTGCTGATAATATCAAGGTTGCTGGTTCAATCCCCACATGGGCCACTGTAAGCTGTGCGTGCCCTAAGAGTCATTTATGCCATTGTAGCATGAAAGCAATGTGCAACCAATGACCATGGTTGTTCCCAAATAATATTAAAAAAAAAAAAAATTTCCATTTCAACTTTTCTCATTCTCAAAAGTAGGAAAATCATTTTCACACAGAGCTCTTGTGAGAATTTATTACAGTAACATATGGAAAGAGCTGGGCAAAGTAATCAGAACAATGAAATTTTAGGCATATACATAAAGTGAGATGTCAAATGAGGAAATGTTTATCTGTCAGAATTAATTTTCACCCTTATAGTTCTAAAATATCTTCCTGGATTTTTACCTTTCACCCAGTATTTCTCCAACATAAAATTCCAAATGCATTTTTACATACTGTATTTAAGGGTGCCAGCAAGCTAAGGTCAAAAAGTTAGAAAAACAACAACAATATGCTTCAGGAACATGGGTTTACCTCTTTTTTTCCAAAGTCGCCCCCTGGGTTCATGGTTGCTAAGATACGGAATTTTTTCCCAGCAGTCAACAGCTCTACCTCATTATCCTTGTCCTCTAGGCTGCCTTTTTCTGCTAATAGCAGAGACTTTTCTACTTCAAGGACACTAAAAAACAGAAAAATTGGAGATTTTAAGATTAGAAAAGGCTTATATATTCTTCGTATTTTGTGGTCTTCAGTGTTCTTTAAAAAGAAAAAAAGAAGTTATCTCCTCTGCTGAGCTTTCACTTTAGTTAATGGTTTCCTACCACAAATTTAAAAATGATGATTATCCCAATCCCTGTGTGATGGAACAATATTTCTGATCAAAAGCAAAAGAATTCCTTTTTCCACTTATGCCCTAGCAAGGCATTTATTTTAAAAATGAGGGTATTAAGTGAAAATGTTCATGACGGCATTATTCCTAAAAAAAGAAACCACTGTATCGGGTGGTGATAAAAATATAGTATATCTCCACAATGGAACACGTTTAGGAATAAAAAGATACAAACTACTGATATAGGTCACAACATGGATGAACCTCAAAACAATGCAAAATGAGAGAAGGAATCATTTATATGAAGTGTCCTGAAAAGATAAATCTAGAGACAAAAAGTAGATTAGTAGCAGGAGGTGGCATCAGAGATAAACTATAAATGGGCATGAGAGATCATACTGGGATTACAGAAATGTTGTACAACTGGATTGTGGTGATTGTAAAGCAGTAAATTTACTAAACTCATTGAATTATACATTTAAAACAGTACATTTTATGATATGTATATTATACCTCAATAAAGAGAGAAAACGGGTATACATCACGATTTATATCAGTCTGAGGTTTTGAGAGTTATAATAGCTAAGATTCTAGTTCTTTAAAACAAATTAAGACAATGGCCACATCATTTGCCTTAAAAAAGAATTCTAACTCAAGCTCATTTGTTTTAGCCTTGCCATCCCACAGTCCCATGTTTCTGATTATTGACAACAAACCAGAAAATCTAGGCCTCTTAAAGGAGATCCTGAGACCTAAAGCCAAAAAAGGCAGCAACTCATTATCTTTTCAAACATTTGCTATGCACCTATGAGAAACATTACTATGCACAAAAATTAATATCTATAAAACCCGACCAGCAAAAACATCAAACACGGGGCACATACCTGTTGAGTCTTTCTAGGACAGAGTCATCAGCCAGTGAGATTTCATCCAAGAGGAAAAAGCCGTCCTCCTTCATGGCCAGAACCAGAGGCCCATCATGCCACTCAAAGAGTCTTGATGTGTCAACTTCTTCCTATGAATTAGAAAAGGAGGGGCTGAAATTAAAAAGCAGGTGTCCACAAGACAGTACACGTGTAGCTAGCTGGTGTGTGCTGGAGTGGCCATTCTGCAAAAATTAAGAGTTTAAGAACAAGGGACAAGTCCTGCACAACAGGATGCTCATGAAGGCCCCATGCAGACCAGTGAAAATCTGAAGGTAGGATACGCATCAAACCTGGAATCAAAAACCCTACATGAACAAAATCCCACAGTTGACTCACACACAAAGCCAACTACAGTTCTTTAAATAAACGGACACATCATCATTTGCTATTGGACGAACCTTGTCCTTGGGCTTCTGTCTCACTGGCCGCAGCCCCCCCAGGAAGTCTGATGTCTCCATGTGTAAGTGGCAGTTGACTGAGTATAATTTCTGATTTGCCAAGGCTGCAAACACCTGACAGACAGTAGTTTTCCCACACCTGTTGGAGATACACACCAGATTAACAAAGAGCATGAATTCTAAATACACACAAACAAACATCTTAGTCAGAAAAAGAGGGTAGCCCTATTGAGAGCTTCACTTCAGCAGCAGGTACTTCTGACCAACACAGGACCTCTACACCACTGGGTTGGGCTGCACTTCCCCAAAACACCAGCACCCTGTCATGTTCCTGATCCAGAAGGGCACACTGCGCGGATTATATCCTTTCCTACTTTTACCGACAACCAGCAAGGGATGGAAAAGAAAGCCAATTCTTACAGACTTTCAAAAGATCATAGCTCATGTGCTGTTCTCCTCTATATATCTATGGAATGAATGTCGCTGTTTAAAAGAATTAAATAGGAAAGAAAAAAAAAAAGCCCCAATGATAATGATGCAAGAAATCATTCTTTTCCATACAAAGGTCTGAGGTAGATGAGAGTAAATAATAGCAGATCTCTTACTTGCTTCTTTTAAGAGGAAGAAAGGAAGGAGGGAGGAAAAAGAGAAAGGGAGAAAACAAAAGGAAAAGAAAAACCAAACTTCTTTCCTGAAGAGATAACTCAAGTAATCCTATGGAAGTGAACTGAACCCTCATGAGTTACTGTCATAGAACTTTACCCAGTGTCTCCAACCAGCAGCACTGGTTCACCGAATTCCAACGCCCTTCCCACCAGAAGAGCCAGTCTCCGCATGCTCTCAGTCCACACAACATGGCTGAACTTGGACTCCAATGTGGATATGTGAGTAGACAATTTACCTATCAAAGGTAGAGTAAAAAAATTAGGTTCTAATAAGTATAACTCAATTCATTCTCCTCTGGATATTATGGACTACTTACTTAGCAATTTTAGGACATTTTCTTTGGAGAAGAGGGACTGAGGACACAATTTTTTCTTGAAATGTTTTTCAAGGACTTCTTGAATTACATCAACCTCCTCCTGCTTCCTGACTCGGCCTGCCAGAAGCATATAACCTTAAAAAGAAAAACAAAAGAAACCATCAAGTGTCAGTACCAAGGGATGTTTAGAATATGAAGCAAAACAACTCTTGTTAGCTACTGCTGGAGAGGAAATCTGAAAAACTATTTTTGAAAACTGGGAGAACCCACTAGAACTACCATATGCCTGCCCTATGCTCCAGCAACATGACTTCTAAGTAGGCCCAAACACAAATGAACACGTGTGTACACCGAAAAACATATGCAGCAATGTTCAGAGCAGCTTTATTCATAATAGCTAAAAAGTGGAAAGGATTCAAATGCCCATCAACATGAGAATGGCTCAATATATTATGTTATCTCCATACAATGGGTTATAACACAGTAATCTTTTTTTTTTTTTAAAGTCTTGATACACCTAACAGCACTGCTGAATCTCGCAGTAGATTGAGTGAAAAGCAGTCAGACCCAGACAGATGTCAGAGCAGTGGTTACCCTCTAGGAAAGGTAAAACTGGCATGAGCCAAAAGGAATCTCCCGAGGTACAGGAAACATTCTAAATCTTGGCCTAGGCAGTGATTTACATAAGTACGTACATACGTAAAAATACACTGAGCTGTATATGAAATAATAGAATGCTGCATCCATTTTACTGTGTTATATCTCAATAAAGTGCTTTTTAAAATGTGGTCTTTCCTCTATTCCTTACCAGTGAAGAAATTAATGGGTTAATTTCATTTACTCTTACTCTCTTTGCTTATTAACCACCCCATTAAGGACTCATCAGCACTTTCCAAATCGGAAGATTCTGAAATGCTTTCTATCCTATCATGGATAGGAACATATAAATTCTTCCCATGGATTAAACCAAAATGAATATTTCCTGAGTCTCGGGTGACACAACTGCCTTCTCTCAGGACTCATAAATCATTCAACCTATCAGTTTTCTGTATGTCTCTAGCCAGAGCACGATTCTCCATGGCCATGACACTGCAGATAAATGGTCCAACAAGACACCACCTGCCTAAACTCCTAAAGACGCTGTACCCATATACTGACTCCCACATGTGACCACCTGAGGGAATGAGTGAGAAAATCGTAGAAACCAACACATAGTAGCGCAGAGGCTTGTAGAAACAGTACCACTTGCAAAAGCAGCTGGGGCTCCAGGGAGAAGGGTTCTGTTCCTGGCATACCTAGTAAGGTGTATATACTGACCACAATTCAGACAAGATTTGTTTTAACAAAAAAGTTTAATATTTGATATAACTTCACAGTTTGAGAGCATCTGATTGAAAGCATACCATCATTGGCTAAATGCTGTAGCCAATCATACTCCTTCTGGGACTGTTCTGCCAATCTGTATCTTTCAGCCCATCGAAACAGATCACGAAGGGTGATGAAGCCCTGCTTTCCAGCAAACACTGAAGAACTTCTGCGATAGGACTATTTACATACCAAAACAAAGGAAAACGACAATGTCAAGCATATAGCAAAACTCACATAAGATTCTAACAAATTTAAGCTCTCATAACAATTATTCATTCCACTAAGGTTAATTGTTTAAAAATGTAAATGAACTATCATTTGAAGAAAAATGTTCAAACTTGTGTATAAGAATATAAATAAACAATGGAAATCCATCTCATATGCCATTTATAAAAATATTAGAATAATAATATAAATGGTGCCAAACATGCAGAAAAACTAATCACATAATGTGAGACCACAGTAGTAAGAATGATAATTATGATTAGCTTTCTAGAAAATAACATCACAGTGTATAATTCTCATAAAGAACACTTTATCCCATAAACTAAATGGGGTATTCTACAAAAACAAACAAACCCCCCACAATTTTAGCTTTGCAGTGTTGGCAACGGAGCACCACATAAAAAGGGTCTTTCTAGCTGTGTACATTCAAGGACCATATCCATTTAAGAAACAAAAATTAGTTTGTCTATGCCAAACTCCTACCTAAACAAAATGTTCCATATTGTCCACAAATAGAGAACTGTCATCACATGAACTATTGGAAAAAATTTTAATGTTAAATTATTGATTTAAAAAAAAACCCAAAATGGATTTTAATGGGAAGCATTTTAAAGACAAGATCTTTACTCTGAAAAAATAACAAACGGAAGAACTGCTGTTTGTATGTGAGGAAGCTATATCAAATTTCAATCACCAAGTCTAATCAACACATTCCATTAGAAACGAAGTTAAGTCACAAAGAGAGGAAGTACCTGTAGGTCCAGCATGACCTTAATCAACTTGCTACAATAGGAAGGTGGCAAACTACACCGCTTGTGCAGGATTGTTTCCAGCTCAGAACTAGGCAGCTCATCAAAGTGCAACTCCACAAACCGATTCCTGAAGGCTCTAGAAAGCACCTAGGAAAGGCACAGGAAAAACACGATAAAAAGGGCCTTTTCGTCTAATTCCTAAAATGGAGGCTCTGCTAGTCACCACAAAAAGAAAAACCCTTCAAAAGAGGTAAAAACTTCTCAGCCTTTTCAAGAACGATTTAGTAGTCAATGTAGTAACAAATGGGAGTAAGAGGACACATACTACACACCTTTCTGCCTCCATAAAGTCCCGGAGGGTTCTGGGTAGCAAAAAGCATGAACCGTGGGTGTGCTTTAACAACTTCCTGTGTTTCTGTTATCAGCAATTCACGGTTATCATCCAACAGTCTGTTTAGTGCCTCTAACACATCAGTAGGGGCCAAATTTAATTCATCTAAAATAATCCAGTAGCCCTTTCTCATAGCATCAATAAGAACACCTTGGAGGAAATAAACACTGAGAATTAGTGTGCAAATTAGTCCAAAGCTTTAAAAAAATGTTATACACAAATCAACAAATCCTACATTATTAAATATTAAAGCATATTACTCTTTGCAGCTAGTCATGCCCCAAAATAATTTATGATGTTGAATATCGAGGAAGCACAATTTTCAATTAATATAGTTCTTTTATTTCACACAGAGGGGGAGCCAAGGCTGACAAATAACACATTTGCAATTTATTTTTTTCCCCTGCAGTTAAATTTCATTTAAATTACATTCTCATATCAGTTCTCAGCTTCCCTCTGTTCAACACTCACTCCATTTTTTTTGAGTCTCCAGGAAATGAAGCAGTAGTTCAACTATCCTTCAAAACTTGGCCCTACTCCTGTGTACAGCAGACAAGACTTCAGTGGGCCCAAAGGAAGCTCAGCCCCTAACCATCACTCCTGAACCAGCATATGGCTCAGGGAGAAGGAAAAGCTGGCCATTATGGCACAGGTCCCTGTGCTTCAACTGAAAAGATAAAGATTACTTGGGGAAACAGGTCTAACAGAACACCTACACACATGTGATAGAATAGTAACCCTACCTTCTTTAAACACAAGCTTCCCTGAGGAGTCAGATGTGTAACAACCAATGTACTCTTGAATGTCCGTATGTTCGTGATTGTTAATACGCACACAGTGGTTACCACTAGCTGCGGCTAGCCACCGGATCAGGCTTGTTTTACCAACTGATGTCTCTCCCTGAATCAGCACTGGATAAGTTCTTTAAAAGATCAGCCAACAAAGCAATTTAAGAAAAAAACGATAAAAAGCAGAATTAATTCAAGTGGTGTTAAGAAAGAATGACTATATCATTTAACATCATAAAAGAACATTTTTGTATACCTATGCGCTACTAATGGCATGTATTTTAAGCCCTGAGAAATTTCTGTGTAAAAATATTTCCTCAGAAAATACTGAGGAAAAATTGCAACCTCTCTTGCACTACTTGTGAGAAACACTAAGTGGGGCCAGCTGTTGCTCACTTAACAAATAATGGGTGATGAGTATTCATCAGCAAAATACTAAAAAGCAACCTTAAAGATAGCAAAGATAATCTGCATCCGTATTGCTCCCACCAAAGCATAACTAGAAACAAAGCTTTGTGCGAGGAGAAAAGTGACAGTACTGACTTTAAAAGTAATTATTCACTTAGCCAATAAATGCAAGTAAAGCACTTTGAAAGTTGAGTAAGTAAGACTACAATGTCATCAATGCCTATGCTGGTGAAACTTGAGATCGGTGAGAGAAAAGGTCCACATACCCAGCAGAGACCACTCGGACTATATCTCTCAGGTTCAGCTTGACAGAAGACGTGAGAATGTATGTCTCATCTATTGTGGGTTCCTTGTCTCCCATTGAAATCCAGTAGCCTTCGACCTGGATAAGCCGACCTCCTTTTGGTTCTGGAATGGGCTGAAAGACACACAAGTTAAAGAAATAACCCACAGTCTCATGACAATTCTGGCATTCTTTCAGAGTGGTGTAAAGTATGGTAAGAAATGATGACCAAGAGTGCTTTCTTGTTCTGGATGCTTTTGACACTAAAACAAACCCATGGGTAAAATAAGAAAATAAAATTACCTTGAGGAATGAGAACAAAATGATGGTGTGTGTTGGTTTTAAAATTCAGGTGGAGGTAGGTGGGTTTGTGAAAAAACTTGAATCAAAATAATTTCTCAGGGTCGGCTAAGTGGCGCATTGGTTAAGAACTGGCTTGGGATGCCTGAGGGCCCCGGTTCGGATCCCACATATGAGGGCCAGTGACACTGCCCTCTACAGCTAAGATGCTGAACAACAGCTCAACCTGGAGCTGGGCTGCCATGAGTCACCGGCGACAGCGTAGGCTGCAGCCCCTGCTGCAGTAGGTTGCCATGGGCTACCGTATGTAGCCAGCAGCCAGCGTGAGCGGCCAGCAGCCGCAGTGAGCAGCCATCCAGAAGCCGGCGACTGATCTGCCTCACCCGGGAAGAGTGCAATGATGGTGCCAACTTGGGCCAGTGAAGCAACGTCCTCCACAACTAGACTGAAGAACAAAAGGACAGCAACTTGTCTGTTCCCCTTTTCCCAATTCCCCAGCGCTGTTCCCATCCCCCAATTCCCCAATTAAAAAAAAATATAATAATAATAATAATAATAATTTCTCAGATAATATATGATTCAGTTCTCTTCTCTCACCTACCAAAATTCCCAATCTGGTGAAGTATTTTGCTCAAAAACATGTATTTCATATAAACCATGTTTTCCCAAATAGAGCCAGTGTTGTACTGAGTGAGGAGGGTTGTACAATATTATATTTTGGATCCCCTGGAAAACATTAAAAATAAAATGATCCTCCAGAGAAACTAATCTATTACAGATAATGCTGTGGACAATGGCATAATCTTTTGAAGATATGGTGGAAGTTGATTTATACAAAAGTGCCATTTTTATAAATCAAAATGGTTAAATAGTGGTCAGATCTATAGCTATGAAAAGTACACTTACGAAACATTTAGTCCCCTGACATGAAGCTACAATTAATTCTAGGCACTGCTTTTTAAGGGCTCCTTAGTTAAGCTGAGGAGCAGTGGGAGGAAAGGTCATTAAGCCTCCATCACGTGTGACCTTGAGGAACACACATAAAATCAGCAAGTGGAGGAGAACAGTATTGGGATAAAAAGTAAGCTTGAGTCTGTTCTCAATGTTTTAGCTTACCAGAAGTATATATTAATGTGTTACTTGTAACATTTTTAAAAAGGAAAAATTACTGAATCCAGAGTAACCCCCCCAAAAAATAAATAAACAAAAGAAATAAAGTAACCCCAAGTCCCAATAGCTCTTTCTAAAGAGCAAGCAATCATCATATAAACAAGCTAGTTGGTGGGCCAGTTTCTCTCAGCATCTTTCAGTCTCATGCTTCTGTAATTTCCTGTCAAATGGAAATGGTTGTTGTGTATAACAGAAAAAAAAAGCCCAACCATCCATCAGAAGAGACGTGTGTACATAAATTATGTACAGGCATCTTATGAAATGTTCTGTGACCATTAGAAAGCATGTCACAGTGATCTGATAGATACAAAAATATATCCAGGATACAGTTGGGCTAAAAAAGAAAGCTACAGAACATTCTTATGAGATGGTCCCATTTATATCATTTATATTAGATATATATTAGGATTTACCTTGACAAAGTACACACACACACACACACACACACACACACACACACACACACAATCAGAATTTGAATATATAAGAAAAAAATATATACATACATATATATATATATATATATATATATATATATATATATATACACACACACACACACACACACACACACACACACACACACACACACAACTTAGATGGAAAGTACTATTTTTAGGGCCGGCCGAGTGGCGCGTTGGTTAAGAGCTGGCTTGGGATGCCAGAGGGCCCCGGTTCGGCTCCCACATATGAGGGCCAGTGACACTGCCTCTACAGCTAAGATGCTGAACAACAGCTCAACCTGGAGCTGGGCTGCTGTGGGTTGCCGGCGACGGCGTAGGCTGCAGTCCCTGTTGTAGTGGGCTGCCATTAGCTACCGTGTGTAGCCGGCAGCCAGCATGAGAGGCCAGCAGCCGCTGTGAGCGGCCATCCAGAAGCCGGCGACCAATCTGCCTTGCCCGGGAAGAGCGCAATGATGCTGCCAGCTTGGGCCAGTGAAGCAACATCCTCCACAACTAGACTGAAGAACGAAACGACAGCAAGTTGTCTGTTCCCCTTGCCCCGATTCCCCAGCGCTGTTCCCCTCCCTCCAATTTCCCAATAAAATCATAAATAAATAAATAAATAAATAAATAAAATACTATTTATAGGATTTAAATCTCCATAGAGTAGGATTATTGGGAATTTTCACCATCTAAAACACCATCTAATGTTTCTGTTATTGGAATAAACAGATATATAATTAAAAACAAGTTTTGTAAAAAACCAAACAGCTCAAAATTTGATAATTCAGCCTTCCATTTATGTTGAACAAGTCAAAAATCAAAAAAGAACATACCTGCTTCAGCAGACTTTTAATATTGCCAGAGATGATGTGTTTAAGAATGAGCTTCTGAACAATAGGGTGTGATGCCCTGTCAAGCTGTGTTAAGAAACCCAAACAAAAGCCCTAGGAAAAACACAAATATGGATGACACTAATTACCCTTATGCAATAACAGGCCAACTTTTGCAGAAACAAAATTCAACCTTTTGAGTTGGTGCTGTTTCCCAAAACAACTTTTAAATGTGATGGAATGGTAGAAAAAGGTTAGGGTAGCTCTGGGCTAATCTAACTAAATGGAAAGCACAGGCAAACCTTGCATATGCATCCCCACTCCCTCCCTGCCCATAATAAGCCCATCCACCAAGCTCCATCCAAACCCAGATTTCAGGAAGACCTCATAGAGCGAGCGCTGGATGTTGCTACACGGATTGGAGGCTGCAAATCGCAGGGCCCTGCAGAGAGTCCGAAGGCTGTAGTGAGGTCGATGGCCGGTCCCATCCACCAATGTCACCCCAGACATTTTCCGCACATCTCTGTAGAAGCTACAAAGAGGATGGATGCACTTCAGGTGACTTTTTAAACTTATAAGTATTCATTATTTTGCTCCTGTTCTCATTTCTCTACAGAAGGTCCAAAAGCCATTTTTATAGGTCAGATGGCCAAGCTTACATACGACTACCTAGAGCATGCATCAAAACCTCTTGGGCATTCTTTTCTAAATCTATTTTTCAACCACTTAGAGATTGCCTTACAAAGAAACAAAATAAAGATCTATCAATTTCCTTTAAGGGTGGAAAGAAGAGAGAAGGGAGAAACTTCTGATTCTTAACAAAAAGACAGTGAGATATGAGAGGCCCTTAAAAAGAATATGGAGTCCAAACACAGCGTCCCAGAGTTGGCTCTAATGTGAGATGCAAACGAAGTCGCTATGTAATCCAAATGGTGACGGATAAGTACACAGAAAACAGAAGTCAGGGTGTTTTGAAAGGCTATGGATATGGCTTAATCAATCATGACAAAATGCTAAAAAGCATGAAGATATGTTGACCATTACTATTATCATCACCATAGACTTAGAAGTCCAGAAGATGACCAGATGGAAGAAGTTTCAGGCTGAAATACGAAGGGCAAGAAATTTAAAAATTCATGACATTCATGATCATCTACCACAAGATCAAGCATAATCAAATATGTGTCACAGATAAAATCCAAGTTCTTGTACAAAGGGGCTTTGGTTTGCCTTTTTAATACAGTCCAGCTACACATTCTTTCTTTTGGTAGGAAAAGGGAGTTCATAAGGTTCCAACTTTAAAACAGAAATCTAAATAATAATCCTTCTATCAGTTAAAAGCAAAAAAGAGAGAGAGAGAGAGAGAGAGAGAGAGAGAGAGAGAGAGAGAAACCGAAAAACACCTACTTTATGATGCCTTGCACTGTGCTCTTGTTCACACTTAGACCTTTCAGATAATCCACAATAAGAATTTGTAAGTCTTCTTTACTTTCCAATTCTTCTACATAAAGTTCTGTGAACCTGTAAGACAATTATTATTACAAAATAAACAACGATTTAGGACATTAATACAGCTATTCCAACAATAAAAAATGCAAAACAGAAGTTATGTAAACTCGTTTTAACCGCTTGGAGTATAAAATATAAGTCTTTCAACTTGAGGGCCGGCCGAGTGGCACGTTGGTTAACAGAGCTGGCTTGGGTTGCCAGAGGGCCCCGGTTTGGATCCCACATATGAGGGCCAGTGACAGTGCCCTCTACAGCTAAGATGCTGAACAACTGCTAGACCTGGAGCTGGGCTGCTGTGAGTCACTGGCGATGGAAGGCGGGTTGCCATGGGCTAGTGTGTGTAGCCAGCAGCCAGCGTGAGCGGCCAGCAGCCGCAGTGAGCGGCCGTCCAGAAGCCGGCGACTGATCTGCCTCGCCCGGGAAGAGCGCAATGATGGTGCCAACTTGGGGCAGTGAAGCAACGTCCTCCACAACTAGACTGAAGAACAAAAGGATAGCAACTTGTCTGTTCCCCTTCCCCCAATTCCCCAGCACTGTTCCCCTTCCTCCAATTCCCCAATAAAAAAATCTTTAAAAAAACCCCAAAAACTTCTACTTATAGTTCTTGAAAGAAATAGTCACAAAAATGAGACTTTCTATTGTCATTTTCAGAAGTTGTTTATGATCATAAATACATGTAACAAAAAAATACAAAAAAAAAAGCCCCTTCACCATGAAAAATAAATTGAAAAATAAAAGTTGGAGCAAAGGAAAATACATACTTGTAGTTTATAAAATTTTCCTAAGAGGGTTTTATTACTTTCATAATGGGAGAAGGGCTCTAATACAATTTCAACACTATTTTAAAACATAGAATTCAACAAAATGTTACCAACAATAAATAAGGTCACTTATTTTTCCCCAAGTGCTACCTATGTGAAACACCAACCTCTAAGTGCCTTGCTCATATCATTCAGTGTTTAAGGATGAAAACTGAAACTTAAAAGACCTTTTACAAATCATTAGCCTCATCCAAGAAGACTTTGTCCTAAAATCCACATAAACTATGTTATACTGTTGTATGGTTATATGAAGTTTTTCTAATAGCTGCAAGGCTATTTGAAGGAGGAAAGGTTTGTTTTCAACAATATCCATGAGCCATTAAGTGTCCTACTAACAACCCAAAGAAAAAAATTCTCCAATGTTTTGGAGTTTTCCATATTCCTACCACCTACAGAAAGTAAAGGAATATGACAAATAAGAAAAAGTCCCCTATCAGTGGTCAAGAAACTACAAGCACTGTTATGGGGTTTGGTTATGTTAATATTACCAATCAATAAACAGAACTAAAAAAAATTTCCAGGAACCAAGCCACGACCCCTCACCTATTTCTTATTCCTGGTGGGAGATTTCTTTTGCCTACATCAGTTGCTGGATTCATACAGGCAAATAAACGAAAGTCAGGATGACGAACCAGTGGTTCTGTTAAGAGAAAATCATAAATTCTCAACAACTTGTGAAATCAGGTGATTAGCTACAGGTCCCCAGAGGAAGAATATATAACTCTACAGAACCCGTGGCCAAACAACCCTGCCTCACGCCCAGCAAAGTTGGTGCTGGCTGCTCAAACCACCCTGCCTTTTCTGAAACCCCACTGAAATCAGTTTCCAGAGTTGTGAATATACAACCTAATCTTATGCTGCCATTCCACTATCTTTTATAGGTATGGCTGCTGACTGTCATTTATGTTTTATCACCTATTCATCAGCATTTATTTTTTCACCGAGTATGCATGTCCACTACTCACTATGCAAGTGCCTTGACAAATTATCTTATTCTCTGAATTCCCCATAGCACTTAACAATAGGACTTTGCAGAAAAATTAGTATCTATGGAATGAACAAATCCCACTGGGAGGCCCAAATCTCCACCTAACCAAGAGAATCTTACTCTTAAAGAGGTCAAAAGGCCTGGCACCAAGTCAGATCCCAAGAGAATCAAGTGCTACCTGAGTCCCCTCGATCCAGCAACACCAGGGAGCCAGAGGAGCCTTCGAGTAAACCACTGAGACATTCTAATGTTTCTGGAGCAGCCAGATTAATCTCATCCAACAAGATCCACTCTCCTTTCGTTACAGCCTGAGCTAATGTACCCTAGAACATAAGGTAAAATGGTAAGAATCCATTTCAAATAAAGACATACTCACCAAAAACAACTATACAAGCAGGGTTAGAAAACAGAGGCAAGGGCAAACCTTTCTACTTGATGAGCTTACATCGTAAGTGCCAAATGGCTGCTGGATGGTTGCCCAAGTGAAGGCCAAGCATACACTTTTTTAAATGTCTAAACAGGTCAAGGGAATATCTTTGAGCCTAACTGTGAGGTGCAATAAACTAGATTATCTCATTACATGAAGGGTGAGGTAAATTATAACTTACAATTCATTTAGATGTTTAAAGGTACCCAAATCGTTATTAAAAGCACCCAAAAAATAGGGTCAAGCTATGAATATACCAAGATCAGGTAAATGACTAAATCAAGAATGTGTAGTAGGTGGTGGTCAGTTAGCTCAGTTGGTTAGAGCACAGTGCTCGCAATACCAAGGTTGCCGGTTCAATCCCCACATGGGCCGCTGAGCTGTGCCCTCCACAGCTAGACTGAAACAACTACTTAACTTGGAGCTGATGGGTCCTGGAAAAACACACTGTTCCCCAATAAAAATCTTAAAAAACAAACAAACATGTAGTGTTTGTAATATGTAGCCTTTCACAGTTGCTAAAGAATATCAAAATGAATCTTTCCTAGCTCTACTTTACTGATTTTATCTCTCAGCGTTCTATTTCCAAGAGCAATGAAAACTAAATCTTATAGTTGACACATCAAAAACTGAGTTGTTTTACTGTGATTAAACTGCTTTCAACCTTTGTTTTCATGATGATCCTGACAAAGAATCTTCTACAAATTAAATTGGGGTGGGGGTGGGGGGACAGAAGAAATGTATTAAACTCCAGTGAAATGCCAAGTCATGAAATAGGTATAAACCCTATTTTGACAGCACTTGATATTTAAATTGGTTATTTTAGAAATAATCCTGGTAAGATTAAGCACTGATTACCAAATTTCCCACACCAATGGACATATGGTTGAGTGGTTTCTCTTATCAAAACACAATCTCAAGTAAGAGTCTTACCTCCCTTAGTGTGTGGTCTAAACATTGTCACAGAAACAATTTTTCTTAAATAAAAAAACTTGCATTTTGCATCAAATCAACCGTCCCTTAATCTAAATAACTAAAGCAAAATACCTCTACAAATGCAAACAGCAGGGCATTTTCAGTCATTTTCATCTGTTGTTGGGCATGGTTGAGTCTAAGACCAAATGCTTCCCATTTCTCTTTTAGGAGTAACCCTAGAAAAAAATAAAGACAAGAATTAAACATACATTTTGAGTTGTGATATATGTATAACTTAACAAAAAAATATACAATTAACAAAACTCACACAAAAATCAAACATCTCAGACAAAAGTGTAAAAAATAAGTCCAAACACTTGCCAACTATATGCTAGCCATTATACTAATCAGTTCATTTATATGCATATGTATGTTACCTCATTTATTTCTCACAACAACCCTTTGAAGTAGGTACTCTTATTTCCATTTTATACATGAGGAAGCACAGAGAAGGTAACCAAGCTACCAAAAGCCCCTTGGTTGTGGAATCCAGCTTTTTGGAAATAACTGCTTTTTCTAAGAAAATGTGATTGACCACAAAGTGGTACTTCTTCAACAACATTACCAACCATTTGTTCTTATGGAAATCATGCCTGGAATCAATGGCATAGCATTTCAAAATTGGTTATCTCTGCCCTAAGTCCTAGAAAGCTCCAATTTGTATTGCTTCATTCTTTCCTCCGAATCTTCTAATTCCACTGAGCCCCTCCTCCCCCTCCCACTAGCAGTCTGAGTGGCATGCTTACCAGTTTCATTCTCTTTTCCATCCTTCTTGACTGCTGACTTGTGAACATGTTGCATTAGTCTGAGAAGATCATGCCACCGTTTCTGCCTGTAACAGGTCTGAATGTGCCCCAAAAATGTAAAGTTTTGCTTCTTGGAAAATGTCTGGGCAAAGAGTTCCTCAAATGCCTCCCGTAAGGGTAGCCAAATAAGCTTATGGTCCACTGGTTTGTAACTGAAATAAAATAGTAAATGGGATTCATAAAATTCTGTAGCTAACAGAAATTAGAAAGCATATCTTAGAAAACAGGATGTCTAAGATTTGATTTAATCTAAATCAGAAATTATACCAAAATACTTAAGGTCTATGTTAAAGTTTTAAATTATAATGTATTTTCCGCACTGCAAGTGTTTGAAGGGCCTATACTAAAGGTAAAAACTAGTATTAGATAAACAATATTATGAAAAAAAACTGAAATTCCCGTTGGGCATTGAAAGGCATGTGATTTATTTTAGTAACATGTTTAATAAACATCATGTATAGGACTTAATGATAAAACATATTGTATTTAGATTGACCAAAAAGTTTTCAGGGTATTTTAGAAGAAAAATACAACATGTGAAATAGATTTACTTAAACAAAGTGAACTCAGTTCACGCCTTGTGAATCAAGGGGGAAAGTATATTGTTCCCAGAGATAAATATTGGCAGAGGGAGGAGCAAAAAAAAATCTTAGGCATTGCAATGGTTTGTGACACTCCAAAGCTCAACTTTTTATTTCATGATATTTAGTTTCTCTCTTACTCCTTAGCATGTAATTTCTCTGGCTGGAGAGTTAAATTAATTCACTGAAATTAAATTTTAATTTTAATAATGAAAAGAGTTAAGAAACAATGCTCTAAGGACCGGCTGAGTGGCGTGTTGCTTAAGAACTGGCTTGGGATGCCAGCTCTGAGCAGCAGGGCCCTGGTTCGGATCCCACATGAGGGCCAGTGATACTGCCCTCTACAGCTAAGATAGTGAACAACAGCTCGACCTGGAGCTGGGTTGCTGTGAGTCGCCAGCGATGGCGTAAGCTGCAGCCCCTGCTGCAGTGGGCTGCCATAAGCTACCGTGTGTGGCCAGCTGCCAGCATGAGCGGCTAGCAGCCGGTGTGAACTGCCAAGAGCCGCCGTGAGTGGCTGTCCAGAGGCTGGCGACCGATCTGCCTCACCTGGGAAGAGCGCAATGATAATATCAACATGGGCCAGTGAAGCAACATCCTCCACAACTAAACTGAAGAATAAAAGGACAGCAACTTGTCTGTTCCCCTTCCCTGATTCCCCAGCGCTGTTCCCCTCCCTCAATTCCCCAATAAAAAAATCTTTAAAAAAAAAAAAAGAAACAGTGCTCTAGCTAAAAAGATAAGTTGCTCAAGGGGCACTAATTTTTCCTGGAAAATCTCAACTGTATAATTTTCCATAGACTAACATACTAAAACTAAATACTACAATTCATAGATGATGACATAAATTTTATTTCCAAGGAAAATAATTTAAGTTGAGAACTGAAACAATACCAAAATATGTTTCTGAACAGTCAAGCATAGTTAGAGAACTCATGGATACTATTTACTCATTGGCCTGTGAGAGAGGAACAATGAGACAAGTAAAACCCAATGCTGATACTGAGAATCTATATCGAAGAGTCTGATTCCAAAAAAATGTATGAGAACTTCAAACTAATTTTTACTTACAAGAAAGCATCAACACATTATTAAAGACATTTCCTTACTCCATTTATTCAACAAAAATTTACTGAGCGCCTGTCATGTGTTTAGGCACTGAGTAAACAAGATCCATAAAGTCCTGCCTCTCTGCAGTTTGCAATCTAATCAAATGGAGTGTGGCTGGAGCTCAATAGCAGAGCTAAAGGAAGGAGATTATGTCAGAGAAAAGCCAGTGTCAGATTATGAAGGGCCTTACAGGCCAAAATAAAGCCTTTGGATGATATTCTAAATGGACTGAGAAGTCAGTGGGGGGTTTGAGGAAGAAAGTGATATGATGTGATGACACTTTAAAAGGACTGTTGTAACTACTAACTGGAAGACATACTGTAGAGAGGTTAGGAGTAGAAGCAAAGATGAGAGATCTATGCACTGGACCAGGGCAAAGATGAGGAACTAGATAGAATGACAACAGAAGTGGTGAGAAATTAAACAAAATACACATTATTTAAGTAAAATTGCTAGTCTTAAAGTTAATAGTATAAATAGGATTCAAAGCTAACTGAGGCAGCAGAGTAATGACTAAGAACACAGATGCTCAAGAAAGCCTGCCTTGGGCCGGCCGAGTGGCGCGATGGTTAAGAACTGGCTTGGGACGCCAGAGGGCCCCGGTTCGGATCCCACATATGAGGGCCAGTGACACTGCCCTCCACAGCTAAGATGCTGAACAACAGCTCAACCTGGAGATGGGCTGCTGTGAGTCGCCGGCGACGGTGTAGGCTGCAGCCCCTGTGGCAGTGGGTTGCCATGGGCTACCGTGTGTGGCCAGCAGCCAGCGTGAGCGGCCAGCAGCCGTAGTGAGCAGCCGTCCAGAAGCCGGCGACTGCCTCGCCCGGGAAGAGTGCAATGATGGTGCCAACTTAGGTCAGTGAAACAACGTCCTCCACAACTAGACTGAAGAACCAAAACAAAAACAAAAACAAAAAAACGACAGCAAGTTGTCTGTTCCCCTTCCCCCAATTCCCCAATAAAAATCTTAAAAAAAAAAAAAAAGGCAAGCCAGCCTGGGTTCAAATCATGGACCAGCCATTACCTTGAACAAGCTACTTAATCCGTGTGCCTCAATTCTCTCAGGTGTAAAATGGGGACAATTATCAATCTGTGCCTCATGATTGTTAAGAAGGCCAAGTGAGTTAACACAGATAAAGGACTCAAAATGGTGCCTAACTCTTATATGAATGCCAAATAAGAGGTTAACTGTTATAATTATTACTATTATTAATTGGCTCAGTATACTTAATTCATGAAAGAAGTTGCTTAATATTTCAAATTACACTGAGTTCCAGAAGAGAAAAGTTTATTCATTTAACACTGAGCATAGTGGCTGAAACAGTTAAGTCAACATGTTTCAAGTAATTGAAAAATGAGCAAGCATACATACATTTCACAAAAGAAAAACCAAAAACCAAAATGAGCTGTGTAACACAAATACTCAATGGGACCCAACCTGATACGTAGGAGAACTGATGACTCAAATTAAGAACTACCATAGCGCAGGGTTTCCAAAGTGTCCCCTGCAGAGAAAAGATGCCACAGGAGCAACGTAAAGGCCGAGGGGTGGCGGAGGAGGGTAGTCTAGAGCACCAAGTCCTCATGGAGAGTAACTCAGGTTCTACCTGTTATATACTCAGAGGTTGCGTATAGCAGTTCATTTGAAAATGGCCAAAATAAAGGAAAATGATTCTCCAAAATTACAATATGTGAAAGAACATGAAGTATAAAAGCAACATAAAACAGTACATGCTGAGTAGCTGAAATGATAAGAAACACTTCTTGTTTTGGGGTCAGGATTCCAAGCTTGTGAGCAAGCTCGTCTCTCTGCTCTCTCCTGTGCGGTTTCTCTTCTGGATCTTTCTATGGGTGGCGATGAGGAAGAGGACGAAGGTTGGCTGTTTTATTTCATTTCTATCTTTAATTTTCCTCCCATTTTTTTTCCTTCACTGCCAACTCCTTCTCTCTATATCTCTTTCTCCCTCAGAGGCTTCCCCTCCCAGTCCCCGTCCCTACAGTCCATGCTGTGAAGCGGTGCTCTGTATTTTGTCACTTTGTGCTACACTTTGTCACCCCGGAATTTCATCTAAGTCCTCCGTGCTCTACTCTTTTTCATGAAGCCTCATAGGCTCTCCCCACTCCCAACTCTGTTGAAATTTGGTTTAGTTTTCTACTCACAAGTAATTTGAAGGTCTATGTCCTGCCTACCAGAAACCCACTTTAAATATGACAAAAATGAGTTAAAAATTAAACGAAGGAGAAAGATACACCACAGTAACACTAATAAAAAAACAAGGGGGTATGTACACCAACAAGATCAGAAGGCAATGTGCAGTAATGTAGTTTAAGAGTTTAATGCTCTTTAAGGCCTTACTTTTATAAAATGTCTTTATCCTTAATAATTAAAAAAAAAATCTAAAAAATGCAGATGTGCAAACCAGACAAATTAGGCATATAAATTTCTTGTATTATTTTTTACCATAGTATTTAATACATGCAAAATATGTGTAACATACGTTATAACATACAGGAAAACAGATGAAACTAACCACACATCCCAAGGACAGAAATATTACCCCTTCTCTATCCCATCTCCCTGCTGACTCCTAAATTTTGTTTTCTACTCCCTTGCCTTTTTAAAATCATTTTCAGTCTTGCCATCTTATACACAAGTCTTCTTAAGCAAGGGAGTCATCTATGCATCACAATGTTATATGTTAAAAGAATTCATTTACATCACTTTCCAGTAACACAAAAGTATAGAAAGCAAGGCATACATCCAACCATACAAAAATTGAAGTGCATGTAGTTTTCTTTTAATAACTGATGCTAAGCTACAAGGAAAAAAGAATGTGTATTCTTTTCACCAAGTTGGCACCAAAACAAAATTCTAGTCATCATATTGATTCCAACCTGTATTATAAATTGTGTCAAGACACAGAAGGGCTCCTGTGTACTTGTTACATTTAAAACTACTTGCAATGGCTGACATGACGCTATAAATTCTTAGAAGAGACAGATCCTGTCCATACTGAATTAGTATGAGCTTAATGCCATTTGTGTTAGGAACACTTAACAGTACGATATATAGACACAGAATAGAGAGAAATACACAGCAGTATAGACATGCTTACTAAATGACAAATTCCATATATTAGTAAGAACACATTGCCAAGTATTTCAATGAGGGAATGGGGGGACTGTCAGTTAACTAAACAGAAGTAAAATTTTAAAAAGGTAGAAAGATCACCGGGGAAAAATAACAAAGTGAAAATAGAATTAGAGTGAGAGAGAGATGTCTCAGATAATTAATTTTAAGATAGAATATAAATTTAAAAGCTGTAATTAAGCACATAATTAATGATATGTGTATAGCAGAATACAAGTAATAGGCTGGGGGAGTAGGTAAGCAAAAGAAAAGCACCAATCAAAGCAGGATTCCAAAGTAGCACTATACCCAGAGTGGGGAGGGATATGAGACAAGAAAAGAGTGAAAATAAAGATACTGCTACAGCATAATGTGGCCCTCGAAAAAGAGACAAATGAAGAGCTTTCTGGCAGACACTACAAAAAAGGCAAAAAAGGACAATAAATTCTATTACTTTATGCCTTTAAGGGTTTTTTAAAGCAATTGTTCAGAGTTAATAGGCAGATTCAATATTGCTCAAGATAAGGTATGCCAGTAGCATCATCAGCTTTAAAGCCTTCAGCACAAACTAAAATTGTTCATGAAACTAACATATTCAAAAACAACAGCAGGGAAGTAGGACATTTTAATGACCTCAGTGGAACCCCATGGGCAACATTTGACCAAGTAGAGAGCTACTTAATGTTTCAAAGATACAAAGATAATCCAGCTCGAAGGCAGTGTGACCCCAGATTATACACTTTAGTTAAAAACTATGCACACAAATATTAGTTGATTATATACTTGTCTTTTTTTCTCCCTCTTCCAGCATGATCTTTGAGAGCAAAAACCGCAAGTGTTTTTAAAATGAAGAGAATCATCTACATACCCAAGAGCTCCTCAAATTGCAATAAATACCCTGTTGGGGTGGGAGTAGGGGACCAAGCCTTTGAACATTTTTCCAAGGCTAGTTTTGAGCTTTGTAGAAGAATAGTATTTATTACCTCAAGCTGTGAATACAAAATAACAAGAAAAAAATTTAAAACCGCACTTACCCTCCAAGCAAGTCTGCAGTGTCACTCTGTTGATTCATATTGACAACCCTCAAACGGTGGCCTTTAAAAAAGAAGGGGCAAAAGAGTCATTTCGAAAACTTAAAAACGATAATATCTAGTGTGACCCTTAAGGATGTGAAGACCTGGCACAGGGCAAATCTTTAAATGGGCGTTTTCTCTGATCTCATTTTACTTTCAGGTATCTTAACCATTCAAAAATTTCACCTAACCAAGACAGATACGTACACGATTCACTGTGTATTACTGCTCTAGCATTGGATAACCGAAAACAACAAAAAAATTCTTCAGTAAAAGTCAATGTCTACAAATTAGAATTTAATAACTATCCAGTGTGGAATATTATTTAGCCAGTAGAATAGAAGTGAGGCAGTTCTGTTTTTTAAAGCTGTCTAATTTGCTTAACTAAATGCAATGCATACAGCATAATCCATTTTGTTTTAAAACAAAACCAAATCTATATATGTTTGCAGACCATGGGTTAGAACTAAAAAGAGTTAATACCAATCTGTTAACAGTGTTATTTCCAGATAAAGTGGAATAGTGGCGCTTTTTAAACTCCAATATTCTTTGGATTTTATTTTTTAAAACAAGCAGTTGGTGTGAAATGTTCATTTTCTGGGGAGAGAGTGCACCCCTTGGAGTTACCTGTAATGTGAGCCAAGTACTGGACAGTAGAGGTTTTGCCAGTGCCGGTCTCTCCCACCAGCAATACCGGCTCCCCTTTGCTAACACACACAGCGAGCTGCTCGATAAGAACAGAGGAGGGCCTCGTAGCAGCAAAAGTGAGCTTCTCCCTGGGAAGGGGAAAGTAAGGAAGCAAGTAAGCAGAGAAGCTGGATGCAAGCTTCCCTCAGCGTTGCTTAGAGGAACCAGACTTTCCAGACTCAACAAACAAGAAAGAGAAGACAAACTCAGTATTTACACACCTGGAACTTTCCCAAGCTCTGGAGATTCAAAACACCAATAAGATAAGACATTATCTGTACTAGCTATGTCACCTTGAGCAAATTACTTAACCTCTCTTAGCCTTGGTTTCCTCACCTGTAAAATTTGGATAATAACAGTTACTAGTTGTAGTGGACTGAACAGTCTTCCCCAAAAATTCATGTATACCCAGAGCCTGTGAATGTAACCTCATTCGGATAGAGGGTCTTTGCAGATATAATAAAGTTAAAATCCTATTATACTAGATTTAGGGGTGGGCCTTATATCCAATGACTAGTGTCTTTTATATGGAGAGGTTTAGAAACACACACAGGGGAAAAAGACTATAGGACTATGGAGACAAATACTGTAGTGATGCAGCTACAAGGCAGGGAACACCAAAGATTGTTGAGAGCCATCAGAAGCCAGGAAGAGGCAAGAGGCTTCAGAGGAAGTGTGGCCCTGCCAACACCTTGATTTGGGACTTCTAGCTTCCAGAACTGTGAGAGAATAAATAGCTGTTGTTTTTGGTTGCCAATGTATAGTCATTTGTTATGGCAGCCCTAGGACACTGTTAATTTATAGAATTATTATAATCACTACTTGAGAAAACATATGCAAAGCACTTAGCACAATGTTAGGCATATAGTTAAGTATTTAATAAATGGTACCCAAGTCTCAGAATATAATTCCAGGCTTTAAGAAGTTAACGGGCTAATGTTAGGACCTAGCCTGGCTTCCCAGTGAGGCTTACTTTGCCACACATAAATATGCTACCGTGAATAAAATCCAATACATCTTTGCTAGACCCAAGTCTCTAATGACCCTCTCTCATCACCTTCTTTACCAATTAACATCTAGTTTCATAGAACATACTTTGGAAAAACACTGCTCCTTACTGTCCCATGCACTGGAGAGATCACAGTTCAGACACGTTTTGCTCAAAGAGGCTAGACTAGACCTTCAGTCAAGTTCCTAAGAGCTTCACAGCTCTCAGATTAGGTTAGAACACTACCTACCTCTGTATGTGGACAGCCTCACTTTGTTTCCGCAGAAGTCGCACTCGACCCACTTGCACATCTAGTTCATTGATGACAATTTCTGGTTTATAAAGTTGACAGAAGAATTCAGCCTACAGGAGGAAAAAGATTTTACCAGAATAACATTCTGTATACTCTTCAAACATTTCCTCACCCATGAAGCTTACTGTACCCCTCTAACAGCCCTTTATTTAGAGGCACTGTGTACTTCCAAGATAGACGAGTTAGCTGGCAGGTTTTTTTATTTTCCGAATTTCTAATGTTTTTTAAAAAACATTATGTTTCCCTGTAATAGTAATTTTATTCCTTCAAATAAGCCTATTTAGATATCTGCCTATATCTAAAGTGAACACACGGGCATATCCCAACAAGGGCTAATACAATCTCTACTCCTAAAAGATACGAAAAGGAATCAAAGTCATTTTTCTTCAGCTATGCTTCCCTCTGCTTCAAATACCTAACATAACGCAGGCAACAGTGACTTGAATAACCATGGGACATCTGACTACAGCCGAGGCAGAAAGAGAAGCCGTGACAGGCGCTCTAGGACATCTACCCAACTGCCACTCCTCTCTTATTTATCCTCGTCACTAACCCAAAGAATTCAGATTTTGTTCAGGTCTTGCCAGGAATAAAAGGGACAAAGTGCTCATGGAAGGTGAAGCCCTCCTCAACCAAAGGGGATGACTACTGATCAGTCTAAGCCACTCATTATACCTTCATTTCTCTTGCTTTCTATAATTAATGTATTTATTAAGCTCCTTTAATAAGTGTCCTATTACCAGCAGCCAAAACCATCCCAACGGTTTCAGAAGCCAAAGGAATGCTTCTATTTCAGTTACTGACATAAGGCTTTTTTGAAACATCATTCATTTGGGAATGCCAGATATCTATCTGCCCTAACATAGATTTCAGGCATTTTTCCAGTTATCAATGCCACTGTGAAAAGGCTCTCCCCTCCAAAAATATACATTTTGATATAAAACAAGAATGGCAAAATATTAACAATGTCAGCAATGACCTAAATAGTGTGTATACAGGTATCCGCTGGTACTATTCAACTTTTCTGATGTTTGGAAATATTAATAAAAGGTTGGGGAAAATCTGTGCATAAAACTACAGAAAAAAGTGTTACTAAGACACAGTTCCAGTCCTGAGTCCACAACCTACAGAACAACATGCTCATTAAAACACAGGAGAGGGGCCGGCTGAGTGGCGCAATGATTGAGAACTGGCTTGGGATGCCAGAGGGCCCTGGTTCGGATCCCACATATGAGGGCCAGTGACACTGCCCTCCACAGCTAAGATGCTGAACAACAGCTAGA